AGCCAAAGTTCAAATAAAGAAACAACCAGGACTTTCTACTGGAGCTTACAGCTGGCGAACATAGAAGAAGAAGAAGATTCACTTCAGAGATGATTATTAAAGTTGGGAGAAGCAGTTACTATTAAAGTAGACAATCCTACATTAGGTAAACAACACAATCATGTGATTAACCTAAAACTTGTGTGATGGTCACATAGTTCATTTTAAACTTCCATAAGTGAGATGCACATTGTAACAAAAGACAGTGTGATTTATGTATTTCTTTGGAAAGGATGTATATTTTGTGCTTCGTTATATGTTCATGATAACTCTGTAATAATGCACCTGACAATAGCCAGCGAAATATGCCAGGTAATAAATTGTGAAATATATTGTTTGCGTCTGCATTATTTAAATGTAGTATTTTAATTAGCAAGTGATGAGAGTTTTATTTGAAAAGAATGTTGATATTTTCTTTCAGGTGGATACTGACCTGCTGAAGATTAAGAATTTTTACTACTCTTCATCACACACTGAAACAATTTCTAAAGATCAGAGTCATGATAGTGTAATAAGTGATGGTAATTTTAATAATGTTTGAAAAACTGTTACATTAGCTAAGTCTTTTTCTTCATCATCTTTTTCTTTTTCTATTTCTTCTTCTTTTTCTACTACTACTGCTCCTACTCCTGCTCCTTCTTCTACTTTTTTTTTCTTCTTCCTCCTCCTCCTTCTTCTTCTGCTTTTGTTTCTTCTTCTTTGTCCTCTTCTGCCATGAAAGCAAAAGTAAAGTAAAGGACCCTTTTCGCTTTCAGGCCTATTGGGCATATAGGGTTAAACCTATATTTTATAAACCCATTGACACAAGTATGTGATGTGGTCAGCATTACACCGGCTGCCTTTACTTCCCAGGACACCTGGTACCCATTCAAAGCTGGGTTGACCTGGTAGCCAAGGTAATGAAAAAAAAATTGGGGGGGGGGGGTGAGGGGTGGGGGGTTTCTGGTGCCGTCAGGACCTGAACCAATTACCTTCCAATTCACAGATGAGCATCTAGCCACTACACCATGGTGGCTACCAGGCCAAGAATGACCTGGATACTAATACTGGCAGCAACTGGTAACTCATTGACATGTGGTGTTATTGGACTACATACAATCTTCTTAGTGGTCACTGACTGTTAACTCCGGAGGAAGATTCTGGTTGTTGGTCCACTTCTGGATCTTGTTCCAGATCATGTGTTTTGTGTGCATATCCAAACAGATCTGACTTATTTGCATGCATATTTTTGGCTCCTTGCCACTCAGGCAGATACACCTGACTTTAAAGGAATGGGGTTATGATGATTATAAACATGTTATAAGCCAGCGGCAGCACCTGTCTACTTTTACTGTGGAGGGTATTTGCTCTTTTCTGTCACTTTTTCCAGACTCCCAAGTTTCTGATCTCAAGCCGGGCTCGTTACAGTGTATGGGTTACCATCAGAGTGGGCTGTATGTTGCTGGCAAGGTAGGAGTGCAGATGTTTATTGAAGTGCAAAAGCTACCCAAAATTTTTTTAATAACATGGAGAAAAAGTAGTTAACAGAGAGGTTAAATTATTTTTCTCTGCCTCCTCCCCTAAGATAGCCACACTGGCAAGCTTTGCACCAATGCACGTGGGAAGGGGCATGGACAGAGCAGACATTTTGAATGTTGTAGTGACTGGGCTATTGGATAATGACGAATCTCTGACACTAACATGATTGCCTGACATGTGACTAAAACATGGTGATAGGAGACATTATAACCAACTTCTCATGGGAACAATTAGTAGAAGTACCTTGGAGTGGCTGCTGCATCACAGGACTGAGCACGCATGGGACTGCCCAGTGTGCAGTTATGTCTATTATGATAACATAACATAAGATAGCCACTTCCTTTCCTGTGGGCCTTTTCCTGTCTATAGCCTGAGAACAATATTTTTTCTTCCACATATAGAATCCTTTTATTTTGCCTGCTCCTTTCCATCTTGTTTCACCCAATACCACAGTGTTAATCTTGTTATGTTTCGTTTTTCTTACTTCTCTTTCTGTGTTCATCCTTAAAAAGACAGTTGGTATGTTATGTTGTGGTTTACAGCTAGGCTGTAATATCTTGGTCCAGCATATCCAAATGCAGCAAATACTTAATTAGTTGCATTTTATGACATGCTTGTTAAGGACCAAGCGGTCTGTTCTTATTTTCCCCCAAAATTGGACCCCCGGAGCCGCCAAGGAGAGTTTCTCTTACCAATTCCAGTGTCTTTCCTAATTCATACAAAGTTATAACCAGGGCTTTTTTTAAATAGTGGTATGCAGCAGCATGTGCCCTCTCCCTAAGAACATGCTTTATTGTGAATAAAAATTGGGTAGAAGATGTTGAGGCAGACCTCTACTTTTGTATAGAGATGTATGCAAGCGGGACATGAATGATACAGGTATTGAGGTGGACTCATGGGAACAAAATGCCATGTACAGTTTTGTGTGGAGAGGACATATCAGGAAGGGAATGAGAATGAAGGAAGAAATGATTGCAGAACGGATGATAGCTGAGCGTCTGAGAAGAAACGGATTAAACACAAATGTTGACAACAATGGCCCTGAAATCCCATGCTATATTGTGGAAGACTTTTCTAGATACAGGCGGGTCTTGCTAGTCATACTCGCCATCGCCATGGGCTGTGAGTCTCATGCCTCCTCATAGCGCAATATAACACTATCGTCTGGAAAGACAGAAAAGTGCCAATCAGTCATGCAGCAGCATGTACCTTTCTTTTAGGCATCATTTTGTCACAGCAACTGTAGTAGACCTCATGGGGTGAGTTTTGGCACCTTGTGTAGATACTTTGTATTTTAGATTTTTTTTATATAAAAAAAAAATAAAGTCCTGGTTATAACATTTCAGGTGCCATATTTGGAGACATTCCTAGGGAAATGGAAATCTTTGCCAGATGGCTGAATTGTGTTCTTTTTTTTTTAAACGTCTCAAGAAAGCTGACCTCCGACCTTACTGGATACACAAACATGCACAGTATATACTCATAAACCAAAGGTTCTCACAACAGTAGTTGCAAACTCTTTCTGTTCAAAGCAGAACACTCATAAACCAAAGGTTCTCACAACAGTAGTTGCAAACTCTTTCTGTTCAAAGCAGAACACTCATAAACCAAAGGTTCTCACAACAGTAGTTGCAAACTCTTTCTGTTCAAAGCAGAACACTCATAAACCAAAGGTTCTCACAACAGTAGTTGCAAACTCTTTCTGTTCAAAGCAGAACACTCATAAACCAAAGGTTCTCACAACAGTAGTTGCAAACTCTTTCTGTTCAAAGCAGAACACTCATAAACCAAAGGTTCTCACAACAGTAGTTGAAAACTCTTTCTGTTCAAAGCAGAACACTCATAAACCAAAGGTTCTCACAACAGTAGTTGAAAACTCTTTCTGTTCAAAGCAGAACACTCATAAACCAAAGGTTCTCACAACAGTAGTTGAAAACTCTTTCTGTTCAAAGCAGAACACTCATAAACCAAAGGTTCTCACAACAGTAGTTGCAAACTCTTTCTGTTCAAAGCAGAACACTCATAAACCAAAGGTTCTCACAACAGTAGTTGAAAACTCTTTCTGTTCAAAGCAGAACACTCATAAACCAAAGGTTCTCACAACAGTAGTTGCAAACTCTTTCTGTTCAAAGCAGAACACTCATAAACCAAGGGTTCTCACATCAGTAGTTGCAAACTCTTTCTGTTCAAAGCAGAACACTCATAAACCAAAGGTTCTCATAACAGTAGTTGCAAACTCTTTCTGTTTAAAGCAGAAAACTCATAAACCAAGGGTTCTCACATCAGTAGTTGCAAACTCTTTCTGTTTAAAGAAAAAGCACTGTGTAATCACCTAAGTCTAGGGATGCCAGTTCACATGATGTGATCTAAACTTTAGCTTGAAAATGCTAGCAAAACCTGACTAATTATGCCAGTACCTAACACAGTGTATGCTTTATACATGGTATGTGTATGCTTTTTTTAAATTAATGCATTTGTGAATGTAATGTTGTTGGCACCTCTCAATTTTTCAAGATTATAGTGTTATAGAAAGGCAATGGCAAGTGTTTCCTAGACCAATTGAGGCAAGGGATGAAGTTCCCCCTCTACATAGCACAAAGCTTGGGCTGTATTGTAGAGACCATGTGTTAGCCATGCATCATAATCCATCTCTCAGCCTGCCTTGTTTACTCCAGAAGAAAGGTAATACCAAAAGGTTTGGAGTAAAGTATACTGCAGAAGCTACCAGATCAGAAGAGCCGTGTTCTGTCTGTCCACCTGTCAGAGCTTCCCTCCTAGGCCTTCTGCCAACCAAGGCTAAGGGCCTGATATTTCCTGATAACATTAAGTTTTCTGATTGCAATCTAAGATAAGGCTAGTCTCCAACCTCCACCCCCACCCCCACCCAATACTCTTCTCTGCCCAAAACCTTTGGTATAATTTGGGATGTCAGGTTAGGTATACACCTAACCTTATACACTTTACCTTCGGCAGCAACAGAAAACAGGTAGTGTCAACTACAGTGGAGACCTGAGGTGGACTAGGAGTAGGGTGGAGAGATGACATTAGAGAAAATACAAAAGTATTAAATGTCTACAGTCATGGTGACCGGAAGAACCACAATAATAACAGTGCATCTCCCATGACCCCCCCCCCCCTCCATTTGTGAATGTAAGGGACCCTTTTCCACACTTTAGGCATATTGGGCATATAGCGCTAGACCTGTATTTTATAGACCAATCCATACTCGATAGGTGATATAGTCAACATCACGCCTGCTGTCTTTAGGACTTTACCTGGTACCCACTCAACGCTGGGCCTACCTGGGAGACAGGGTCATTTTTTTAAAGAAAATCCAGTTCCATTTAGATTTGAACCTATGATCTTTAGTTCATGCTACACCAGTGGCTCTCCATTTATTAGTGTATGAAGTTTTAAACTTTATTTCTTCTTTATCTTCATAGGATGGTGTCATTCGCCTGCTTGATGTTACCAAAGACAAAATTGCTTTGAAGGAAGAACTTAACGTTACCTATCCAGTATCATCTCTTGCTTTCAGCCCAAATTATATGACTCTTGCGTGGGGCTCACCAGATGTAAAAATCTTTGAATTTATTTCTTATATGTTAAATTTTAATGTTTGTGTTTTCTTCTACAGAAGAATCAGCATATTGTCATTAAATAATTCTTAGTTCTTTCGTGTTTAAAAATCACTCAGACGTTCAGAGGAAGAAGGTGTCATGTGCCTGAAATTAAGAACACAAGAATATGTAATATCATCTTCTTCTTTTTCTTGTTGTTTTCCCTACTAGCCGTTTTCACATGAGAAAGCCACCTGCCTCTATAAAGGTTGTGGTGCGACTTGTGGTGCGACACATATCTTCTACTGATCTATGTGGTTTGGTTTCCACCAGAATGCTAGCTAGCTAGATCTGAGATCTTTTATGTATAAAATAAAATGATGTTAAGAGATAAACAGTTTTATGATGAATCTTGGGATCTATCAGTGGTGCAAAAAGCGGGAAGTGGTGAGTGAGAAGCAACAACGAAATTCACAGTCTGTTTTATTCATCGCTGATAACTGAAATGGCGGGGAAATGGGTCGGTCCTGTGAGGGTCAAATGGGTCCAATTTTGACTTCATGAGGGCCACACACGACAACTAATTGGAGGCATTGAAAAAAAAATTATTGCATAATATTTCCTCTGTAGGGACTGCAGGTGTGCTTGCTGAGGGCTGCCATGTTGACAAGCCTGATGTAAAGATAATGGCTGATGACACAGAGGCAAAAACTGTGTACACACAGCATTTGAATGGCCATCGACCACGAGGCACACCAAGAAGACAGTAGAGTGATAATATACAGGCCGACCTACAACCGGAGTCATCAACTGGAAAGAGAGGGCCAGTCACAGAGATGAATGGAGGCAGGTGATATCTGCAGCAGTGGATCTCGAGAGCTCGGATGCTGAAGAAGAAGAAGAAGAAGAAGTTGAAAGGCAGTGGTGCGGTGTACATGTAACGGCTGTAATTGCTGCTTACGATTTCCATTGCCAAAGAAAAATGCATTTTTAAAGCTATTTATTTTTCCTGTTTACTATTTATTATAGACACGCCACTCAGTTTATGTCTCAAACATAGCAAATAGTAAGCTCGCTGCATACTTACAGCTCTAATGCAGAAACTGTAACGTCAAAGTTATCGTTTACTAGAACTATGATGCTAGTTGTACACATATACTCTAAACAGCAAAGTGACGAGGAAGAAAATACCACATGACACCCTGTCCAGTATAATCATTACCTACTAATGCTTCATTATCATCATCATCATGTGCCGTCCCGGTAAGCCTAGGCTGTCATGGTTCGCCATCTCACACGATCACCAGAATCCTGGATCATTTCAGTGTTTTAGTCTCGCTCCATCCTTTTGGCCTGGCCATCCAGGAATTTGTCTCTTTGCCTGCCTCCACTAATGCTTACACATGCAAATTGATCTTGCCTTGCCACTGATGTGAGGATCAACTTCATTGCCCTGGGTTTTATTCTGAATGGCTTGCTGTCTCATCAAAGAGTCTGAACTCTACAGCTCCAGCATTGGTTTCCAACAATCTCTCAAACATCTGCACTTGTGACCCAAGGACAAGCCTCAAAATTGAACCTACAACTTTAAGAGCACAGGGCAGATGGCTTTTCCCCTTCACCAAGAAGATCCGTAACAGAGAATTTGGGGATGAGGCGGAATTAGAGATAACATATCCCTTTCTGTCCGCAGGCTAGCATCTAGCCACTGCGCCTTAACAGCTTCCACCATTACTTTGAAAGATAAATTTCTTGTCACTATTTTCTCACACACAAAGTCTGTCCGGATTCAGCTTCTGTGGCTTAGAGGTTGTGAACGCAGTTTCACAAGTCTGAAATTCTGGGTCCAGTTCAGCTATTGGCAGTTTGACAGTGGGCTTCTTTGCATTGTCTTTCGTAGTTGTATGGGTGTTAAACCTTTCAGAGAGCCGTAGCAGACTACTGAATGTAAAATTGCCTAGCAAAATCACATACAGCCAACAAATGCTTCAGTTGGTTTGCAACCTCTGTTAAAGGATATAGCTGCGATATTCCAGCTGAATACAATGTGGAAGAGCAAAATCAGCATCCCAGTTAAGGTCAATATATATAAATCACTGGTATTGTCTATTTCGTATATGGATGTGAGAGTTCGACTGTCACTGTAGAAATGGAAAGGAGGATATAGGCTTTTAAATGTAAATGCTATAGACGCATTTTACATGTTAGTTATTTAGACTACAAAACTAATAGATATGCCAGAGACAAAATATACACATTTGCAGGACATCAGGAGCCCCTCTTGGCAGTGGTGAAGCATCGAAGCTAACGTGATTCAGGCATGTGGTGAGATATGATTTAATTGCAAGGACCGTACTTTAAGGAATATTGGGGGTAGTCGAAGAAGGGGAGAGCAGAGAAGAACCTGGAATGACAACATCAAGAAATGGACAGGATTAAGTTATCATACACTTATTCGTCAAGAAGAAGACAGAGAAAGATGGCTGGTTTTATGTGTGCTAGTGTTTCCATCGGGAGTCGCCGCGGCCGAGCGGCTAGACGTTCGCAGCGGATCAGAAGGTCTTGGGTTCGCTCCCTGGCGGAGCCGGACTGTTTTCAATAATGACCTTGGCTCCCAGGTCGACCCAGCCTTGAGTGGGTACCGGGTGCAATACCGGGAAAGTAAAGGCGGCCGGTGTGATGCTGACCACATCACCCATCTTGTGCCGATTGGTCTATAAAAATATAGGTCTAGCCCTATATGCCCTATACGCCTGATGGCGTGGAAAAGGGTCCTTAACTACATACAGCAGTATTTCCATCGATACACCTCCACGACCCTAACTGGTCAAGGGTTATGTTATGTTAAAGAACACACAAATAGGTTTAATTCTAAGATTTATTGTAGTCAGAAACAAATTTACCCTGCTAAACAGTTTATACTAAATACTGGTCATTATTATTTTTTTTTGTTTTATTTGTGTTTGTTGTTGTGTTGTTTTGCTAAATTATTTAAACAAACATTTTAAACAGAATCATTTAATTGAATGCTTTTTTTGTTTGTTTCAAAACACTGAAAATAGGGAACCATAGAGCATTACATCTGTGGCAACAAGAACTCAAAGACCACTTTACTGGATGTGAAACATGGGCTCATTGTGGGTATTGGAGCACTGCCTTTAGGATCAGACTGTGCCGTGGTATGTGAAGATTTGTCCATTTCTCTTCAGCATTACAATTTCAGTTATTAACCATGGGAAAATGTTCTGTGTGGTAAAGTAAGTTCTTGGCATCTTTCCATCTTTCCACACGATAGTGTTCTTTTGTTAAAGGCTAAAGTCGAAATGATCGACTTCATTGCACCAGGTTTTATCCCATATAGCTCAGTCTGTCTCAACAGAATGGCTAGCCGCCTGCCGAGAGCGTTGCACAGTCATGAACACCATGGTTTTGATGACCATCCCCAGAAATCTCCGTAAGAATTGCACTTGTGAACTGAACAACACAGCTGTGAATCGAACCTATTACTTTCAGCACCCAAGGCAAATGGCTTGACCACTTCTGTATTATGCTTTAGGAAGTCATGGGAATCACAGTCCTTGGCAATAACCAGTTAAGGCTGGGGATCAAATTCCTCCTCTCCATGGAACAAGGCCTAGGTAGTGTTGTAGAGACAAAAGTTGCCCTGCAGCAGCACTCATCTCTTAGACTCCTTTGTTAACACCAAGACGTTTGAAACAGTGTTCCCTGCGTGGGTTCTAGAGCCCCATCCATTCGGGGGGGAGGGGGGGGGGGGAAGGAATAGACCATTGCCCCCCTTCCCTCAACAAGTGTGTCACAAAATGCAGTTAATTAGGGATGCGTCCTTCAAAGTCAGAGTGCATTTGCCTGAGAAGTGAGGAACCAACAGTCTTTATACAAATAAGCAAAATCTGTAAAATTGATGTGCATGCAAAATACAAGTCCTGGAACAAGACCGAAGTCCAGAAGTGGAGGAACAACCAGAACTTTCTGCCAGAGTTGACACCTAGTGAAGGTCAAGAAGAAGAAGAGCAAAGTGGGCTACAGAAGCAGCCGATTAGAAGAGCAGTGCTCTGTCCTTTTGTCAGAGCTTCCTTAATATGCTAGGTCCAACTAAGGCTAAGGACCTGGTCTGCCCTACCATAACATTAAGTTTTCAGGCTGCTTCTCTCATCCTGATGAAGTATTAAACTCTTTTCAAGCTATCAGAGAATCAGGCATCAATCATCATCAAACATCAAGTGCCTTGCCAGCTGGCATAGGCATTCATGCATCTCCACAGATCTCGGTCTTTTGTGTTCTGGATCAATTCCTCTGATGATATTCCTCCATTCCACTGTCTTAAGCCATCCACTATCATGTCTCATAGTCTGCCTCTGCCTCTTCTACCAGTGATCTTTCCAGTCATCACAATATTTTTCAGAGCTCCTTTTCTCATCATATGATCAAAGAACTTTGTCTCCTTCTTATTGTTGTATATAATGTTCTACTTTCATTAGCCATTTCTAGGCCATCATTGTTAGCTACACTTGCATAATTGCAGAACCCATATTTTTTAAAGACCAGTCAGCACCTGATAGGTGATCTGTTAACATTATGCCAGCCTCTTTTACTTCCCAGTAAATTTCCTGGTAACCATTTTAGTTTGAGTCAACCTTGAAGGCATGGTCAGTTTTAAAAATCCACCTTGATGCTGATTCAAACTAAAGACCTTCAGGTCTCTAGGCAAACATCTAGCCATTGCCACACCGTGACTCTCATTCTGTGTGGTATTTATATTTATAAACAGTAATCAGAACATTATTAGTATAATTTTAAATACAAGCTCGTTGTCCAGATAATGAGAATTATGCGCAATATTTACTGTGCCTTGAATAAATGCTGAAAATTGATTATGTGGCAAAATAAATTACTTAGAAAAATATTTTGGCTTGACATCCAGTGTGTGGCTCATCAGACCATTGTGATGTCAAGTTGACAGTTAGGGTGCAGACTCATATCACAAAAAGAAAAAAAAAAGCTATTCTGGGATTTTGTTTTTCAACAACTGCAGAAATAGCAATGATCAAGTTTACCAGAAAAGTAGCCATTGTTTGGAAGTGTGGACCAGATATGGTGCTTCTCAAAGAAAGACTAATCTGAGCTAAATGAGGTCAAATCCCTTGGGGAGCTGTTGAGCAATGTTGAAGTACAGCTTTAGCATCATAGTCTGGAGATTGTAGCAGCGGGGAGTGACCAGGGGATCTTGCTGACATCCAACACTTAGAGGCAAGCCAAGATGTGAGGTCTGATCTTAACTCAACTCGACTTAACACACAATTCAAAGACTGTCAAGAAAATGGAAGTGGCATGTGTAGCTCTTACACCTGCCAGTTTTGTTGAAAGTCCTTGAAGAGGAAAGCTGTTGTCTTCGTCCATCACGAGTGATGAATAATGCTTTTATAAAAAGTAGCAATGATCAATGATTATGAGTGATAATCGGATGAAATTGACTTATGCAAGGACTTGGATTTAAGTGAGGAAGACTTGCGCAGTTCTCGACCTCACTCTGTCGCCTGTGTCTATCTTGATCCAGGGGCAGGACAATGTTGAGACAATTGAAAGTAAACCTTGGTGCAGTGGAGGACCAAGGCATCTGAAGAGGAAAGCAGTTGGTATCTGAACATATAAAGTGGCAAGTCACTCTCTAAAAAAAAGTGTGAAGCAGCATGGACAATACTGACATAATCAGTCCATATAGATTAGGCTAGTGGATAATGATTAGTTTCTGATGCTAACCTGATATATGGCCTAGGGATAAAGCCTGGCCAAGCATGCCTTTGCTGTCTTTGAGCTCAAGAGAGGATGCATTATAACCTTTTCATGAGAGCATTGAGTAGAGGTACCTTAGGATGGCTGCTGCATCAAAGGACTAAACGTGTATAGTAATGCCTAATGTGCAGTGATGTTGATTGTGATAATGTAGCAGAAGAAAAATGCAGCAGATGTTCAAAAACTAGCTGATGTTGCTTGGATTTACTTAGTGTTGCAGCACAAACTACAAGTTGTAATCTATGTCTTAGGGAAATGAGGTCATTTCACCAGTTGTTAACAGTATTATCTTTCTTAGCGCTGTCTGGCTGTAAACTTCCAGTGGAAAGTTCTGGATGCTCATCCACTTCTGGACTTTTGTCTTATTCCAGAACCAGAGTTTTGCATGCACATCTGTCTTAGAGATCTGACTCATTTGTATTCAGGTAGGTTCCATGTCTCTCAGGCAGAGGCACTCTGACTTCGAAGGAACACCCTAAATAGTCACCATCTATGACATGCTTGTTTGGAAGCTGTGGGAATGTTCGTTTATCTCCAAAATGAGACTCCATAACACACATGGGGATGTTAATAGTTTGATCTGGCACACATTTTATGCATAAATTTGTTTATTGTAAGCCTAAATATGCATAATTTTGGCTTGGCACAGAAGTAGTTTACACTGCGATTCAATTGCTCTGATAACAAACTGTAGGTTTGCTCAGTTCTTTAACACGAGTAGTTCACAAAGAAACATTTCTGCTGACAGCATAATGGGAATTTTAGTTGTTTGAATAATGAATGCTTAGATAAACTCATATATAATTTCTGCTGTAAAGATAATTTTTGTGATTTCCAGTCACTTAGAGAAAGTGGCCTTCTGCAAGTATGGAAAATAACTGATGGAACATTTCAATCGGAACTGCAGATCGGTGAATGGGTGAGTAAACCACTTCAGTGTTTTATGTTTAGTCTGTCAGATGGCCTGTTCAAAATCATTGCTAAATACAGTTGCCAACCCATACTATTTTGGCTCATTGAATTCTTCCATGAGAATATTAAAGGAACTGTTATATATGAAGATTCATCATCCTCACCCTTCCAAATTCGTAATTGGGTAAAGCAGGGTTGTGTCCTTGCTCCCACATTGTTTGGCATCTTTTTAACTGCATTCACTGTGATTTTTAGCCACTGAATGGATATTTCTTCATTTGAGGTCAGATGGCAACATCTTTAATCTGTCCAGGATTCTGGCAGGGACTAAGGTGCAGACAAAAATGCCTCAGGGACTTTCTATTTGCAGATGATGCAGCCTACAGAAAATGACAATCAGATTCTTATGAATCACTTGGCATATGCCAGCAAATAATTTGGACTCACCATCAGTCTCAACAGACAGCAAGTGATTTGGATGAATGTGGTAAACCCACCAAGCATTTACGTTTACGACAATGAGCTATTATTTTGACTCACCGTCAGTCTCAGCAGACTGCAAGTGACGTGGATGAATGTGGTAAACACACCAACCATTGGCATTTATGACCATAAACTGTTGCTTGTACATGAGTTTGAATATCTAGGCTGTCAAGTCACAGATGATCTTTCCCTAGGTGCAGAACTAAACAGAGAAATAGGGAAGGCTTCTGCAAGGCTTTCCAAACTCACAGCAAGAGTGTGGTCAAACAAAAAGCTAATGGATATGACCAGAGTTAGTCTATGAAGCTTGCATCCTAAACATGTTCCTTTATGGCAGTGAAACCTAGACTCTCTGTGCTCCTCAAGACAAAAAGATTGAATACTTTCCACATGCGCTGTATGACACACATTCTAGTCATTTAATGGTGAGACTTTGTCCCTTGTATATGAGTGCTCAAAAGAACAGAGATGTCTGAATTGTTTGAGACATGTCTGTCGTATGGAGAAGGTCACAGTCCAGAGATCTCCTGTGTAGTGAACTGGTAACTGGGAGAAGATCTGCTAAAAGGCCAAAGCTATGCTATAAGGACATATGCAAACATGACCTGAAAGATATCAGCATTGAGACAGACACTGGAAAGAGATGAGCTGGAGAGATTAACTGCAGACCCACTCTTTTGGAAGCAGACAGTGAAGGATGGATTGTTGCAGTTTGAAAGAGGCCAATTGCAGCACGCTGTAGATAGGAGCATCTGAGAAAAAACTAGCCTCAGAAGGATAGTGTCAATGTTTTTATGTGGACTATATGGCAGAGAACTACTGGATGTAAATTTGCCTAGAAAAACCACACAACAGCCAGGAGCTGTTGGGGTTGGTTCTGCAACATCCTGTAAAGGATACGCAACTAACCTTTAGTCGGCTCTGTGGCTAAGTCGATGCGAACGATTCATAATGCCGGGATGCTGGGTTCGATCTCAGCTGCAGGGCCATGCGCCTTGCATTGGTTTCAACAGTGGTATCAAGAAAGCCGACCGTCCAGAAAGCAATGGCAAACTACTGGACGTAAATTTGCCTAGAAAAACCACACAACAGCCAGGGGCTGTTGGGTTTGGTTCTGCAACATCCTGTAAAGGATACACAACTAACCCTAATATGGCAGAGACTGCCACTACTGCATTGGACTTTACAGTCATTGCACACTCTGTACCAAAAACCAGCAGCACAACTCCATGGTCCCAGAGACTGACAGTTGCCTACTAGTATGTCAGATCAAAACTAATGAGATTTGTATTTATTTGATGCTGTGCCGAAGGATAAATATTTCCAAGTTTGCTCATGTTAAATACAATGGTTTATTCTAAGTGTATTTCAGTGAATAAGACAACAAGGCATAGTACATGTGTGTGAAATTTGTGTTTTTATTAATTGTTATTTTCTCAGAAAAATATGAACAGTTGGCGTTTCACGGTGTTCCAAATCATTGCGCAAGCTGCATTATTCCATACAGTGAAATTTGGCCAGATTGTCATTTCGTCAGCACTTCGAATGAGAGGTGCTTGAACATTGCCTACCCGATACTCACTGACTTTATTATACATCTGACTTTTAAAGAAGCACACAGCTAAAAGCCATTTGAACTGATGACTTCATGCAGGAAAACTGCAGTGCCCTGGCTGCTGAATCCTGACAATGATAGAACCACTGCCTAGAGAAATGTGGAGGCTGTGTGGAAAGTTATTTTGATTACTAGCTATTTTTGTATTCATACAGCATATTTTATTGTCATTTTCACTGAAACACCCTTGTAGATATAGATCTTATTCTTCTTCTTTGCATTCACCGTCTGTAAACTTTGGTGGAAAGTTCTGGTTGTCTGTCTATTTTTTTACTTTGGTCTTGTTCCAGAACTTGGATTTTGCATGCAAATTTGTTTTGATGATCTCGCTTATTTATATGCAGACTGTTGATTTCTAGTTTCTCATGCAGATGCACTCTGACTTTGAAGGGACCCCCTCCCCTTTCCCTCAACCAGTTAGTTGCCATTTATGGTATGCTTATTAGGGGGCATTGGGTCTATTCTCCCCCCCCCCCCCCTCAACCCTCAGTGGGGCCCCAGAACTAACACGAGCAATAGACATGGATGACTATTGTGGCTTCTGTTAATTTACAATAATTTGGGGAAATTAAACCCAACTGTTAGCTCCTTATATTTATGTGTATATGAGTTTCTTTTAATTTCTTTTAAAATGTGAGTACCAGAGAGTGTAACTTCTGCTTATTCTATTCAAAGCCGCTACTTTAAGCTAATGTTTGGTCTAAAGGGGATACAAATGGTGTGCAATAAATACTGACATGGACTGGGTGATTTAAAAAATAAAATTTCAGTAAATACTGACATTCTGGTCTGGCTTGGTAGTCTTAGTTTCAGCTTGATAGCAAACGGGTCACCCCATCTTTGCTCCGCTCCTGTGCCAACTAAAAAAAAACACAGAATGTTTATCACAGTCCCTTGTGAAAAGATTGACATACTGCTGTCTCAGCATATCTAGCATACACATGCATTAAAGCATACGGTAGCCATCCAAAGTGCTAACACAGACCAACATTAGAAATGCAGTTCATCATTGATGGCAGCAAAAGTCACCATTAAATCAGCGATCAATTTTAATCACATACGGGCACCACCAACATTGCGACGACAGGCATCGCAGTCGCGCCATTTTCTTAATCTACAATTTACACCACCACTTGGTCACAGTCGAAAAATACATTCTAAATGAAATCTGCAGCTCACAGTGTCACGCCATGCATTCAGCTCAGAAGCTGGGCGATAAAACTATATCCAGTCTACAAATGGAGCAAAAATGCATCGGCCGCCGTCCGGCAGAAGCAACAAATTTGCCTTGGCTCCAAACAGTGCCCCTGCCTAGCATCCATTTTGACCGGAAGTCAAATAAACTGACATTCACATCATGTTGGCATCACTCATGGGAAGAATTACAAAAGAGAATGCTGTTATTAGAGAGGCATTTACACAAAGAAACATTGGGAGGGCTGAGGCAACTAACTATTTTCTGCAATTATTAGTTTTTGATGAGCTCTGTAGCTTTCAGCAAGTATTTCTGAGCTTTCATAGCAAATTTTGAATGTTTGATTTGGGCATTTTTTAAAATTTAATGCTCTATTCTTGTTATTGTCTTTTTGTTAATTGTTTTATATTATACTGCTCATTTTATTTTCACATCTAGTTATTTCACACGTCTTGTGTTGATATTGATGTTCACTTTTCCTTTTACATTCATCTGCTTCACATAAACATTCAAGAAATATGCGAAACATTTATAAATATAAATGGAATTGAAGTTATATCGTTGTCATTGTTTTCTATATTCTGAAAGGCCGAATCACTAGCTTGCAGCCGCCTAGCCCAGTATGCTGTTGCAGGCACCACATCTGGAAACTTGTGTTTTATTGACCTTACAAACCCTCAGAAACCAAGGCTGATCATTAAACAAAGGTTGTTCAGACAACCTCTGAAGCACTTGGTGTGAGTTGCAATTTTCTTTCTTGTATTTTTTTTTTCTTTCTAAAAAGGGTTATCAAAGTAACAGATCATTAGGGTAAAAAAAAATCTTAAAAATATATATATATATATATATATATATATATATATATATATATATATATATATATATATATATATATATATATAAACTATTAACAAAATGTTCAGATACCTTTTAAAGCATTTTTGTAAGTTTCAGTGTTTTTTTTTCTTTAATGTTTATCAAAGTAGCAGATCTTTCATAGTTCACATAAGATTAAATATTAAAACTTCTGTGCCATCTCCACAGTGAAGGTTGGCTATGAAGTACTACTGTTGTCTTTGGGAATGTTACCTGTGAGGCCCCAGTCTCTTCCACGGCGCGACTCTCATACTATTGTCTAGAATCCATTTGAACAGTTTTTTTTAAAACGGTCTAATGAGGAAAAGGAGCCCTAGTACTCAAGGATCGTGAAATTGTTAGCCTTATTCACAAGCCTCTGAGATATGCAATTTAATGTAAATATCAGTGAAATAAAAGCATCTATGGATTACGTTATCTGAACAGTTTCATAATTCTGACCTGGTTCGATTTACCTGAAGGATAGTCTTATATTGAAGATGATACCCGTGTACCTGTGTTTACTTTTTCTCTGAAAGCTATTACTTGTTGACTTTATTACTAATTGAAGAGACAGAATCAGAAATAATGGTACTAGGAAAGAGGGGACAGAACCAGTATTAAACTACATCAGGAGACAACAGATCAGGTGGTTTGGACATGTGTCAAGGCTACCACGCAGCCTAGTGCACCACAGAGAGCTCTGTCACTTGGACATAATGGAACCAGAGCTAGTGGGTCGGTGGATAGATAAAATACCCTAGGCCTTGATACCACCATCTCCGTAGCATATACCAAGGTTCACGTCTTCTTTAAAAACTGATGCTGAAAGGCAGAACAGGACTAGAGAAAATGAAAAAGAAAAAGAATTACTAATTTTCCTTTGTTATATAAATATAGCAGGTAAAAGGATTTTGTCATGCTTGGCAGTTAATAAATACTCTTAATTTGTAGAAAGCATTTGGAAGTCATTCCCCTGTGGGTTCCTTGGCCCCATTGTGAGGTAAACAAGAATAGACCCTCTGCCTCCCCAGCAAGCAAGTCATAGGAGTCAACTATTTAGGGGCTTCCTTCGAAGTTGGTGTGCATCTGCCCAAGTGGCAAGAAACAACTAATTGCACACAAGTAAACCAATAAAACAGATGTGCATGCAAAACTCTGTCCCAGGCACAAAGCCAAATGGGCAAACAACCAGGACTCTCCACCAGAGCTTACAGCTAGTGAACACAGAAGAAGAAGATTTGGAAGTCTCATGTAACTTCCTTCATCTGAATCAGCAGACCTGGACATGCCAGTGTAAAAGTTGATGAATGAGAGGACCAACTGGCAAGCAAAGCACCAACACATGTAGGAAGAAGCATGGACAGAGATGATATAATCACCGTTGTACGTACTAGGTTAGTTTATGATAGGTTAGTATAGGTAATGACGAATCTCTGACACGGCTATGCTGCCTTTGAGGTCATGGTAGGAGTCACTATAATCGACTCCTATGGGAACAATCAATCTGGCTTCCTTGGAATGGCGGCTACACTGGAGGACTGAGCATGCATAGGATTGCCCAAATCTGGGGTGACGTCAGTTGAAATAACATAACACAACTTTAAATACCTTATGTGTCAGCGGCGACATTTAGAGAATATACATATAGAAACATTAAAAACAAACTTTACATATGCATTTTGAAATTTCAGTTTCAATGGTGATGCTGGAACACTCTTATTTGTAGCATCCAATGTCAGCAGCATTTTCGTTGTTGATGCCCGGGCAACAATGGGCTTCAATGTACTAGGGTTTCTGAGTAAGTAGATTTCTGCTATTATTTCTTGTATGTGTTCTAAAATCCTAAAGACAGTATGAGAAATGTCCATTACAGCCCAGAAGGGTTGAATCAGATACTTCCCAAGGTGTGTTCCATGGCCTCATTTTGGTTTCCAAGCCCTTGTTTTGGGGACAAAGTGAATTGACCCACTGCTGCCACCCATTCCCCACAACAAGCATGTCATAAAAGGCAACTAATTAAACGTTTGCTGAAATCAGATTGTGGTGCAGAAAGGTGCACATGTTGCAGCCTAGCTGTAAAGCACAATGGAGTGTGCTACTTTTAAGGACAAATGAAGAAGAAGAAGAAGAAGAAGAAGTAGAAGAAGAAGAAGAAGCAACAGCAGCAGCAGCCAGCAGCAGAAGAAGAAAAGAACAAGAAGAATTTGATAACTTTCATAAAAGTAGTACTACTGCTGTTCCCTTTCTATGTCCTGCTCAATATCAGATGGACAAATTCTATGTTTTCTGGTAAATGATCATACAGTTACTAACATATTTTATGACTGGTGCCAATTTCAACAATTTAATAACTTTGACAGCTGTGAGTGGCAAAACTCAGTCCCTGTCAACACACGTGAGTGGCCACAATTCAACACTGTTAGTTGCCTGCAACAACAACCCTCAGATAACAGGTTCAAATCTTCTGTACAAGTTTACCATCTCTGATGATACTATTAAAGGTCAGTTTTCACGTTCACATTAGACGAGCAACAATGAAATTTATACTATGTTTAAATCACCACTAGTAGAATATAACGGTTGGGGCATACTGAGAGTAAGGCAGTTAACAAAGAGGCAAAAACTGTGCACACAAAAAAGTTAAATAGGAGCAGACTATGAAGCAGACCAAGAAGACGGCATAGAGGATAATGGCAGACCTATGAATACTTGAGGTCACCTCCAAGGGCTTGGAATGCTGGAGAAGAGAAAGATAAATGTTGGCATATATATCTAATTATTTGTTTAATTAGTACACTGTAAAATCAGAGCACGCTTGCACTTTGTAGAGCCTGGCTAACCCTGCCACATGTGATTGTGGTCAAAAACAACACACTCTAGAGCATGGTTTTCAAGGCTGCCTAGACTTTACGAGTCACACAGACGACAGGTATAACCCTGTGACCCCCCCAAAAAATGTGAAGAACTGGTAAAGACTTCAAGTGCACTCTCCTGTGTGTGACCCATGTTGGAATAGAAGAAGAATTGAATAAGTAGGAACATCTCTATGGTGAATTAAAGATAGCTAGAAATCAGGATCAGCTTCTAATACAATGCACAGATATGTATAAGAGGGGAAAAACTGATACAGGTATTAGGATGGATTCAAGGATCATGGAAGCAGGATATAAAGGTAAAATCAGAAATGGAGTAAGGTCTGGGCTACCAGGTTTTGGCTGCTTCTGATTGGGCAGTTTCTGTGTTTCGGGTGGTGGTTTGCTAGCTCTGAAAAGGGCTATTGGTTTTTCTGCCCAGAGCAGTTCTTTTGCATTTTTTTCGCATGGTGTCTCCAGCACCAGAACCCAGAACACACCATATGAGAACTGCAACAGAACCGCCTCAGGCAGAAAAACTGATATCCCTTCTCAGGGCTAGCAGACCACCGCCTGAAACATAGACACCACCCAATCAGAATCCTATCACTCTAAAGGCATTAACAATGTTGGCGCGATCCATAGGCCACAGAATGCAAAAAAAGTCAGACTATCAGCTCTATCATCGCCAACAACACCCACCATGACATAATATAATGAGGTGATCAGTTTTCTTCTTTGTTGCCTTTCCTTCTCAGATGATCTTTAGGAAATTGTTTGCTAGCCATTTTTATGTGGTTTTGTAGACCCCATAGCAAAATTGGCAGGAAACATTATCCTTCATCTGCTGAGATTGAACCTTAACCACAGTCTTGGCAGGCAAGTATTCCAACCACTTTGCCACATTCGCTTAATTTATTTATTTGTATATAATACCAGTACTCCCCATGTGTGTTCTGGGACCCTATTTTTGGGTATGGAGGGGGGAGATAATAGACCCACAGGCACCCCCCCCCCCCCTTTCCCCGTAAGCATATTGTAACCTTCATTGTGGAGAGGTCATACAATTTGTTATTTCAAATGTTATGTATTTGGCTTTTAGGGACTGAAAGGGTTAATTATCAACACTTCTTTGATTGACTATCTGCAGATATCCACCTACATTACAAAAGTTCAATGTGTGACATCAAAGAGGAATCCTGTCGATCTCTTAAAATGGGACTTCGGCATGCCATTTGCAGCATGGCTCTAGGGGAGAATGACATTGTCTATGCCATCAGTGCTAGCAGTAAACGGCTGCTAACATTCACCTTGCCAGATCAAGATAAAAAGTTGAGGAAGGTCTGGAAATTTTCATTGTTTATTTATTTTTGTATGTTAGTAAAAGGTCCATTTTCCAGGTATTTTTGGGCATATAGGGCTAGACCTATATTTTATAGACCAATAGGTGCTTGGTGGGTGATGTGGTCAGCATCATGCCGGTCGCCTTTACTTTCCAGGACTGTACCTGTTACCTACTCAAGGCTGGGTTGACCTGAGAGCCAAGGTCCTTTTTGGAAGAAGTCAGGACCCAAACTTAGGTATGTTAGGGTCTTCATTATTTTCATTAAGAAATTTTCAAACAGATTTGAACTTTTTGTTTTTAACTAGATCATTTGCATTGGTTAATTAGTGCATTCATATTGTGACCTCTTTTTTCTTTTGTCATTATCTGCTTTCTGCTGCTGGGTGGCACATATACCATGTTGATAAACCTTTTCACATCACCATTATTGCCTTTTCACCGTCACCATGATTGCTTTTTCACCGTCACCATGATTGCCTTTTCACCGTCACCATGATTGCCTTTTCACCGTCACCATGATTGCCTTTTCACCGTCACCATGATTGCCTTTTCACCGTCACCATGATTGCCTTTTCACCGTCACCATGATTGCCTTTTCACCGTCACCATGATTGCCTTTTCACATCACCATGATTGCCTTTTCACCGTCACCATGATTGCCTTTTCACCGTCACCATGATTGCCTTTTCACCGTCACCATGATTGCCTTTTCACATCATCATGATTGCCTTTTCACCGTCACCATGATTGCCTTTTCACATCACCATGATTGCCTTTTCACATCACCATGATTGCCTTTTCACATCACCATGATTGCCTTTTCACATCACCATGATTGCCTTTTCACCGTCACCATGATTGCCTTTTCACCGTCACCATGATTGCCTTTTCACATCACCATGATTGCCTTTTCACATCATCATGATTGCCTTTTCACATCACCATGATTGCCTTTTCACATCATCATGATTGCCTTTTCACATCACCATGATTGCCTTTTCACTGTTACCAGTCTCAAAATTAGCCTACACATCCCAGTATTTATCTCCTCTTTTCTTTGATTTTTCCCCATCAGTTATTCCAGTTATTATTAAGCTTTTCAAGTTTATTTCTCCTCTTACCTTACCAAATGAATCTTGATTATCCACATATCAGTCAGTCAGTCGGCATGTCCTTCACTTAACATTGCTCTCTTCACAGCATGCCTAAAAGTCTCTTTCTCTAGCCAGTTCTTCAGCCTTATGTGCTTTCATAACTAGTGCATCTTCAATGTCCTGTATCCAGCTTTGCAGAGGTCAGTCTCTGCCTCATTTTCCAAAAGCGGCACCCCCACTCCATTCTCTCCAGACAACCTTGGTGCTAGTCGAAAAATATCTTCATATAATTTCCATAAATAGTTTTAATCTGTTTCTTGAAGGACTATTTTGTTCATTTTTCACTTTGTTCATGGTAATCTTTGCACTTTCCCTAAAAAACTTCAATTATCCGTATCTTGTTCACTTCTTGTTTATGTTTCATGTTGCCTGGATATATGGCAACTAAAATGTATAAATGTGTACTGAGATATAAGAAAACTGCAGTATTATTTAAGTAATCCTTAAAAGTTGAACTTTGTTACTGTGCTCTTTTCTGCTGTGTAGTCAGCTTAAATTAAATTTCAAATGCCTGTACTCAAATTTATGTTTATTTACTCTGTTTTCAGATTGATTTACTTTTGACTCCCACTGACGATTACCCTGGCCATCATCTGCCAGGAGGGAATGTACTCATTTCTCCCCACTCAAAATGGCTTCTCACCTATGGACCAGATGGCAACATTAAGATTAGGACCTGTGCAGCACTAGTATGTCTGAAACGTATATTGTTAAATATGAGCAATCCAATATTTTCTCTTTGTTTCAACTTCATTTCTATGCCTTAACTCTTTCAGTCCCAAGGGGTTTAGCATATGAGGCCCAAGGGGTGGTGAAAAGAGATGTAAAATGAGCACATCTTGTGTTTACTAGGCTTCTAGGTAAGAACCTATGAACGTATGATGCATTCCTTGGGACTGAAAGAGTTGAGCTTCAGAGGCTGTAAGTTCTGTTTCATGCTGTGTCCTTTTGTTCATGAGTACAAGTGTTTCAGGGATCACTGAGGATCATCACTATAGCTGTATTTTCATGCTTTGTATCAGTGGCAGCTCATATCTAAAATTACTACGGCTGCTGCTTCAGAAATTTGTTTTCATTGTTTTAACACTGAAATTTGAATGTTGAATCAAGAATAGATATCATAGCATTCAGGACATTCCCATAAGTGCTCCATCCTTATCTTCAACAGCAAGACAGTGTTTTAATTCCAGTGGTACCAATAACAATCTAATTGCAAATCCACCTCACCCTTCCCTTAAGTGTTGAGCATCGGCCAGATCCCATGGTCACTGCTCGCAGCACCTTCTCCTCAGACCATGTGTTTTAATGTTTACAGTTTTTTAACAGTGTGTAAAGGAAAAAAAGAAACATAAACAGAAAAGTTAAACATAAACTTGAGTATATCCTTTATAAAAATATGTACAATTATTAATAACCTAAGTTGTTACAATTTAAGCCTAATGCATTCATTCAAAAATAAAATCTATTCTTCTTGTTTTACTTGAGGGAAAAGGCAAATAAAACAGGGTTGGCCAGCACTGTGTGTGTGACTGTGCCCCCTCTACCTTATTCGTATCTCAGACATATGCACCTGTGCAAAAGAGCCAAACAGTGTCTTTGGAGTTTTTTTTTTTTTAAAGTGAACTAGGGGATGGCTGCTGAAATTCAGCTTAAATATTATATAATGTACAATTATAAAATAAAAACTCATATTTCTTGTTATTAATATTGAGTGAAATTGGGGGGGGGGGGGGGGTGGGGTGCTGCAGTTCCACAGTGCCTATGCATGAGTCGCCGCTGCTTTGTATTATGGATGAGCTGTGTTAACAACTGAAATCACAGTGCTCGGGACATTCTCTTAAGCATTTTATTTTTCATCTTCAGCAGCTGGCAAAGATTATGAATGCCAGTGGCACCAGTAGCAGTTTTATGAAATGTCTGTTCTGTCTTGCTTTTCCAATGGAAGTAGTGTGTCAGTCACAACTCCTGGTCACACATCTCCCCTCCCCTGCTCCATTCTCTGCAGACCTGTTGATCTATTCACATGCCTGCATTGTTCACTTGCACTCAGTTAGCTTGTCATGATGCAGCACCAGCCATACCGACTGCCTGTTCATTTCCCAACACACTCATATACCCGGAAGAAAAAATCTAAATGGATGTTACCAGGAACTTCTGAAGTGATGCTTGCCTCTCTGAATGGAGCATGATCTTCAAGATGGTTTCGGCAGGTGACCATCTGATAAACAAAGAAATGCACAAATAATATTTTCTCTGGTTACACTGTACATCTCGCCACTGCAGTGCGGAAAAGGATCCACATTTCATTCATACTTCATGTTTGTTGATGTTAACTCTATAGTAATTATGATATTTCTGGTCAGTTATGTATTACATCAGCTGCTATTTTAGGGTAGAATGATGACTGCACTGATTGCCTTTAGTTGGTCTGAAAATGTAGATGCAATACTCTCTTACAGTAATGGGAAAATTCTCTTATTTACAAGGTTGTCTCAAACTTCTGGCCACCCTGAACAGCAGAATATGCCAGGGAATGCATTTCATTTGTGTCTTCACTTTTGACATTCATAACGGGTAAACATAGTTTTGAAGGATTGTACTGTCTACAGGAAAGAACAGCATTATTTACACCCTTTGAGTATCGAGATGGAGGAGTTCAAACTGTAGCCTTCTCTGATGACTACCTCTACATTCTCTGTGTTGGTTTTGATGACAGCATCTGCTGTTGTCACTGGAAGTGAGTATTATAAAATTAATTTTTTTATTTTTTTATTATTTGTACTTCCAGCGTGGTGTTGACCATATCACCTATCGAGTTTCAATTGGTCTATAAAATATAGGTCTAGCCCTGTGTGCCCAATACAACTGAATGCATTTTACTTTTTACTTTTTTTAAAATTAATGTGTTCTTATTCTTCTTTAGAGATGCTTTCTATATTTTGTTTTCCTTGACCAGTGTCTAGATGCCCACATTATCATCATGTAGCAAGTCTTGTACAGAACACTGCTGTCATCACATCATACATGAAAGCCACTTGGTCCCTTGCAAATTCCTCCACCTCAGGAATTTGTATGCCTAAGGTGTCTTAAGTATCCTTTATCTATCTTCATTGATGGTTGACCTTTGTCTCTTCTTCATACTCTTCTTCTTATTATTATTATGCTGTATTTGGATTTAAGATAGTGATTGGCATGTTGTGTTGTGGTTTACAACTAGGCTGTGATATCTTCATCTTTCTGCCTGAGATGTGCAGTTTCAGCAAATCCTTAATTAGTTACAGAAGGAGTTTATTCCCTCCCCCATCCCCACAGATTTGGGCCCTGGAAGCACACATTGCTTTTTCATTCAAGAACCATGCCTTCTACTAATGCTTTTTCTAAACTACACCAGTTTGGCCCCCAAAAAAACTGGTGTAGTTTGGGGGCCAAACTATTTCTTTTTCCAAGATGTAATGCCTATTCTGCTTTTAATATTTGTAACACATTTTCCATCTGATGATATGATTGTTCCCAGATATTTGAATTTATTGACTTATAGCTGTACAGTAATTGATCGTTATAGTAGAGTTGAATATATTTACTAATTGACAAATAGTTTCATAAGCAGGTCACAAAAACAGAGTGAATATTTTTTTTACAAACTTTTTGCTAAATTGTAGTTATTTAGTTTATCAATTCAGAATTGTCACTTTCATTTCTTTTTGCACAGTCGCTCTAAAGGGAAATCTGGATCTGGCCTGGGTGCAAAACAGAAACGAGACAGAGATATGGATTTTGCTAATCGAGAAAATAGTAGATTGGCAGCATTTCAAGAATATGTGCATGGTTACAGGGGTAACAGGAAAGCATCTGAAATTGAGCAGGAAAGAAAGGTGAACTTTTTAGTTTCACTGAAACCTTAGTGTTAAAAGTTATTGTATTTTCTTAAGCTTTTAAGCCCATTTTGTGTGTGTTGGTAAACAAAGTTAGTTATTAATTTATTTATCTCAGATAGGAGTTAGTTATTAATTTATTTATCTCAGATAGGATATCTCTATGTTAACATTTGTGAAGAAGCAGATTTTATTTCCCTACACCTGTGTGAACATTTTCCACATCTGACCTTTGGCAACAGTTAGATTATTTTGTTCTGCTGACTACTGTTATTTATATTTCTTTTACTAATTCTTTTTCTTGTTTGAGAAAGGTCATGAACAAAACCAGAAAATATCAAGTGGGAAATGAAGAGATTAAACTAACTTATAAAGTAAAGGAACGATCCCTTTTCACGCCTTTGGGCGTATTGGGTATTAGGAAGAACGCCCATATTTTTACAGACCGTCAGCACTAGGTGGGTAATGTGGTCAGCATTATGCCGGCCGTCTTTACTTCCCCAGGTACACATTTTAGGTTGGGTGGACCTGTGACGCCTCATACCATGATACAAATCCAGCAGTGGGTTTCGATCACAGTACGCTGGAATTACGAGTCGACTCGCAACACCTAAACCACGGACACCGCAAACTAACTTGAAACAAAGATTGAAATGCTTATGCCACCCAATGATAATGAACTCAATGATGCCAGCAGCAAGAACATGTTTGCTGAAAATGGACACACATGGAAGCTAAGGAAGACATAGATTTAGAGAGTCTGAGACTTCACAACATCACAGCATACCGGCAACTGAGCGTGCCCTGGCTTGACTTCCTGTTTTCTGTTAAACTGTAACTCTTTATGTCACAAAAGATGAAGATTTTCACAGTAACTGACAATCCGATTTATTCCTGGATAATTTTCATACAACTGCGAGTTAACTTTTTAGGCAATTTCAGGTATTTAAAAAATGGGGGCACAATCAATGCACTGTACAATTTATTGCCTGGCATATTTCACTGTATCTCAACAGGTATATTGTTATCAACATGTAATGAAGCAACAACAACAACAACAACAATAAACTCACTTTCACTGAAATACAATGTGATTTGTCAATTGCAATGAAAAGAATTCTATTTTATGCTTTATTATATGTTGATTTAACTGTATAGTGCACCAAAATATGCCAGGCAATAAATTATACAGTGGTTAATATTTTGTCCACATTATTTAAATTTACAACAGAAAACCCATTATTTTGAACTTCTGATATCCTCAAATATTATTGTAAACTCCACACCTTCACAAACTCCAGTAGTGAATACCATTTAACAATTTTTTTTTAAACAGGCAGGCATTGAACTTGCCAAGCAAAAAGCACAAGACAGGGATGAAATCTACATATCACCACCACCTTCCCCAAGTGTCAATGCAACCTGGTTGGAACAGCGTGAGATTGATGTATGTCTGTTTCTTGTTGCCTTGTTTGTAGGTCTGTGAGAGTTTGTTGATTAGCTGTTCAATGCAAGCTTTAATCACATAAAGAACATTAAAAATAGATTTAAATCATGAGGTTTTTGCCTTCAAAAAATAAAAAGGCACACCAGCTACGACTTGTTGCTCGTCTGTCTATTTATTTTTTTTGGTTAGGAGACACATGTGTCATTTAAAAATTGTGCATGCCTGAAAGTATATTGAGGAAAATCTATTTCAAAATTGAATGTGTTTTGCTTCCTCAAGAATAGTGAGATAGAACTGTACAAAACAAATTTGTATCATTAATAAATTAAGATTCACTGAGAATCAGTCATCAGTAATTGGTATAAATGAAGGACCCTTTTCCAGGTTATTAGACTTCTTAGATTTAATAAGAGGAATATATCAGAGGATAAAAGATGCCAACGTTGGTTCTTTGGCCAAATTCATGGCATTTCTAGAACAGATAATATTAGCCTATTTTCTTCAGATGCATGTTCTAAGTAGTATCAGATGAGAGTCTCCATGAGAAAGTGGGCAAGTTGTTTGCCGTGTGCTGTGGAGGTCGTGGGTTTGTTTCACAGATCTATGCTTCAGTTTACGAGTGCAGTTTTTATGGAGATCCCTCGGATCATTGATGGATTTATTTATAGTTATAGTTTTGTGAATAAGAAACCAGATTAAACCAGATATTAGGACAGAACAGTGTGGATTTGTAGAAAGAAAAACAATGCCAATAAAATCCTCAGGACTCTTTTAGAAAAAGTTATGCTTCTTCTACATTTCTAACCCCCCCCCCCCCCCCCCCCCCCCCCCCCCCCCCCAAGGAGCATAGGCCCTCAACTGACTCACACCAAGTCTTTCTGTATGCTGCTTTCCCCATTTTATGGTTTGGAGGGGTGTCAGCACACACACTGATACACTCAGTTGCAGATCACAGATTGTGGAGAGGCATGATCGCCCACGTCAGTCAGCAAGGCACTTGATAATGATGATGAGTTTTTGACTAATTAGGAGTTTGCTGAAACTGGATGGGTTTGGATGAAAGGCAAAAATATCATTGCCTAGCAGTAAACCACAATATTACTTATATACCAACCACCCTTTTTTAAAAAATATGTTAAGATTGCAGGCTGAGGTAATTTGAAACATGACAGAATTTGTTTCTATTCACTGTAGCTTCTTCGACAAGAAGGACAGCATTTTGCAAGTGTTAAGTATGAACTGCGATCTCAGATCAGAGATATCAGGAAAACAGTAAGTTGATTAAAGTTAGCATTTAGATTTGAAAAAACAGTAACCCTAGTAATTTTAAATTTAAAAAAAAATAGTTTATAAGTAAGTATGACAGCCAAGAAATGGATTATAAACAGCGTATTCATACCAACACTGGGCTACCAGTGCCAGACATGGGACAGAGGCTAACCTAAGTAAAACTAAAACCTGTGAGACAAGCTGCCTGCGGAAAGCTGCTAACTAAACTGTCAGAGACAGAGTGAGAAATAAAACTACCAGACAGATTGTGGGAACAACACTGTGCAGAAACTTAACTGAGAAATGGAAGATCAAATGTTCTAATCATCTCATTAGAATGCAGCCATTTCATTAAACTACATTTTCTTGATTTTTTTTTTTTAAATGTGTGGCAATTTTATCATGTTTTTAATTACAAATATCAGTATTTTTAGATAATTGTCTCAGTATGTAGTAACCCTAATAGGTTGTGAACTAGAAAATTAAACTGAAAATATACAGAATAATAGGTTATATTTCATGGAAACAAAAATAATCAAATACAATGGTTCTAAAGAAACTACAAATAAAAAGAAAGTTGCTGTAAGAAATACAAAAAAGACTACTGAAATATTTTGGCCATATTAAAAGACATAATATTCTTTTAAAAACTATACTGAAGGGAAGAGTTGAAGACAAGAGAGCTGAATGTAGATAATAATACAAGTGGGAGGACAACATCAAGAGATGAATAAACAGAAGTTTGAGAGAGTGTACTGCCAAGATGAGAGACAGAGAGTGTTAGAGTTGCATTACAGCCAACTTTTATTGTAGAGATTGGCACTGATTGGTTGATTGATCAGTATGTAGTGATTGCTTAACTTAGTTTTTTTGAGTATGAGGTATCACTATTGATTTATTTTTATTAATATAAAAATATGGGGTGAGAAGCGACTTGTTTTTATGGAATATGCTAATGAAAATTAGGATTTTCATGCTCACTGTAGTTGATAAGTGTGTGTTTATAACAAAGTAAATTTGGCATCTCATACAAGTTCATTAGTAGTGTCAGGTAAAAAGTATTTCTGAAGATTGTAATATATTTAAAGGCCAATATTAGCCAGGTTTGCAGTCCCTTTATTTGTCAAGTGTATCGAAAAGTACCGACTTATAACAACCTTATTTGTATTGTTATGAACGATAAAACCATAGTATTTACACCTGTTTACATGTAGTTAATTAACAATAAACAGGAGCTTTATGTTTACAATTGTAATAGAAGTTTTGGGTACGGTCTTTAACTCTCTAAGTCCCATGGGGTTTAACATCAGTACAAGGGATAATAATGCAGTTATGAAGTTGCACAAATGTAAACCATATTATACTGATTCAGCTGCCATGCCGCATACACATATACATCAAAGTAACCAGGGATTGTTGAGAAATAATATTAGAATGCCGCTACAACAACTAAATTGTTTTACTAGTTTAATATTAGTAAATAAACAGACAAGATGTTTAGAGAAATTAATCAAACGAATTCCTAATTTGTCCACTTAGGCTCCAGGAAAACTCCCATAGAATTCCCAAACAAATCAAAAATGATGTGAACCACTTAGTAATATATAAATAAAATAGAAACACAATCTGTACATTAGATCTCATTCTTGAGAAACTTTTGGAACATCACTACAGAACACCATTATTAGGTAAAGAGAAATGACTTCCCAAAATAATTAGAATCTTCACATAAAATGAAGTTTATATATCCCTCAGTTTGCCTGTAATTTTGTAGCTACCCATAGGCTAGGGAAATTCACTAGGAGTCAATGTAAAAAAAAAAACCTGCTTTCACCAGTACCCAAGGTGGACACCACGCCCCCCCCCCTCCCCTTGTGTGTATTGTTGCACACATACATAAAATCCCTTGGCAGTTGGAAATCGAAAAGAGCTGCCCAACAGCGTTGCCCAGGATGTGGAGTTGAAAATCTACCCAAAACATTTCAAGATCCTCACCAGTGCTACGGAGTTTGTCCACTTGCTGAGATTCTTCGACTCAGACTTGAGTTAGAAGTAGAACGGAGCACTTATGGGTTACTACCCTTGTGCCATGATGTTGATCCGTTGTTTAAACCTAAACCTTTGTAGCTAAGTTCCTAAATAATGAGAGGAATAGCACCAGAACTAGTTGACACTAAAGAAAGTCACCTTTTTCACAAATATTTATTCTATGTGTCCAGCTGACTTTGTAATCCTCGTACACTCTGCATGAGGTATATAATCGGGCTATCCCTCATCAAAGTTTGGCTATAAATATGACTGGAACAAGTCTACTTCGCAACTTTCTCTATGTAAATTCTGATAAATCTGATACACACAGGTTTTTTTAAAATTTAAGCTTCTAAAGCCATAAATCATGTTGCCATACATGTAGAAGACTGCCATGCAAGCCATATTGTTTTCAAACAGACACAGACACTTAATAACTCGCTAAACCTTGCAAACATACTATATTTTAGACTTTTAACCACATTTCCAAATAAAACTAATGGTCAACACATGTGGTATTGAACATAAAGAACTGGAAAGGAAGTTTCATTTGTCAAGTCTGCGTATCTATACTAGTCAGTAGTAAATTAAAAACCTGTAGGCGTCACATACCGATTGAGTAGGCGGGTAGTTACCAGTTAGTGTGTGATGCTTTTCTTGGACCTTAAAGAGTTAATTTGAATTGAATTATAAAGTAATTGTGCAGCCTTTTCCTGTTTCATTTAACATGCAGGAACTTATTTTTTCTTTTATATAAGCCTGTTTGATAGTTGTGCACTTGTGATTTTTCAGACTGACTTTTCCCCTCATCCCTATCTATGTCTGCTGCAAATTTTCCTGGACTGAAAGAGTTTAGTTTATAAATGAAAGTATAAGGCCATGTAATTAGAAGTAATGAATATAGTGCAAGTGATATTGTAAGTTATATAAATTCTGTCTTGATATACAGAAGTGAAACAGAAGTGAATCATGAACAGTTGGTAGATTTGTGAAACATTATTTGGAAGCTGCAGAGATGTGATACCTGGAACAGATAAAAAGAGTAAAGAAGGAAGATATATTGAAAGAAACTGACTCACGAAAAAACTGATTGCCCACATCAGAAAGAGACAGTCTACATTCTTTGGTCATGTAATGAGAATTAGAAAACTGGAGTACATCGTGAGAGTAGGAAAGTTGGAGGGAAAGAGAGGCAAAGGGAGACCGAGAGAAAAGGTGCTGGACAGTTTGGCATCTTAACTTGGAGGATTCTTTGTATCAGAGTTGACTGAGACAGAAGGTTGTGGATTGACATGACTACCAGTGTCACACAGCATGGAGTTTAAGAAGAAGAAGATTTTGTAAGAAAAAGGAAGTTTCCACAAACACAAAAACACACACACACACACACACACACACACGCACACATGCACGCACGCACGCACACACGCACGCACGCGCGCGCAATTGGAAAAAAATAATGAAATTATGTAACGTCTTTGAATTGAGAAATTTACTCTTCATATTTATTGTTATATTAGATCCAGACTATGATGATACAAAATAATGATTTGGCGGACATTGAGAAACTTAGCAGAAATGAATTTGATCTTGACCTTGAGGAGCAGAACAGACTTCAAGCCGAGGGCGAGGCGGAAATTCAGAAGGTGACAAAACAGACACTATTTAAATAATTTTATTCTTACCTTCACTTCCTTTTTTTTTCCGTTAAATTTATTTATTATTATAATTTTTATTTTATTTTGGATGTCAACAGAGATACAAGGTTCTTCTTCATGTTCTTCTGGGCTTGACCAAAGATACTTGTAAAATTTCTCTCCAGTTTTTTTTCCACTATTTAAAAAAAAAAAATCTGTCTTATGCCTCTTCTCTTTTTTTTTAATGTGCTTTCTATAACTTATTATCAAGGCATTCTCTATAAGGGCGAACAAATTTATTATTTGCTAAGTTATAATTATGTCGTATAGAAGAAAAATACTAGTTTACAAATTATATATTAAGGCTCTTGCATTATTAGACTGAATTATTTTGTGATGAGATGTATACATGTCAAGTATTTTTTATTTATGTGTACTCAAATAACTGTCTACATCTTTTAATATATTTGCATATCAAATTGAAGGTTAGGGAAGATATCGAGTATGAAAATCTGTCTAAGTTGTATCTCCGTGAAAAGATCAAGGAACAATGCTGGGATAACATGAAAGTGAAAGGAAGGGCAATTCAGGTCAGTAGGTTTATTAAAAAAATTATCTTCATTTTCTTTCTCCTGCTTCTGTACCTGTTTCTTCTTCTGCCTCACATTCTAAGTTTCAAACTAGATTTAATCTCTTTTAGCTTCAGATGTTTTACTTCCTAGTGCTATGAAAATATTTTCCGTTATTAGTTTAATTCTATTTGTTCTAAAAGATTTGTCTGCATTACTTTATTTTTTTTTTCTGCTTCTCTTTGTATACTTAGAAAGAAATGTTCTTGAAATTGGCCTGGTACTATCTTTGTGGATAATTAAGGTGTCCGTAATATCTTGAGCCGACAATTGGACATCTCATTAATGTTCTGAGCTGAAAATGGGACATCCCAAGCAAGCAGTTTAACTACACCCATTTTTTTTCCTAGGTCATCGGGGTGAAATGGTTAATTACTTGTTTGAAAGTGGTATTAGAACCCAAACCATTGTTGCTAAGAAATAAATGAAACAGTATGCTCTTTAACTGCACTGAAAAAATATGATAAATTGAAAAAATCCATAAACACATTTTAGCTATAATAAGTAGTAAAACTATAAATGTGTGTTCTGTTCTCAAGTTAATTCCTAAATATTTTTATAAAATGTGACAGTTGATTTTTTTTTTTTTTTTTTTTTTTGGAGTACCGACAGGACTGCTAGGACATAACTAATAAAATGGAACTGTCCTGGTGAAAATGGGACACATGGTTATCCTATAAAAAATTATAGTTTTTGATCTGTTTATATTTTTAAGTAAGTGCCACGTACGTAGTTTAATTGTTGTATCTATGTACTAAGTCAGTGCCACTTACGTAGTTGAATTGTTGTATCTATGTACTAAGTCAGTGCCACGTACGTAGTTTAATTGTTGTATCTATGTACTAAGTCAGTGCCACTTACGTAGTTGAATTGTTGTATCTATGTACTAAGTCAGTGCCACTTACGTAGTTGAATTGTTGTATCTATGTATCTATGTACTAAGTCAGTGCCACTTACCTAGTTTAATTGTTGTATCTATGTATTGAATCTTTAAGATCGTGCTCTGGCAACCAACAAAACTGTATCAACTGCATATCTGATGTTGTTTATTTTTTTTTATTCATTAGCATTGAGTCGTGGTATTTTATCTGTCTTTTTGAATATACAAAGTGAGACTTACAGACTGTGAAGGAATCTTTGGTTAAAAAAATATGGTCATTTGTCACTTTACTAAAATTCAAATAATCGGCAATAATTTGGAGAGTGACACTTCAACCTGCTGTCGCCAGACGACAGACAGATTCCATGTTTTTCCCTGTTCTGGCAATCAAAAAATGACCACTTACGGCATCACTCTTTAAGTCCTTTTCTTCCACCTCAAAAGTGAACGTACTGTGTGGAAACCATTGAAGCATGGTAGTGTGCAGCTCAAAGCATTGAGCTGTATAGTTACAATCATGGTAACTAGATGTAAGACACAGCACCTTTCTTAGAAAAACTCATCTCAGAAAGTTTAAGTCACACCTTGCATTGTTTAGATTCTATAGATTTCATACAAAAAATTTTTGTGATATACTGAGTTTTGTTACCCCCTTTATTACCAGGCTTTTAATTCACCTCTTGAGGTAACCAACTTTCCTCTCAGAGAGAGATCAGCTGAAACCTTGAAGATGATCAAGACAGTGTCCACACGTAGGAAAATTGAGATGAGGGAAGCTGAGGTAATTTTTATCCAGTAATATTTTATATATTTATAAATGTTCTTCCTTTACTTCTTCTTCTATTGATGTTGCTGGTGGTTTTTGAAATTATGGTGATGATGCAAGTGACCATGGTGAAAATAATGGCACTGATGATCTTCTTTTTAGTGTTCGTCAGCTGTAAATTCCGGCGGAAAGTTCTAGTTGTTTGTCCACTTGTTGACAGTGATCTTGTTCCAGAACTTGAGTTGTATGTGCACATCCATTCTACAGTTCTGGCTTATTTATATGCAAAATGTTGGTTCCTTGCCTCTTAGGCAGATGCACTGCCTTTTGAAGAAAACTCCCCTAATGAGACACCTTTTATGATAAGCCTGTTACGGAGACAGTGGGTCTGTTCCTTTTTCTCCTAGAATTGGGCCTCAGAAACCACATGGGAGTGTTAATTCTGATAATGTTTTTAATGTTGATGCTGAAAATGATGATGATAATATTGATGATAGTGATGTTAGTAATAATGATGATAAGTGATGTTGGTAGTGATGATGATAGTGATGTTGGTAGTGATAATGATGATGATGATAGTAATACTGGTAATGATGATGATGATAGTTGTGTTGGTAATGATAATTTTAGTAATGTTGGTAATGATGATGATGATAGTGATATTGTTAGTCATGATGATAGTAATGTTGGTCAGGATGATGATAGTGATACTGGTAATGATGATGATGAAAGTTTTGTTGGTAATTATGATTTTAGTGATGTTGGTAATGATGATGATGCTGATAGGGATGTTGGTAGTGATGATAGGGATATTATAAGTGATGATGATAGTGATATTAGTAGTAATAATGATAATGATGTTGGTAATTATGATGATAGTAATATCAGTAATGATGATGATAGTTATCTTGGTAATGATGATGATAGGAATGTTGGTAATGATGAGTATAGTGGTGTTGGTAATGATTATGATAGTGATGTTGGCAATAATGGTGATAGTGATGTTGATAATGATGGAGATAGTGATGTTGGTAATGTTGAATATAGTGATCAAATTGTTGGTAACAATCATAATGGTTTTGGTGGTGATAATATTACTGATGGTATGAATGGTTTCAGTCATGTTGATATAAACTCTAATAATGTTAATATTATTGGTAATAAAACCTATGATCATGATGGTTTGAATGAATGAACCAACCAATCAATCAGTCAGAAATTCACGTCACTGCACTCAGCAGCTAACAAAGAGTTGGCACGCTTAAAGTACCAGTTGAAACCTGATTAAAAACCTGCCTATGTTACCCCCTTCAGTGTTGAATATCTTCCAGAATCTCTGCTCACCTCCTCGTTGAAATAAAACTAACCAAAATGAAATGTGCAGGAGAGATAGATGGAGACTTAAAAATACATAAGGAATATAATTAGAAGCCTTCTCCTGTGGGTGCTAAGGCCCCATTCTGATTAGGAAAAAAAAATAACCAAACTGCCATCTTAACAAGCATGCCATACAAGACAACTAATTAAGGATGTTTGCCTGAGAGATAAGGAACAAAATGCAAACAAATTAGCCAGATGTGTAAAGTGGATCTTTTTTTCATCCTACTTTTGTCGTCTCACTGTTACCAAGCTGTAGCCCAGTGTCCTGGTTTTCTGTGTTTGTCTTGTGCTTCTCAGGTTGCTTGGGTGGTGGATTTGTTCATATTTTTGCAGTTTGGCTACAAAATTTATCTATTTTTTCTGTAGACATCAGTATAATGAAGGGTATAAATAAGTCAATAAGTAGACAGCTGTTTGTGGAGTGAATATGGTATGTAAGATACAGTTACATTTTTATTTTTCAGGCTAGAAAACAGATAGCCGAAGTTTCATATAAAATGTCAATGCCTGTAAGTATTTGTTTTGGATTGAATGTAATTTGAGCCAGTCTGCAGTTAGTGCATGTTTTTTGTAATATTTAGTAAACAAAATTTTTAATTAAAAGAAATTTAATGACCTATGTAAAATGATAGTTGTTTTTTTAAAGAATTTGTTTTAGGAATTCATACAGCCCTTGACCCATTTTTTTATAGCTTCATGAGGATTCATGAAACAGAAGCAATAAACGGACAATATTTGTAGGGGATTGAACCTGAAACACTGAATCAGCAGGCAGGCACACTAACCACTTTGTCACTACAGTTCTTCTTGCTTATGTTATTAATTTGTTACCTAACAAACCACATTTTCTTTGAGTCCCTTTTTTTATATATGTACTGAAAATGTTATAAGAAATGCCAGAACAATTCATGAAGTCAGGCCTAGAAAGGGAGTGACTTCCCTTGCCATTCATCCTTGATCGTGTAAAATTTGTTGTGTTGCTGGACGCCTACTAAGCGTGACACCCCCACAACATAGGACAGGCCCTGTGATATGACCAGGGATGAATGGCAAGGAAAGTCACTCTCTTTCTGGGCACGAGTTGAGTTGTACTGAAATGCCATTAGTGGGGAGGCCTATAACAGCTTAGATCCACTCAAAATAGGTGACAGACCTATCTCAGAACTTAGATATGCAGACGACATAGTTCTCCTTTCCAACAGTCTACAATGCTTAGACAAATTAATTTTGACTGTCAAAAAAAAGGACAGCGGAGACATATCAGCATCTAAAAAGAACAAGTAAAATAATGTCCACAATGAATACCTCATACCGGCCATGTCCATGTTTGAAATTTTACAACAAAGAAATTGAAAATGTCACAGATTTTTTAATATTTAGACTCACTAATGAACAACACTGGTGACTTCACAAAAGAAGTCAGAAAAAGACTTGCTTTAACAGTGCAGTGACTAAAAAAACAACATGAATTACTAAAAAAAAAACATGAAGAATCATCTATGGCACAGCACCTGCAAGCTAGTTAAAGTAAAAATTTTGAGATCCTGCATCTTTCCCCTGCAACCTACGGATGTGAGTCATGGACTCCCACTCAGTCTTTGAAGAAGAAAATGGGAGCTCTTGAACTGAAATGCTACAGACAAATTCTTAGAATACTGTGGAAGGAAAAAAAAAACGTCAACATCCCGAATGACCTGAACATCAAGGAGAATTAGCTCATAAACAGCATCCTGTCCCATAGGCAGTGGTGTTTTGGTCATATCAAACACCATAGTGGTCTGGAGAGAACGGTGATGGAGGGTGCGGTTTCTGGATTACGGGGCAGAGGCCAACCTCCGCGAAGGGGGATACGGGTACTGAGATGCATTGTCTAGGAAAGCATACAGGGCTGGAGAATTGGCTAGAGAAAGAAAGACTTTCATGTGTGCTGTGAAGAGAGCGACGTTCTATAAAGAACTTGCTGACTGATTGATCAAGTTACATCACTGATTATAGTTTTCACCTACATCTTTCTCTGTCTCTCTCTGTGTAGAAACCTGTACAGACATCTGTCTAAACTGTAGATATCTATGTAGGGGGGAAACTCACCCATAATGAAAAAAGAGGAGCAGCTGGCCAATTGGTTAACAAATCTGGGCTCTAATATGAGTACCTAGGTTCAAATCCTCTGTAAGGTCATGGATTTTTTCTGTCAGGGGTAAAATACAATCCTAACCTGCACAGTCCATGGTTATAGCACTAGTCATGCAGCCTTAAATCATCCGGCTCATAGACCATCCTGTCTACGCAGCAGAAGGGGTAAATAGAGGCAGTAATTTTGGGCATTAACAAATATATGAAGAATTAGTCATAAATGTTTTTAAAAAAAGACTGTGTTCATGCCAAGGACACATTGGCATCTGATGCTACCCTCTTATTTTATAGACCAATCGCCACTTGAGAGGTTCCTAGTTCATGTTAAAGATCATCTTCATTGCATATCAGACATGACCGTAAGTGCTCCGATCTCCTCCTGAGTAAGTCTCCAAGTATTTTAGTGTAACAACTTCCATTCTGTACTGGTTGATGTAATGAGGGGTAGCTCCACTATGGTTTTCCTGTCTGACGGCTCCAGTTGGTACATACATGGTATGTAGTCTATTGATTGAAATATAATTTTCTACGAAACTGAAAGCCTCACAGCATTTAGTCCCTCGTATGGCATTGATGATGTCTCTCCTGTCCATAGAGGGTCCATTCCTGATAGTCGCACTGCCAGTCAGAACATCTGCTCTCTCGTACCTTTTACACCAGTATCCCCTGGGACAAAAAATGAATGTGTTTTTGCAAACTGCTGCGTGCTGAATCAGATGGAGCCACTGTTTCCGTATGTACCACACCTTTATCTTCTTTACCATGCTCACTGAGTCGCTGAGCATGCATGCATTGGTGAACTTCTGAGTTTTTAGCCATTCTAGGGCCTTTGTCAAAACCTAGACCTCCATTGTCATCTGCTGGTGGTATAAGCAAAGGCTCCACTGTCTTCTTTATTGTCTTCCCCTTTGATTCCTGCCGTGAAAGTCCACTTGAGAGGTAGTCAACATCACTCCAGATGCCCATACTTCCATAGTATTTTGTGGTACCAATTTTAGGCTGTGTCAACCAAAGGAAGTCATGACTGATGACAATGGCAAATGTCTGGATTTTGTTAATGAACCAAATTCTTTTTCTATAGGACGAGGAGGGAGAAACTGAAGAAGCAAGTGAGAGTGGTGCAGACCATTTATCACTCAGCGGAAGCTTAGGCAAGTCCACCAACACATTTATTTATATAGTTCTTTTTCTTTATAATTTTATACTTATCTTTATAATGTTATACTTATCTTTATAATGTTATACTTATCTTTATAATGTTATACTTATTCTGGGATATTTTGATCTTTATTAAGATATTTATTAAAATAAAAGCAAACACCCTAATAATTTTTATAGAATTTTACCTGGTAAAACGTAACTAATGAACATCAGAGATAAATAAGTGAATGCGTTTTCTTGAAAAATTTTCATATCTATATTAATAAAAATGTTAATGTTCAGAGTTTGTTAGCTCTAAACTCGGAAACTACTGAACCGATTGCTTTCAAATTTTCACACAACGTTGCCTCTGACTCAAAGCCTGATTTTTTGTCATAAAATCGCACAAACCACTAATGATGTAGCTCCAGCAACGGTCAAATCATTATTTGTTTCGTTGCCGGCCCGGATTTGTTTTTGGTCGGTTGGCCACCTTTGACTGTGTAACACCGAACTTCACATTATTATTATATACTTTCATTTCTACCAAATGCTTGAGTATTTAGTAGCGTAGTTAGTTGTAACCATTTCACCATTTTACAAGGGTGATAGGGGTTCGATTCCCCGCTGGGTGATATAATTTTTTTTTGGGCCCCTAACTGGGTGGCTGCCACGTTTTGTTGTGGTTTATAGCTAGGTTGCAATATCTACGCTTTTTTCCGTTCGATTTTGGGGTTTACAGCTAGCCTGCGATAGCGGCGACGTGATGCTCAATGTTTATGTCACGGGTAATTTTCGTTCGCCCTTGACAGAGCGGTTGGCACGTTGTGTTGTGGTATACAGCTAGGCTGCAATGTCTGACCTAAAGTCTTCAGTCTTCGGTAGTAGAGTTGTAAGTATTCCGCCCTTTATGTGGATGACCGGTGTTCGATTTCCCGCTGGGTGCTAGTTTTTCATTTTTCCCCTAAAGGGGCGATTGGCACGTTGTGTTGTGGTTTACAGCTAAGTTGCGACATCTGCACCTTACGCCCAGTGCCAACTCCTCTGGCTACAATGATCTGTACAGACAGTAGTGACTGTTTTGTGTTGTTGTTATGACGGTGGTGGTAGTGGTAGCAGCAGTACCGGTACTCGATGGGTTATGTGGTAGCTGTTACACTGGCTACATTTACTTCTCAGTACAGATTAATGCTACCCATTTTTGTCTGGGTGGACACTGATGCCAAGCTCAATTTAACAACAATATTTCGTCAGGTGATGACTTTCCCATACTTCGTAGAGGATTATTTTACCGCTCTCATTTCTTTACTATTTCTATTTTAGCAATGTCGCCATATAATAATGTTTCGATCATTCGGAGAGGGAGATATATTTGGGCAGATGCTTGAGTCCTTGGTAGCGTAGTTGTATATTTTGCGTGTTAAGTGGGTGACTGGCGATCAATGCCCCCCTGGGTGATTTAATATTTTTTTGCCCTTAACTAAGCGGCTGGCACGTTGTGTTGTGGTTTATAGCTAGGCTACGATATCTAAGTCTTTTTTTCGCTCGGTTTGGGGATTTACAGCTAGCCTGCGATAGCGGCGACGTGATGTTGGTCATGTCACGAGTAATCTTTGTTCGCCCTTGAGAGGGTTGTTGGCACGTTATGTTGTGGTTTACAGCTAGGTTGCAATATCGGACCCAAACTCTTCAGTCTTAGGTAGTATAGTACGTATTCCGCCCTTCACGTGGTTGACCGGTGTTCGATTTCCCACTGGGTGCTAATTTGTCTTTTTCCCTCAAGAAGGCTGTTGGCATGTTGTGTTGTGGTTTACAGCTAGGCTGCGATATCTGTACCTTTCGCCCAAAGACATCCTATTTCAGTAAAGTTCCATTTATCCTCCCCGCAACACTTCACTCGATCATACACTATTCGTTGATGACAGAAGCTGTTAACTAAGACTGCTTACAGTCCAGTTTATTTTGGGTGGACACGGATGCCAAGGTCATTTAACATTCGTCCCTTCGGAGAGGGGAGATGACGGGTGGGGTTTTTATTTCCGCTATTTGTGAGTATAGAACAGACTATTACTGTGGGTTCCATCACTGGCTAGGTGATGGAGTTTTTTTTTTTTTTTTTTTTTTTTTTTTTCTTTGTTGGGAGCTCAATTACACTAAACAGTCCGTGGCAACAACAAGCAGCGCTAACTCCTCTGGCTACACCGACCTGCACAGACAGTAGTGACTTTTTGTTTTTGTTTTTTTGTTTGTTCTGAAGGTGGTGGTGTGTCAGGGACCTATTCTACTCTACTTATTTTATATGGCTCGCTAGGTAAGCCAGCTGACAGACTTAACTACCCAGACACACTCAAGACGACACTCCTGCTGAGTACAAACATAATCTTTAATTTACAATGAACGACTAAACGGAAAACACTTCAACTGGGCTAAGCAGCTCCCATCCGAAACTGCCTTGGCGATGACAGCTTTACACTCTCTACTCACCCCAGGCCAGCTCCCATGGATCTAGGGGAGCACGACTCTTAGCTGGCAGTATCTCAGTGCCAATCAATCCGCCGTCTATTGCCAAACGGGACTTCAGCGATACACGGGAGGTGTATGGCCTAAGCGTGCCCGGGCAGTGTTATCGCCATTACAGGGCGCGTCACCTTGATTAACTGTTCAAACAAATACTGCATGGAATGTCTACTACACAAAGAACCTTAACTCTCTATACTATCTAGACGAAACATTAAATAGAAATACAACCTATCATAGACACTAAATAAGAATATCCTATTTGTACCTAACCGTCGCTAACCTAACGTTCCCTCGTCGTCATCTTTTCTTCTCTGTCTGTCGCCTTCTGTGACACCATACGTCACTCCCCGCCGTCAGCACACAACTCCCCTAGTACACAACAACTCTCAAACCCGCTTGGACAAAGCCTTTTTTTTATTTCCTCCCGAGTTTATGGCTTAATCCGCAGCACTCCGTGTCGACTGAGTGAACTCGAACTGGCCTCTGACATGGTGGTAGTGGTAGCAGTAGTACTGGTACTGGATGGGTGATGTGGTAGCTGTTACACTGGCTACATTTACTTCTCATTACACATTAATGCTATCCATCTGTCTTTGGGTGGACACGGATGCAAAGCTCAATTTAGTTACAATATTTCGTCAGATAATGACTTTCCCATCCTTCGGCGAGGATGAAATGATTAGTGGGGGAAGGGGTTGATGGCAGACACTGTTAACTGAGAGAGCTTAAAACATTATTTTAAAGTTATTTCTTTACTATTTCTATTTTAATAGTTTCGCCAAGAGATGATTTTTTATTCATTCGGAGAGGGACATATTATTTGCTATGCTAGACACTGTTAGCTGAGAGAGCTTAAAACATTTTTTTCAAGTTCTCATTTCTTAACTATTTCTAATTTATTACTTTCGCCAGGGATGATTTTTCAATCCTTCGGAGAGGGAGACATGACTGGGTGGAGGGGAGAGGGAAGGGGGGTGAGGGTTATGACAGACACTGTTAGCTGAGAGCTACTTTCTTTCTTTTCCATTTCACCATTCGGGGCCACAGTAACGCGTGGCAGGGCACAGCTAGTACATTAATATTTACAACTGTTTACTTAATATGCCAGTAAAATAATGTGTAGTAGGTTAGTTGTCTGTAAATTAGACATTATATACAATGAGTACAGTCTTTTTTATGTCACTACATTTGTGTTTTGTTTTCTCAGTGAAGTTTTAAAATATTGCTTTGCAAATAATGTGGGTTTGATTGTTCCAAATCGTGTCCATTTTGTGGTTTTCTGTGCTTCAGTAAGATAAGGGCTTTATGAGTTAAAAACACTCGCATGCACGACCACAAACAGATACATATATGTATATGCACACATGCATATGCATGCGCACTTTGCTAACCAGGATACCAAATGCTCTAAGGCAATGTTTCCCAAACCTTTCTTAGTCGCAGCACCTTTTTTCAATTAAAATGTTTCCACCGCGCCCTAACCTAAGTAAAAGTATCACTATTGCTTTGTAAAAGATTTTAAAAAATAATAAAACTCGTGAATCTTCTAATATTTCACGGCGCCCCAGTGAAGAGCTTGCGGCTTCCTGGTGTGCTGCAGCGCACAGTTTGGGAATCACTGCTCTAAGGATTTGGATGTGTCAGCCAAAAAGCACAATTATACAGCTACTCTGTAAACTGGTACAATGCAGTCCACATCTACAATAATAGATCATTATGGTCTGGAGAGAATGGTACAACTGCGAATGACCGGGGGCTCTGGTTGACACTCTACGCTCAAAGGAAAGGCAAGATGGACAAATTATCAATCTGCTACTGGCACCATCTAATTGAAACTCTTTGCTTGCTGCTGAGGATGGGGACAGCGTGCTTATGGGAAATTTCCTGAGTGCTGTGATTTCAATTCTAAGCTAAAACAAGAATAGACCCACTGCCTCCCCAAGAAGTATGTCATAAGAGTCGATTAATTGGATGCTTCCTTCAAAGTCAGAGTGTATCTGCCTGAGAGGCAAGGAACCAACAATCTGCATACAAGTAAGTCAGATCTGTAAAACTGATGTGCACACAACACTCAGGTTCTGGGAAAAGATTAATGTCTAGATGTGGACGAACTACCAGAACTTTCAGCCGGAGTTTACAGCTGGTGAACGCAAAGAAGAAGAAGAATTGTTAGCTCAACGTTCAACAATATTTGGGTGAATGAAGAAGATACTGCCTGTTGGCATATGATGCCAAAACTTCTGGGATCAAAAAAGGTTAAATAAGTTTCTTTTCTCCAAAATAATTGTAAATTACTATTATGTAAATTATATTGTAGTGTGTAAATTCCATTGTAGTGTGTAAATTCCATTGTAGTGCGTAAATTCCATTGTAGTGTGTAAATTCCATTGTGGTGTGTAAATTCCATTGTAGTGCGTAATTTCTGATGTAGTGCATAAATTCCATTGTGGTGTGTAAATTCCATTGTGGTGTGTAAATTCCATTGCAGTGTGTAAATTCCATTGTAGTGTGTAAATTCCATTGTAGTGTGTAAATTCCAATATAGTGTGTAAATTCCATTGAAGTGTGTAAATTGCATTGTAGTGTGTAAATTCCATTGTAGTGTATAAATTCCATTGTAGTGTGTAAAAGTCATTGTCGTGTGTAAATTCCATTGTAGTGTGTAAATTCCATTGTAGTGTGTAAATTCTATTGTAGTGTGTGGATTATTCACAGGTGCCCAGTGTGGTGGAGACAATGAACTTTTCTATAACCAGTTTGACCTGCACTGCCGAGAACAAAAGATTGGTCAGATCATACTTATAGAGGTTGGTTTACTAGTTCTCAGCTGTGTGTTGCCTAGAATAACTGAGGCCCTGGAATTCAATGGTGGGGATGAAAACGTCTTACTGTTAACTCTTTTACAGTGCAAACAACTTATGATTGTGTTTTTGTTCATATAGGTAGGTAGGTAGTTGTACCCCACCAGGACATCACACAAGCGATAAACACCTGGTGACACAAAGTGCCACCATGCGAATGAGGATAACCCATGGAGAGGTTCCAGAAACCTCTTTCCGCTGTTAGGCCATATCTATGGCTAGGCCATACCTATGCCCCAGTTATATTCAGAGCCCCTGGCAGAAGCCAGGGTGGTTCTTCAAGCAAAAAATTACATTCCACGAATGGGACGACGAGAAATAATTTGGTTTGTATATAGCAGAAGTCACTTCTAAACTTCACCAACTCAACCGCCCAATTGTTAGTATAATTGTCATATCTTTTTGCATAGCTCGTGTTTTAAAAAAAAAAAACACTTGACAATTATAAGTTCCATACTTTTTCATGAAATGACCATCATATGTCCTCAAACCTTAACATTCAATAGGTTCTACAATACTTTTTTTTAAATAAATGGGTAAAAAAACCCAAAAAAACAGAGTACGACATAATCTTTTTTTTTCTTTTTCTTCTTGTTCACCGGCTGTGAATTCCGGCGGTAAGTCATGGTTGTTCGTCCAAAATGGAATTTTGGCTTTTACCTTGACCTGAGTTTTGCGTGTACATCCGTTTTACTGGCTTATTTGTTTGCAGTACTCGTTCCCCGCCTCTCCGGCAGATGTACTCCGACTTCGGAGGAAGACGTCAAGCCTATTTCTAGGTTGACTGTGGCCATTGTTTTGTGTGGGTCGAGATGCTGCCTTATTTGTGTGGTGTCCTCTTTGACTTTTAACAAGTGTGGCCCCCGGCATGTCGTCCTTAAGGCAGCTCTATGTAGAGTTTTCAGCCCTCAAGGGAAGGCAGGGGCAGATCATGGGCATTCCCCGCCATCCAAGGAGGCTTCCATAAATGCAGAGCCGACACATGATGCTCTGGGTCTGGGCTCACCCAAGGAATCGTCACGTCCTGCCCATGACTGCTTAACCTCACAACCGTGTATTGAGCTTCCCGCGCTACAAGGCTGCGCTCTCCGGAGATCAGCGGGGAGCAGCCCGCAGGTCTAGGACGTTTGTGGCCACACAAATAGGTACATTCTTTTTCATCTTACGTTAGACACCTTTAACGTTGTTTCAGCTGTGCCCTTAGCACGACAGAATGGGGAAGCAAAATGCGTCAGGCGTGGCTTCACCTGTTTGGTCCCAACACTCGGGCGAGTTGGACCAGTGGATACGGACATTCAGACTTTTCCTAATCGGTACGAGTTATGATCGTCGGACTTTGAGCTTGCATGTGTGGCATGGGGTGTAACTTTGTCGGCCATTGTTTTCAAGCCAGCATATGAATAGTTGCTGCCATGGTGTACCTCAGCGCGGTGACGACGACACTGAGGATTGACAGAGGACGTACGTAGGTGGGATCTTGCTGCGAGAAGTCGCCCACAAGAGATGTTACTTGTCTTGGCTGCGGGTAAATCTCTCGGTCAGGGTTGAGTCTCAGCAGCACAGTTTTCCATTCGCTCCCGAATTTTAACCAAGAGTTGTCATTTGATGGTACATTTAGCAAGCAGTCCTTGAGTTTTGTTACTTTTCACCCATGCGTTTGGGGGCGGGCTGGTGAGAGCCAGAAAGGACTCTACACCTCTAGGGGCCGCCAGCTCCGAGATCCCCTGCCAACTCTGTTAATGCTCATTTGAGACATTATCCGTGGCGCACGACGGGGACGTGCAACAGGAGTCTTGCATGAGGTTCCGTAAAACCAGAACAGTGAAGGACTGGCGCCCGAGTGGGGTACGGAATATCTCCTTATACACATCACATCAGACTTAACTTCCCCTCATGCCTGTGACCGCAATCACCGCGCCACAGTACGACATAATGACTATCATTTATACATTATAACTACCATTATGACAAAACTACCGTCACGACCTTAAAACTACAGTTGAATGAATGAATGAATCAATCAATCAATCAATCAATGTGTCAGTAAGTCAGTCAATCAGCCAAAAATTGATATCACTGCACTCTGGACATTTCCACATGTGCTGCATCCCCTTCTTCAGTAGCCAGCGAAGAGTCATCATGCTCATAGTACCAGTTGCAACCTGATTAAAAGTCTGCCTCTGTTTCTCCCTCAGAACTGAATATCGTTCAGAATCTCTAAACACCCTTGTTGAATTAGTCTTTCAGTGTATCCTGCCATGGCTGAAGGACATGCGGCTAATGCCTGGAGCTGCAAGAAAAGATCATTTCATCAAGGAGACAAGACATTTTAAAAACAACACAAGCGTAGTCAGATGCTTCACGCTTGGGGAGATTTTGAGGCGGAGAAATCACAGCACATGGGCATCTATCCAGAGTGCTGTGCTGACAGCTTACACTAATCATTATAAATGGTTTTTTTCTTTTGATGGCTGTTGATTATTTGGAGCATTTGTGTTATCTTTGATCTAACTTGCAGGATGCAATTCATCGAATTAAAGAGGCTTTCAATAAAGAATTTGATGAAGTGTATAGTAAGAAGGAACAAGAGATAACCAAGGTGAAAGAGAAAAACAAAAGAATAAGCAAGATCATTGATTACCTTGGACTAGATGAAGGGATTCTTGAGCCTACCATGAGTGTGGCAGAAAAGCCAGAATTGCTTTTTGAAGTGGATGAAAGTGAGGTGAGTTTCTGTTGTTGTTGGTAAGCCTGGAGTGTTCAGCAACAATTCAACAACCATGTCACTATATTAAAACTTATATAGGATGTATGTATAGTAACTGTAGACTTTTCAGAATTAGTTATTTGCTCACTCTAATTAAATTTGTGTATTATTTCAAGTTTCAAGTCACAATTAACCGTTAGTTTTGAATATCACTGCTATATACCAGTATTTCAGTAACTGATCTTAGCTGTAATAGTATTAACTATTGAGGAAAGAGTATTATTGATTGAGAAAGTGTTCCTTAACGGTGGCAGGTATTCGAATGTGGTAGTTCAACAATTCATAACTACAGCGTATGTCACATTTTCGGGAGGCCACCTTTAATGCATTTATACTTCTAGGGGGAACCACAGCAAGTGTCAGTCATATTCATAGTGACCAAAGCTAATGTCTTATTTCAAGGATCCCATCAAGTGTCATTTTTCTAGGGACCATATCAAGTGCTATATTCTAAGGGACCAAAATAAGAGTCATATCTTTAGGCAACCACATCAACTGTAATTTTTTTCTAGCAGCCACAGTAACTTTAAAATACAAAAACCTGACTGCCAGGTGCATGATTATTTTTTGGAATGTGTATCAGCAGGTCTTTTGCTGCTGTTTTAATTTTCAAATGCTTTGTAACTGCGTTTACTATTATGAGAATATAACATTTTACATTATTTTTTTCCCCACTACTTTTATTGGAACATATGAAAATCTAATTGAATAGATTTTCTTGACTCAGAGACTTAAAGTACTTACCACAATATAGAAACATATGTCTATCCTTAGCTATTTTGTTTGAAACTAATGAATCATTATTAATGATAGAATTTAACGATCGCTGGTGATTGTCCTCATCTGGTCCTAGTCTTTTAATGCCTGTCTGAGATCTATTTTTTTTTCTCACATTTTATTTGGTTAATTTAATTACTTAGAACTAAGTAGCCAGTATGAGAATTGTCATTAACTGTGTATATTTTTTACTGAAAGATATGTATTGATTGTTTGTTCCAAAAACATTTTTATTCATGGTTTTTTTTTAAAAATGGCAGATCAAAGCTGAAAAATATTTGACACCAGAACAGAGGAAGCAGCTGGAGGAAGAGAAGCGTTTAGAAGAGGAGAGACGTGCAAGAGAGAAAGGAGACAATGCAAGAGAGAGGGCCTTAGAGATGATGATGGGTGGAGTTTTGGAAATCAAGAAGGAAGATGAACTGAAAAAGGTATTTTTTAATAATAAATCCTAAGATAATTGAAATCAAATTGGCATAATTATAAGCAGCATCTTTATCTTGTGGCTAATTCTGAAATATGAGACATCATTGTAGTTTCTTCTTCTTCTTCTTCTTCTTCTTCTTCTTCTTTTTCTTCTTCTTCTTCCTCTTCTTCTTCGTTCACACTTAAAAGGGTGGGTGACATATTGTGTTTTGGTTTACAGCTTGGCTGCGATATCGATGTCTTTTGGCCCATCACATTTTAATTCATCAAACTCCTAATTCGTTGCCTTTAATTACATGCTCGTTGAGGGCAGTGGGTCTCTTCTCACTCCCCCCCCCCCTTTTTTTTTCTCACACCTCCTCCTCCATTCACCCCCTTAATTGAGGTTTTGAACAACAGATCAACATCATGGCACACGGGTAGTAATAAGTGCACCGTTCTTCTTCAAACTCAAGTCTGAATCCGAAGAAGCTCAGCACAGTGCACAGGCTCTGTAGCACTGGCGAGGATCCTGAAATACTTTAGGTAGATTTTTAAACTCCAGATTTTGCCCAGGCAGTGGCGTTAGGCTACTCTTTTTTATTTTCAACTGCCAAGGGATTTTTTAACGTGCGCAACAATGCACAGGGGTGCCCTATATCACTACCTAGAAACCAGAGTGAATTACTAGAAGTTCAAGTCCACATGAAAAAAATCCCGAGGATTGAACCCAGAACGTCTAGCACTTGAGGCAGACACAATGTGTTGAGACCACGCAGCCCTTAATGAGGTGCAAGAATCCACACAGGTATCACTGTAGTTTGTTCACGTATAATGATGCTGATGCCATAGTGGCAACAACTACAGTGAAAGAGATGCTGTAGGTGTCAGACTGGCATAGATTACGTGCGTATTCACCTCTAACTCAAAACATGTATAGTTCAAATCCAGTTTAGAACAATATTGTCAGGACAAATCCTTTGGTCTGCAAAGATATATAACCTTTATTCATTTGAAATAAATGCTACCAGAAGAGAGCAGTTTCATCAAAAAACACTTTCTACCAGTACAGTCTGGTGTCTGTCACTATCTGTAAGTGCACACTGTCTTATCTGAAATTGTAAAAGGTGAAAAATTCAACAACAAAGTTCATTTATGTATCTGCACACCAGAGTGTTGTGGGAAATTTTACTTAGAAATAAAAATTACACCAAAAAACGATTCTACATCTAAATTCCACTTACCAGCCATATGTGGCTCAGGGGTTTTAAATGCAGTTCCATAATACTGACATACCATGATCAAAGTCAGCTGCTGCAGCAGCTGACCATTTTATGCTAATTAGAACCGTTGTATGAGCATTGAACTGTCAAGAGGGCAATGGTACATTAACAAGTGTAACATTGATGAGTAAAGCCACTCTATGGAGACTGAGTTTAGAGGATACAATGTGGTGCAATGAGGTCAGTCATTTTCCTTTTAAACATGACCGTTTACAAAGCAAAGGAAACTACTGAAAACAAAATTGCCTTGTAAATCCAACAGCCAAAAAACATGCCGTGGTTAGTTCTACAGTGTTTTTTTTAAAACTCTTTCAGTTCCAGAAAACTGATTCTTTGATTCTTTTCTATCTCACCATGCTGGATCTTTAGAACAACACATAGAGTCAGGTGGATATAATACTGCAACAGTTGAACAGAATGCATTAATGTACAGGACTGGGTAGAATGGGTTAAAGTAATGGAAGAATTGGTCAGAAAAATTTACGAAATGTTTGTAATGTATAGATAAAACCAATAAATGCATGTGGGGTTGCTTGGTACTGAAAGAGTTAGTTAGCTTGTTAGTTGTTAGATTATCCTCATTGCACATTCAACCATTCAGTCCATAAGTGCTCCGATCCCCTCCTTAGTAAAGGCTGCAGCTTGTAGCGGCTCACAACACCAGTTCTGTGTTGGTTTCTTATTCTTCTTTAACTTGCTAGTGCTTTTGTCTGGCCACGCTTCTTTTAACATGTTGTTCTTGCAGTCTGGTCATTGTTGCAGATTCCCCATCATCACTTGATTCTCGCAAACAAGTTAACTTCTCGTAGAACATTCAGAATATCAGCGTGGTCCATGACTCATTGGCCCTCCACAGTAGCTTTACCTGCAAGCCTCTCATCTTGCTAATTTGGTTGCAGGCCTGCATGCCCTGGCACAAATCTGAAACTGATATGTGTTAGCACTGACCGCTTTAGAGACTCCCGCCACTGTCTTGTGATCCAGTCATTCTCTGTCTGCATAGAGTCAGTGGGAAAGCATGAGCTGCAAAAAGTCTGTGTCTTCAGCTATGTTATTGCTTTGGTCGCTGCGATGACCTTCATAGTCAGAAGAATTAGGAATATTCTACAACATAATTTTTTTTAATTTTATAGTTTAAGTTTTTCTCACTTGTCATCTAAATTAACCTATTTTACTCTTCAGTACGTCTTTTGAGTTCACTAATGTATAATCTGTTTAGGATGTTCCCAAACCTGCCTTCATGTTGACTAAGAAGGAGGAAGAGTTTAGTGAAGAAGAGCAGAAGATGTTCAAAGAGTATTTGAAAAAAGTGCAAGATCTGAATGAAGAAAGAGAAAAATTCAAAAAGGTGGGTAAATGCAATATTTAAAAAAATAATTTATCTAATAATAATTGCCAAATGTTTTAAAATATGCAGTGTGTAAGAACCAAATTCAGGGTATGACAGAGGTGTGTGCAGTCCCCAAGCCTTGTGAGCTTATGTACTGAAAACATTTCTAAGCAAGTTGGAGAATTACATGGACTGAATATCTGTGCAAGAATAATAAACAGTCTGAGATATGCTGATGATATATTGTAACTAGCGGAAAGTTAGCAGGAGTTTTAGGACCGAGTGGAGCAAGAAAATAGACACACTTAAGAGTGTGGTTTAGGTAGTTGAAAAAAAAAATGACTGTATTGTCTAGCAACTAGATTCTACCCATGCTTGTTATTAAATTAACTAACTATTAATTTATATTTGATGTCTGTGTTGTTATGCGGATGTGAATCATGGACAGTCAGTAAATGAGTGAAAACTTATTTGGAAGCTGCAGAGATGTGGTTTTATAGATGAATGATGAGAATACCTTGGACAGATAAAAAGAGAAATGAAGATATTTTGAAAAAAACTGACTCACGAAGAGAACTGATTGCTTACATCAGAAAGAGACAATCTACATTCTTTGATCATGAGATGAGAAGGAGAAAACTGGAGTACATTATGGCTGTAGGAAAGTTGGAGGGGAGGAAAGGTAGTGGGAGACCGAGAGAACAGATGCTGGATAGTTTGACATCCTGGCATGGAGGATCAATTGTCTCAGAGTTGATTAAAAGTACACGAGACAGAAGGTTGTGAATAGACATGACTACCAACGCCACATGTCAGGGACTATAAGAAGAAGTCTGCCTTGTCTAGCAACTAGATTCCACCCATGTGTGTTATTAAATTAACTAACTATTAATCTATATTTAATGACTGTTGTCTAGCAACTAGATTACCATCCATGCATGTTACTAAATGAAGTAACTATTAATTTATATTTGATGACCATATTGTCTAGCAACTAGATTACATCTAAACATGTTATTGAATTGACTACCTGTTAATTTATATTTGATGTCTGTGTTGTCTAGAAACTAGATACCACCCATGCATGTTACTAAATTAAATAACTATTAATTTATATTTGATGATTGTGTTGTCTAGCAACTAGATTCCACCCATGCATGTTACTAAATTAAATAACTATTAATTTAAATTTGATGATTGTGTTGTCTAGCAACTAGATTCCACCCATGCATGTTACTAAATTAAATAACTATTAATTTATATTTGATGATTGTGTTGTCTAGCAACTAGATTCCACCCATGCATGTTACTAAATTAAATAACTATTAATTTATATTTGATGATTGTGTTGTCTAGCAACTAGATTCCACCCATGCATGTTACTAAATTAAATAACTATTAATTTATATTTGATGATTGTGTTGTCTAGCAACTAGATTCCACCCATGCATGTTACTAAATTAAATAACTATTAATTTATATTTGATGATTGTGTTGTCTAGCAACTAGATTCCACCCATGCATGTTACTAAATTAAATAACTATTAATTTATATTTGATGATTGTGTTGTCTAGCAACTAGATTCCACCCATGCATGTTACTAAATTAAATAACTATTAATTTATATTTGATGATTGTGTTGTCTAGCAACTAGATTCCACCCATGCATGTTACTAAATTAACTAAATATCAGTTTATATTTGATGACTGTTGTTTAGCAGCTGGATTCCATCCATGCATGTTATTGTATTACCTGACTATTAATTTATATTTGATGACCGTGTTGCCTAGCAACTAGAATCCACCCATGCATGTTATTAAATTTTCTGACTGTTAATTTATATTTGATGTCTGTGTTGTCTAGCAATAAGATGCCACCCATGCTTGTGATTAAATAGCTAACTATTAATTTATATTTTCTGACTGTTGTCCAGCAACTAGATTCAGAACTGAGAAAGTTGCAAGTGACCATCCAAGAGAATCTGCAGGCATTTGATGATACTCTAAACTCACTGTTTCAACACAAAGTCAAAATTATGATGGTAGTTTTCCAGGTATGTTGTCAATCGCTTGCAGTGTTTTTCAATTAAATAGAACAATATTAACTTGTTTCATGTAATTACTATAGGAGAGACTTGCCTGAAAATCATGGGTTTGAATGTACTTCAAAGCAAATTTGGGTAATTGACCTAGGAAATCCAGGTCAACCCCAGCCTACACTTTGTACCTGGAAATATCCTAAGAAGTAAAAGCAGCTGCTGCTACGCTGATCACATCACCCGTCAAGTGCCAGTTGGTCTTTAATGCTTTCAGTCCCATTGGATCACATTGGAGATGCCTAACGAATACTTAGTCACTAGGAATAAAGCATATATATATTATTTTCACGGGGGCAGAATATAATTTAGAACCTTAAACATCATGTGGGGGATTTTAAAATAATGTGTCAAATCTCTATCTTAACCACAAAATTGGATCACATCATGAATTGTTTAGGATATATGGGCAACAGGGCTGTGAAAATGTTTTGGAAATGGTACCAAACTTGGTTTTGGTAAAGGTACCAAAACACACCAAACCATACAAAATTTTATGTTTTCAATTAAACACCAGATAAAACATTTAAAAAAAAAAACCACACACACACACACACAGCATGCACACACGCACGCAGGCAGAAAGAGACAGAGAGAGACAGAGACAGAGAGAGAGAGAGAGAGAGAGCACAAGTGCATCTTAAAATATTCCTCACAAAAAAAGTTTAGTTTCAGACTTACCTTAGTAGACTTCAGTGCGGGCACCATTTGTAGCCCTGGTAATGTCCAGATGGTATTCAGTCTCATGCAATGTATTCTGCATTCAGAGTCAACAGTTGTTCAGAGAGAGAGAGAGAGAGAGAGAGAGAGAGAGAGAGAGAGAGAGAGAGAGAGAGAGAGAGAGAGAGAGAGAGAGAGAGAGAGAGAGAGAGAGAGAGAGATTATAACATTCTTTATGGCAGTTGGTGGTCAGGCATGCAGACTATATGACCTGCCCAGCAAAGTTGTGATTGTTTTAGAACCGAGTAAATCATTGGCAGTCCAGCTCTGTCAAGGACTTCAGTGTTAGGGGATCCTGTCTTGCCACTTTGTGTTCATCAACTTTCTGAGGCATACTGTTTGGAAATTGTTCAGCTTCTTACCGTGGTGATGGCAAATAGTCCATGTTTCACATGCATACAGAAAGTATGGCAGCTTTGTAAACTTTGAGCTTCATTTGCAGACTGATGCCAGCTCTTTTCCAGACTTTTGTACGAAGTTTGCCTAATGCGCTGCTGACTTTGGATATGCCTGCATTGATCTCTAGATCGATGTTAACTTTCTGAATGAGTAAGCTGCCAAGATATGTAAACCTAAAAAGAAGTACTTAATGGACATACACAAGTGCGTCTTAAAATATTCAGAAAAGTTCAGTTTCAGACTTACCTTAGTAGACTTCACTGTGGGCACCATTTGTAGCCCTGTTGATGTCCAGATGGTATTCAATCTCAGGCATTGTATTCTGCATTCAGAGTTAACAGTTGTAGTTGCTGCAGCAACCCAGTCTTGAATATGCTGGATGTTCCTTACCTTCTGAGCACTGTTTTAAGCCTCGCAGTCACACAAACTTTTCTGAACATGTTAATGTGTGACACATGTATATCCATTAAATAGTTCTTTAATAAAAACAGTTTAAAATCTCGGACAATCATTCTCAATAACCCTGTGTAATCTGGAAAGGTGCCAACAAGGTATAAGCATGTCGAGATAATTTTTTTTTAAAAACAAGTCTGTGTGCGCCATGTTGCAGGAGGAACTGAAAATCCTAAGACTTCGTTATGCTATGTTGATCCAAGAGGAGATTGAGATTCAGGAGAAGGATCTTGTGCATGTATTAGAACAGAAGAAACAGTTAAAGGTAAGAGAACTGCTGTCTTTAAACAGCATTATATTTTGTCCTAGTTTAGTTAACTGTTGAAGAGGGAACTACTGTAGTGGTTAGATGTGTGCCTACCAGTCTCAAGGTCTTGGGCCAAATTTACATGAAGGTGGATTTTTATGATTGATATAGGGCTCCCAGGTGGTCCTGTCCTAAAACGCTTACCAGTAACGTTACTGGGAGCCTCTTCTTCTTTCTCCTTTGCATTCACCACCTGTAAACTCGAGTTGAAAATTCTGGTTGTTTGTCCATTTCTGAACTTTAGTCTTATTCTAAAATCTGAGTTTTATGTGCACAATCCGTTTTACAGATTGGTTTATTTGTATGCAGACTGTTGGCTCCTTGCCTCTTAGGCAGATGCACTCCGGCTTCAAGGAAAACACCCTTAATTAGTCAGCTTTCACAACATGCGGAGGGGGGGGGGGCTATTCTTTGTCCCCTACAATGGGTCCACAGAACCCACACAGGGAGTTCCTAGAAGTAAGGGTACTTATAGTGTGATGTTTATCATCTTGTCCATCGCTGCTGATTATTCTATACAAATATAGTTTAACATCAAATGCCTTAGATTATGAAGACAGTAACTGCTATGACCAGGAATGAAATTCAGTGGACCTCTTCAAAACAGCTTGATGATCTGGACTTCGCTGATGATATTTCTCTTCTGTCCCACTCACGGAATCAACAACTAGGTTTAAAAATCATAAGGAAAAGCCAATGAGAATAAACCAGGCAAAAAGGTATTTAATTTCTCTTAATGATATCCCACTGAAAGATATGGAGTAATACACCTATTTAGGCAGTAAGGTAGATAAAAACTTTAGAAACAGATATAGGTATTAAAATATGAATACAGAAGGTTGGAGGAGTTTTTATAGCACTGGGAAATGTGTTAAAGTCAAAGGAAATTAACAATAATACTAAACTTAAAATCTGTAATTCTAATGTCAAATCAGTAACTGCTGCACGGAGTGTAAACATGAAGAACAACCAAAACAGTTACTAATAAACTACACTCATTCATTAACTGATGTCTGCATAGAACAGACTGAATTAATTGTTATGACAGAATCATTAATGTTACGCTTTGGGAGAAAATACACAAATTCGGATGAATCAAGGGGTGAAGAAAAGATGCTGTTGTTGGATAGGAAACACATTGAGGAAACCTGAGAGACATATAACTAGAATGTCTTTTCACTGAAACCCACATGGCATAGAAATTTAAAAAAAAAATTAAAAACACATGTAGGTGGGAGCTAGATAGCAGAGTTTTAAAAAATGGAAGTGGGGGGGGGGGGGGGGAATGAGGTAAGCTGCATACAATAGCAAAGGATAGGACAACTTGGCATGAGTTGTTTGAATGCCTGTGCTCCAACTGAGGATAAAAGGCAGAAGAAGAATAGAAGAATGCTTCACTCTGTACATGTTTATTACTCTGTTCATGTTTATTGATAATTCCCTTTATACGTCTTATATATATTTTGAACACACACATGCATGCACACATGCACGTACCTACACACATTTTTTAACAAATTTATTAGTGACAAGGATTTAAAAAAAACGTTTTGAGAAAAGATATTTTTAGAGAATTCCCACAGGGTCAAAAACAATTTTTTTTTACCGTTATCGGGGTGACAGAGTTAAGAACAGTTTATAGTTTTGTATGTGTTTCAGTTTTCAAGGTTTTTTTTTGTCCAGTCAGGAACTGTGGTGGTATGATGTTAGTTTGCTTGCCTATTAGGGCAGTTGCTTAAGTTCAGTCCCATATAGAGGCAGGATAATTTTATCTGACCATTACAGCTCTTGGGTAGACCTAACAAAAATAGACATTGAATAGTATTAAAAATTTTGAGGAGGAATTCCCAAGGAATGTAGAGTGAGAAGCAACAAAGAAATTCAGAATTGGTTTAAAGCATTGTGTTTTCAAAATCAGTGTCACTGCACATTGGTCATTCCCATATTGCTCAGTCCTCTGATGCAGCAGCGACTTCAGGGTACCTCTGCTGACTGTTCCAGGGGGAGTTGGTTATAAGGTCCCCTATCTCAAAGGCGGCATATACGTGCCTCACCATGCTTTACACCCATGTCATGCTATCATGTTATCAACTAGCCCAGTCAGATTGCTGGTACCATGAGACTTCAATGGTTGGGGCGTAAAGAGAAAATGGCAGATAACAGATAGACAAAAAACTGCAGACACAGAAGAGTTGAATGTGAGTAGACCTCAAGGCAGACCGAGAAGACAGTGGAGAAATGATTGATATACAGGCAGACATACAAACACTTCAAGTTACCAGCTGGAAAGAGAAGGGAAACGACAGATTAATGGATAGTGGGTGAACTCTGCAGCAATAAATCTCAAGGACTAAGAATGCATTTTTTAGTCACCTTCATTTTTGTCCTAGGGTAGGCTGATGTGAAAAGCACTGAGAGAGCAGATGCTCCGGCTGGCAGTGCGACTATCAGAAATGGGCTCTTTATGGACAGGAGAGACATAATCAGTGCCAAACACGAGACTAAACACTATGATGCTTTCAGTTTCATGGAAAATGATTTTTCACCAAATATACTGCATACCTGCGTATACAGTTGGAGTGGTGAGACAGGAAAACCATGCGGGAGCCACCCGTCGTTACATCAGCCAGAACAGAATGGGAGTTGTTAGCCTCAAAACACTTGGAGACATACTCAAGAGAAGACTGGGGGACTTATGGTCATGTCCAATGTGCGATGAAGATGATCACAAAAAGTAACAGTGAACAATGCTGAAGAAGAAGAAGATTCTTAATTCCACATAAAATCTACACCTTATTATTTGAAGGTATAATAATACTATATCAGAAAACAATACTAGAGGAAACAATTCATTACAGTTTAAAATCAAAAGAGAGTTACTAGTTTTCATCATTATGTATCTTTTATTTGCAGCACCAAACTTCTGAAGCTGTGGTTGAGGCCAAGAAGCATCTGGAGCATGTTCGCAATGAATATGATACTTTGCAAGCAGAAGACAAATATTTGGATAGATCTTTCAAAAGAGAATTTACTGATATCTCTGCAGTGCTAGCAGATGCATTGTATAAACTTTTCAAAAAAAGGCCACGGTAATTTTATTGTTCTTGCTATAATCAAAAAACAGTTGAATTCCTTTTTTTCAGGCATAGGCAGCTTTTTAGAAGATGAAAAGTATTTTATGTAATAAATCACTGTCATTAGACATCAGAAAACAAGTACTGAAATGTTAAATGGAGCCTGTTCTGTTGTATGGTAGTGAATCTTAGAATGTGAGCAGACAAATTAACTCTTTCAGGCCCACACATTTTGACAGACTTGGCCCACATTAATTTCCCTTTGCAAAAATGGCAGAGGGGTGGTGTACAAGAAAGGCAATAGAGAATGTAATATACTTCTAATACCTATAAAAGTATATATTTTTTTAAAAAGAGAAACAAATGTACATTTTGAATCTGATGATAAGTGTTAGTTTAATTTTGTTATAGTTAGTAGGAAAGAAGAATTCAGCAGATGTTAATTTTACAACAACATTTTACAAAAAAATTCTTCACTTACCATGGTTTTGCAGCCACAAGAGTAGTAAATATCCAAATTTGAGAACAAAACTTCAAAGTTTGTTCAATTTCCTAACAAATTCTAAAGTTAGGATACGTTGCTGGGTTAGTTTAGCACTCAAGGGCTCTTAGTTCTCACAGAGTGCTGAGCAAAATTTCAGAGAAAAAAATGGCAGAAAAATGAGCTATAACACACACTATTTACTATTTACTTTGTACAGTTATATACAGAATGTAGCTGCAATGATTTCAATGTAGCTTAGCCACAGTATAGTACTGTTTCTTTGCTTGTAGCTCTTTCCTTTTCTTACACCATAAATACGGTAGCATTGGAACATTGTCTGTGTAAACTCATCAGAATCACTAGATTCTAACAGCTGATCGCTGAGCTTTGCTCATGAAAATTCACCGTCTGAATCACTTTCCGAAAAATCTAAATTTTCATTATCATTATCCAAATTAAAAACATCTGACTGAAATAATTTCAGAGATTTGGCTGCAGAAAGACGCATTTTGCGACCTGTACTTATGGTTGAAACACTGGTATTCATGGCACTCGAAAACAAACTTAGGAAAATGAACTGTTGAAAAAATGCAACTGCGAATCCGTTCAAATAATGCACGTGTTTTTTCTGATAGGGAAAGTTTCTGAAAGGATTTCAGCAGAGTGACTTTCCCTGAATAGTTTAATTGTACTTCTAAACATTCGAAACAAGTACACAGCCGTGTGCGAAACAAAATGTACGGGACACACGATCGACAATGGCAGCGTTGTTTGGGCAAAACAGAACTTTTCAAACAAAACTCACACTGTTGCCTGGGCCTCAAAGAGTTAAGAAGAGTTTGAAGGCAACTGAGATGTGGTTGTTAAAAAGAATGTTGAGAATACCTTAGACTGCCAGAATAACCAATATTGAATGCCTTGAAATGGCTAATGAAAGTAGAACATTTTATACAACAGTGAGAAAAAGACAAAGTTCTTTGATCATGTGATGAGAAAATGAGCACTGGCAAATACTGTGACGACTGGAAAGATCACTAGTAGCAGAGGCAGACCAAGAGAAATCATGGTGGATGGCTTAAGACAGTGGCATGGAGGAATATCATCAGTGGAATTTATCCAGAACACCAAAGACCAAGATCTGTGATGATGCATGAACGCCTACGCCAGCTGGCAAGGCACTTAATGATCGTGAACGGATCCTGTTCAGGCCAGTAGGTTATGGGGATGACATTCTATTACCTATATTAGTGGGCACTTTCTGCTTTTTCTAGGTTTGTATCTGCTAAGTGATAGTTTTCTTGTAGTCTTACATTGTTTAGAGCTGTCTTTTTGATCAAACAACATTGCAATGTTTTCATACTGTTCATTGCATTGACAGCATATTTTATCAGACTTTCTGATAAAACTGTGTTTCACCCACACTGGATAGCAGGTTACTTTGTAACTGTATGTTGTTGGCACTTTTCTGTCTTTCCAGACTATAGTGTTTTATTGCACTGTGGGAAAATATGGGAATGAAATTCCTCCTCTCCTTAGCGCAAAGCTTGGGTAGTATTGTAGAGACCATATGTTGCCCTTGCATCATGTTTCCTCACTCAGCCTGCCTTGTTTACTCTAAAGGAAAGGCAACACCAATACATTTGGAACAAAACAAGCTGCTAGATCAGAAGAGTAGTGCACTGTCTGTCTGCCTTTCTGAGCTTCCCTCCTATACCTGCTGAAAGCCAAGGCAAAAGACCTGGTCTGAACTGCCATAATGTGAACTTTTCAGGTTGCGTTTTCTCTTCCTATGATAAGGCTAGTATCTTCCTGAAAGTGTTCCACTGCTTGAAACCATTGACACAGTGTGGGATGTTAGGTTTGGTGTAGGCTGTATTACATTCAGCGTTAACATAAAACAGGTAGTACTGACTACTATTGCACGGTAGCTCAGTCATATCTGACAAAGACCTGACCACTGTATCTGCAGAATGCCCCAATATAGCTACTTTATGTGACCAGACAGGGTATCTTGAATTTGTTTCACCGTGGAGGTTCAAAAGGCTATCTGGGTTGGGACCTGTTAAATTACCATACAAGAATCATCTCTCTAAGTCACCGGAGTGGTCAATCAGGCTGCAACCCAGATGGGGAAAACGACGAGCAGCTGTTTCATTTTTTGGGGTGTGAATTTTGACACTTTTTGTTGATATCTAAGCAAAAGTTGATACGTTGTTTATTCATACTACCTACGAAGGGGTTTCAAATTAAGATCAAAATTACAATAAGCATGCCATGAAATTACAGTAACCATGCCATTATCTCCCTCCATGCAGCATGGTCCTTGGCATTCTGTTCACACTCTTCCGTCACACTTTTAAAATTTTTCTTTGAAGCACCCTATATTTAGTTCCCTGTTACACTGACACATCTTTCTCAGGTTTGTTTGTTTTTGATAGCTTTGCTCTGTTGTAAAATACAAAACTTTCTGTTTAAAATTTGAGTTTCTTAAATGTATACATATTATTAAACCTTTTACTTATTATTCTGGTAGCATCTGTTGTAAGTTATGAGGTTTATGAGTTAAGAACAACATCATAGCACTCAGGACATTCCCATAACAGTTCCATCCCTATCTTCAGCAGCAAGCACTAAGTTCCAGTTTTGATGGTGCTAGTAACAGTCTGATTATATGTCCATCTCACCCCTCCCCTGAGCGTTAAACATCAGCCAGATCACCTGGTCAGTCCTAGCTACACCTTTCTCTTCAGATCAGTATGATCTGTTTGTACCTCAGAGCACTGTTCACTCGCTTCCAAAGGACCCTTAGAGCATCTAGCTTGTCATGCATCAGTTTACCACCAAGTTGCACAGAACCAACCAATCTGTCTGCTTGTTCATTTCCCAGCACACCAGTATACACTGGAGAAAATATCAAAAAAAGACGCGAACTCTCTGGAACCTCTGAACCCACAACATCTATTACATTTTAGCTCATTTAGTACCAATCAACTCACCATTCATTTGTTGGTTTCTTCTTAGAAAATATGCTTTTTCCCCCTAACTCTATGTTCTCCAACTGGTTGATGCATCTATCTTATATCTATATCCTCTTCTATATCCTTTTCATATCATTGTTGTCACAGTAGGCATTCACAAGTAATCTCCATTATTGTCAGTCTGTTGGTTTTCTGCCCATAGTATTCCATACCTTCATTTCCCTTTTTACTGTCCTTCTCCAAGTTTCCTTACAGCTTACACATTTCCTTTTATGATCTGCCATCCACCCAAGAGCTGTCCAAGCCATTTATCTTCTTCCTCTGATACATATTTTGATTGAAACAGACTCTGTTCCAATTGTACTGTAACCCTTTCTGTTTCATTATGTTGTTATTTAGGAATATCAAACACAAACAATTCTTAGTTAAATTAGCAGCTTCTTAGGGGGAAATTACCTTTTCTCTACATGCCATCAGATGTATTGAGCTTAGAGGGATTGACCTATATTTTATAGACCAATCAGCATTCGGTGGCTGTTATGGTCATCATCTGGTTGGCAACCTTTACTTCCTATGATTTTACCTGGTACCTATTTTAGACTGGGTCCGCGTTGGAGCCAAGGTCATTTTTTGAAGGAAAAAAAAAAGCATGCTCGATGCGGATCTGAACCTACAACATTAGGGTAGAATAAAGTGAATTAAAATTTGTCTGAAAGGTTTTTCTTTATTTTTTGTTTTTTTTTAATGCATCAGCCTTTTTATATTTCAGAATGCACAAGATTCGACCTAGTGAGGCTGCTGTTAGCAAGAACTATAACCCCTTTATTGACCGGCCTTCTTCAGCTTTACAGCTTGCTCAGCAGAAGACCCTGCTGCACACAGGACTTGAGGAACTGGACAGGTTCAGCAATGCACCTGACGGTCTTGATGTCTCGGTGTGGGAAAGAATGTGCAAATTGAGGCACGCTAAAGTGGAAAGTGAGCTGTTGGTAGGTTGTGTAGTATCTTCTGTCTGTTTTCACCCTTAAACGAGTGGTTGGCACATCATGTATTGGTTTATAGCCAGGGTGTGATCACCTGATTTCAGCAAACTCCTAATTAATCACTTTAAGATTTGTCTACTTAGTTTTGAAAGAGTTAATTTAGATAATACTCCACAACCACCCTGTGTGGGTTCCAGAGTTCCATTTGTTAGTGGGCCAGGTAATACTACACAACCACCCTGTGTGGGTTCCAGAGTTCCATTTGTTAGTGGGGCAGATAATACTACACAACCACCCTGTGTGGGTTCCAGAGTTCGTTTTGTTTGTGGGGCAGATAATACTCCACAACCACCCGGTGTGGGTTCCAGAGTTCCATTTATTAGTGGCACAGATAATACTCCACAACCACCCTGTGTGGGTTCCAGAGTTCCATTTGTTAGTGGGCCAGGTAATACTACACAACCACCCTGTGTGGGTTCCAGAGTTCCATTTGTTAGTGGGGCAGATAATACTCCACAACGACCCTGTGTGGTTTCCAGAGTTCCATTTGTTAGTGGGGCAGTGGGTGGTCAACATCAGACTGGCTGCCTTCACTTCTCAGGACTACATTAGTAGTATACTGAGCATATGATGCCAGGCTCATATTTGTGTAAACCAATCTCGGTGACTGATGTGGTCAAAACATGCTGACTACCTTCATTTCCCAGGACATTTCTTTATAACCACTTCAATTTAAGTCAGCCTGGGAGCTAAAGTCAGTTAAAAAAAAAAGATAAGACTCGATTAAGATTCACACCCAAGACCTTTGGGCCGTCAGGCAAGTGTCTTCCACATGATGAATTATAAGTGAACAGGTTGTTTACAGAATGTCTCTCTCATCACAGCATGCCTGAAAGTCTCTCTTTCTCTTGCAAGTTCTCTAGCCCTACGTGCTTTTATGGCTAATGCGTCTTCAGTGTATTGTGTCCGTCTTCGTGAAGGTCAGTTGCTGCCTAATTCTCTGGAAAATTCGCCTTCCATCAGTGTTCTTTCCAGGCCACCATTATGTTTAACATGCCTAAAGTAACTCAATTTTGGAGAACAGGATGCTATTTGTTAGCCAGTTCGGTGCATTATTTATTACTTACCCCAAACAGAGGGAATCCATGGGAATTCCACAGCTGACTGCACAGTCCTTTATTTCAATGGGTGCAAGTGTGCTGCTGCTGTTGCTGCTTTTCTAGCATTTTTTGGTGTGGCAAACTTCTGTCTGTTGGTGCACAATCAGCTACTTGTTGATGTGCATTTGGCTTGTGCACAATACTGGTAATGTTTTCAGATCATATATTCATGTGAATGTGTGGCGTAGTTGGTATCACATCCCCCTTATAAATGAAAAGGGCCGCTTTCAATCCCTACGTGGTTTTGTTTTGTTTGGTGAAGTCTTTTTTTTTTCTGTTTTTTAATTAAATGTAAATTGTGTTTTTTTTTTCTTCATTAAATGTAAATTGTACACTTTTGCTATGTGAACTCTATGTGCAATCACAGGAACTGCCAATTAGTGTACTGTTGGGGGGGGGGGGGGGGGCTAAAAAGGGACAATCAATCTAGATCAGGGTTATTCAACCTGCGGCCCATGTGCCAAATCTGTCCTATCGAGGCCTAGCAAGTGGCCCACCATTCGTTGCCAAAATAGTGAAATGTAGTTATTAAGAAGAAAACAGACTCCGCCAAATACCCACTGTTGTGGAAACACACGTCCCACATGATTTTTGCATCTTGCAAACAGACTTTCATCAGTTTCAACAATGGTGTTCTCTCCGCTGATCACTGCAGGATTCAATAACAATGTATTGGCACAAACCTCCCGTAAGTAGTTGCTCCACTCCACAGTCTCAGTCGGCAATATGCTCAGCTCTACTTGACAAAATTAAATGGTTGTCATCGCGTGAGACCAGCGGTATGTAAACATAATGATCTGTGTGTACGGGAGCGGCCGCGACATCCTTCCAGCCATTTTCCTTGCCGCACGGGTATGTCCAGATGACAAGTGGGCTTTCGACACTATCAACGGTTGAGTCTTTCCGACAGCGATAACACCATCTGATGGTTGTTTCTGCAACATCTCGTTCTGTACAGAATGCCATGCTGTTGCAGGAAGGCAATGCTGGTCTCCTTGTCTCGCACAGATACTACTAATTACAGAAAATTCATGGCGACTGCTGGAACGAACGGCAAACAAAGATGAAGACTGCTGTAACAAGACGCGACAAAGATGAAGACTGCTGTCGCGTGGTAAACACATGTCATAAGAGGCACCAACAAGCGCGCGATTTTGCAGTGCTCTCTAGAAGGAAAAAATCCCCCCAACCATACCACCCTGGAAATTATTTGAATGTCTCCCATGATGTCATTGTGACGTCATGGGGTAAGTAAAAAATATAGTACCGCCAGTTCTCCTTGATGCTCACAGAAATTCTTTCATGCCAGAATGTCAAGCTGTCCAGCATTCTCTAAGTCTCCTTTTTCCTACTGTCGTCTCTAACTGTCCTATCCTTTATTGTCTGGACTTTTTCACCGATCACTGGTGTGTTGGGGAATGAACAGGCAGACAGACTGGCTGGCTCTGCACAACTTGGTAGAATACTGATACATGATAGGGCAGACGTGGTTACTGCCTTGTGAGAGAGCGTGTACACTTCGGAGGAGCAGATGGATCACCACAGTCTGGTGAGATTGATGCAGCGGGGAGTGACGTGAGGTTCTGGCAGATGCTCGAGGTTCAGAGGAAAGTCAAGATGGACGTTTAATCAGAATGCTACTGGCACCTTTGGTATTGGAACTCTTCGCTGGCTGCTGAAGATGGGGACGGAGGGCTTATGGGAATGCCCCGAGGGCTTTGATGTCGGTTCTTGAATCAAATCAAATTAATCAAATCACTGTCCTATTATCATGATGTATTCCACTTTTACTCCTCGTGTCCTGTTTGTGGAGAAAACTGTTTCTATCAACCATCGATATAAAACTATGTTTATGGAGAGCCTTTTCTGTCAATAATTTTTTTGTTGTTAAACATGTGAGAAAAGCTGTGTATTCATCATTGATATAAAGCAATATGTAAGAGGAATTACTCTGGTGAATCGTTAGTATAAAACTATATATATATATATGTGTATATGGAGAACTATTTTTATCAATCATTGATATAAAACTATGTGTTGAGATTTACTCCTGTCAACCTGTATGTGTAGAGAACTACTTCTGTCAGCCATTAATATAAACCTGTATGTGTGAACTACTTCTGTCAATTATTGATGTAAATCTGTGTACATGAATATTACTTCTATCAATCATTGGTATAATGCTATATGTGAGAACTATTTTTAATCAATCATTGATATAAGCTATATTTAGGGAGAACTACCTCTGGCAATCATTGGCTAGTGTAAAGCTATATGGCTAGAAAATGCATCATCATCATCATGCAGCAGGTCCTTTGCAGAACGTAGCTCTCATCACAGTCTGCCTGAAAGAAACTCGGTCTCTCGCCTGTTCTCCCGCCTCATGAACTTTTACACTCAAGGAGTCACTTATATCCTGTGCCCATTTTTGTGTCGGTCGGCCCCTGCCCCTCCTTCCTGGTACCATGCCTTCTGCTATAATTTTTTCCAATCCGTTGTGGCGCTTGATATGACCAAAATATTTCACCTTTCGAGAAAGGATGCTGTTTATTAGCCAATCTTCCTTGATGTTCAGATCTTTTAAGATGTCAATATTTCTCCTCTTCTTTGTCCAAGATATTCTGAGAATCTTTCTATAGCATTTCAGCTCAAAAGCCCCTATTCTCTTTCTTAAGGACTGAGAGATAGTCCACGAGTCTGAAAAACTACTTAAGTTAATTATTGATTTTTAAAAAAAGTATTTGTTTGAAGAACTACTGGAGTCGGTCATTGATATAAAGCTATGTTCAGAATCCTACTTCTGTTGATTATTGATATCAAACCAAATGTGCAGAGAACTAATTTTGTCAATTATTGATTTCACCATTTGAATTAAAACAGATAAACAGTGTTTCACATATGTGAATTTTATTAAATTTTCAGCTGAAGACCAAGGCACATGCTCTGGCAGAAGTTCAGAGCTTTGTTCACAAAAGACATACAGAGGATGAGAAGCTGAAAGTAGAAATTGAACAAGTTAATCATAAACTCAGCAAGTAAGAAAGTACACTGATAAGATGAAAACCTCTTTAAATTAAATGAAATTGAGTTAAATAAAGTTAAAAAAAAAATGGGGGAACGATCTTCTGTACACCATTGGTGCACTGAGCATTTGATGTTAGCTCTCTTTTTTTTAATTAGACCAATTAGCACTCGATGGCTGACTTGGTGAAGTCACACTGGCTTGTTTATTTCCCAGGATATTTCCATGTCTGAATATTTTTGGCTCCATAATTGCTCTTTAGAACCACATCTCTGTGGCCTATTAAAAAAATTTGTAAACTAACATGTTAATTGCTGTTGGGGGGCATGTTAGCGCAGTCGATAAGAGGCTCGCTTTCAAATCCAGCTGCGACTCGCTGCAGCCAACAGTCAGTGTGCGAAACGGGCAGCTCCTGGGGTTCACCCAGCCTCTAGGAAATGGGTACCAGAGTTGACACTCTGGGGTAAATAAGGGAACGTCGCTGTAGCTACAGAGTTACAAGCGAACGGCGACACAGGCGGACAATTCTTATCAGCTCTCCGTACTGGTGGCAGAGCACTTATGGTTTATAACCGTGTGCAATAACACTGGTTCACATCTCCCGACTTTACCATTTTTTAAATGTTAATTGCTCAGAGCTCTGCATTTTCTTCATTTACCTCTTCAGACGTTAACTTTAATATATTTAAAGACAGAGCAGCCAGCATTAACTAATCACTCATCATGAGGGATAATAGGTAGGTAGGTAAGTTGTACCCAACCAGGACATCACACAAGCAATACACACCCGGTGACACAAAGTGCCACCATGTCAATGAGAATCACCTGTGGAGAGATCCCAGAAACACCTTTTAGTTGTGAGGCCATATCTATGGCCTAGGCCATATTTATTGCCCGGCTATATTCATGGCCTCCGGCAGAAGCCAGGGTGGGGCTTCAAATAAAAAATTGCATCCCACATGGGAACGACTGATATGCTATTGTTAATGAGGGCTAATATACTGTGATGGATGAGGCATAAAGAAAAGCATGGCAGGTAACTTAGAGACATAAATTATGTGTACAAAAGAGATAAATGGGACTACATCACAAAGCAGACTAAGAAAATGGTGGAGAGATAATATAAAGGCGGAAATGCAGTCACAAAATGAACAGAGAAGGTCAGTCACATAGATCAATCATGATGGATGATATCTGCAGAAAAGAACCTCAGTGTCTGGGAAGGCTGCGGAAGAAGAAGAAGAAGGTGAAGAAGAAGCAGCAGCAGCGGCGGCAGCAACAGCATCAGCAGAAGAAGAAGCAGACGAAGAGGTCAGCAACTGCTCCTTTGTCATATGGGATCAATAGTAATGCACTTAAATTGATCTTCTTACTATTTAACATCCTTTAAAACAATTATCTTCAACATGCCAGTGTTCAGTACTTGCTGCAGTCAGTTTATTTTTTTAAGACTATTCTTATGTCATTCGAACCAGGGTAGGAGAGTTGCACCATAAAAGAGATTGAGGCCTCATGTAAAATTCATAAAGGCAGCAGTAAGTGCACAGCATCAAACCTTATTTCTTTCTTTGTAGAGAAAACACACTATTTTTTTTTTTAAAGTTGAACAGAGGTTTAATTTCATCATATATTTTTACCTGTTCTGCAAGAATCAAAATTTTTTTTCAGGCTCAAGGAAGATGAACAGAGATTTATTTTGAATCTAGAAGTTCAGTTGCTGTTAAAGCAAGGTCAAATTGAAGTTGATTCTGGTCCCTTCATTCAAGACTTCCGTGACAGTGTTCTCATCCATCGCAGTGTTGTGGAGGATTTGAACGCTACCATCAAGGTTAGATATTTACTGTATTAACTCTGTACTGCCAGTCTAAAACATGAACCTGTACTACAGCTAATCAGTGCAACATCATAGCAGAGTTGAGCTGTTTTAGAATAGATGCTCCCCAGGGCCCTATTTTAGGAAAAACAAGAATAGACCCACCGCCTACTTAAAAGCATGCCGTAGGAGTCAACTAATTGGGAGCTTCCTTCAAAGTCGGAGTGCATCTGCCTGAGAGGCAAGGAACCAACAGTCTGCACCCAGATGAGTTTAGATTTGTCAAACGGATGCACATGCAACACTCAGGTTCTGAAACAGGACTGCGGTCCAGAAGTGGCGAACAATCAGAACTTTCCACCAAAGTTTACAGCCGGTGAACGCAAAAAAGAAGAAGAATAAACGCCAGAAGCCAGATTTTGTACTTAATAAAAGAAAGAATCATCACCGGAGCTGTGGAGTGTGTGCTGTGTGCTTGTTACAATCTTCAGGTGGCAATGGAGAGAGTTGGAAGAGTAGGTTGGGGAATAAGCAGGCAGATAGACTGGCCGGTCCTGCACAAGTTGGTGATGAATTGATGAATGACAATCTAGATGTTGTGAGAGCCCTTTGGGAGCAAGTGAACAGGGCGGAGGCACCAATAGATCATTACAGTGTGAGAATAGTGACACTGAGGGGAGTTACCAGGGGATCTGTCTGACCCTCAAGACTCAAGTAAGGCAAGACGGATGTACAATCAGACAGTTACTGGTGCCATCGGAATTGGAACTCTTCACTTACTGTTGAAGACGGGGATGGAGCACTTATGGGAGTGTCCCGAGTGCTACAATAGTGATTCTCAATTCAGCATTCAACGTTCAGAAAAGATGACAGGGTGACCGGAAGAGATAGAATCCAGAATGAAGAAATAAGAAGAAGACTAGGAATGAAACCAGGCATAGAGTTCATTAACGAACAACAGAAGAATTGTTTGGGATATCTGATGATAAAGTCCCGGTACCGACTGCCACAGAGATCTGCACTAAAGAAATATGAGGGGCATGACAAATAAGTATGTCTTCTCATGTGTCAGACTTGAGGACAAGAGTATAAAGCATAATGTAAAGATACATGGCAGATACTTACTGTAGCGGAAAATGGGTCAGAAAGAAAGAAGCTAACAAAGAGAATTTTAACAGCTACATTTATCATGATCAGAATTCAGGTAAATTATTTTTATGAATTAAATAAAATAAATGCTCCCTCTAACAGCAGTAAACAACTGTCACAGCTATGATGCAGAAGTTCAAGCTATCAAAATAGCAGCAGAGAAACTGCTAAATATGTGTCATGTTTCTGATGCAAGAGCGGTACTTCAGACACTTGAATCTGGAAAATTGCCTGGCATATGGAAACTACTCTCCAGACTAGTTAGCCGGTGTAAGGTAACTATGCAGTGGATACTATCCCACTGTGGAGTTCCTGGAAATGAAAGAGCTAAAAAACTAGCTAAGGAAGGTGCAACTGAAAAACAGCCTGACATAACAGTCTCTTATCAACAGAAGAAGAGAATAATCAGATCAACCAGCAAGCACCAAAACCAGCAAAAGATGATTACCATATAATGGACAGACCAGAGCAAGTCCTTATTCTGCACGTTAGAACAGGACACAATTGACTTCGCAGCCACATGTACACATTTATGAGACACATAGTTAATCTTATTGGCTGTGTTTGCACCTGTGCAGCATTTAGGAGGTCAGGATATTAACATATTTACTAAAAATAACATTTTATGGGGTTTTCATTGGAATAAAATTGCTATTTTAAAGCCATTTTGACATAAAATTTTCCCATAGCCTCATTGAAAAAGATCACAAAGGTGAGTCACCCAATACATATTTTAACTCTACCAGACTGCTGGCTTGCTATTACGGGAATTTCCTAATCTGCCACTAAACCGCTGTCCCTCAATGTCGGGAATTTGCGCACTATGAGAAAACATTGCATCAAAAACTAAAAATAACTAGCCAATCGTAATCAGACCTCGTGGTTAGTCATTCCAGATGTCTGCCCGCATGTGTTTGGATTAAATTTGTGTTGATTTACGTGAAAAAATTATGAAAATTTACAATGAAACGACTGAAGCGGCTGATCAACCAAGCACTTCGACAGGAAAGTGAAGTAAGTCTAGGCTTTCCACTGTCCAACAGGTGATCGATACTTTGGTTGATTCAGACTCTGTGGAGTCTTCTGGGAAGAATACGTTCCCAGTTGAAGTGACAAAGTCAGTGTAAGCTCGAACGATGAGGAGAATCTTGAAAATTATAAATTTAGAAATAGATCAAAAGTAGGAGAAGGGGGCGTGTCCCTCAAACAGCAACATCTGGTTTTCACTTTGTGAAACAAGGTTGATCCTGCTGGGTGGTTTAGCACACAAAGGTGAAATATTAGTGCTAGATAAAAGGTAAACCTATCTTCTACAATGTCTCCAAGTTTCATCTTATTCTAGCCACTTGTTTGCATGTAACTATAATTTGTGTGTATCATGTTGGTTTTTTTGTGTTAATGCCCAGGAGGATAGGTATAGGAGGCAGTTAGGTTCAGGGCCTCAGGTCTGGTAGGGTTAAGGGCTGCATGGAATGTGTTAAATTTAATGCTTCACTCTGTTTGTATGTATCAATTACTCCCTTTCATATATTTTGAAGAATTTCTTTTTTTTTAATGCAGATAAAATATATTTATTTTTAAAATTCATGTGGCCAGTGTAAAATGAATGTCTTTTAGAGAATTCTTTTACCTATTAATGACTTTTTTTTTTTTAAGCGTTTTCAGGTGAAAGGGTTAATGTAACAAATTTGTCGTGTAATTTAACTACATTTAATTTTTTTTACAGCAACTTGGTGAAAGCAAAATTGCCAGTATGGTAGAAAGCAAAGATTTCAGGAAAGGCATCATACAACTAGAATGGTGAGATATCTCTTAAGCAGCAAGACACCTCAGAATATATCTTTCATTCATGCTATTCTTACCATGTTGTTTAGTAAGTTTAAAAAAAAAATTTAAGGATCCATTTCATGGTATTGATGCAAGGGACATATCTTCCTCTTCTTCTTCTTCTTCTTCTTCCTTCTTCTTCTTCTTCTGTTATTGAGTCATTGATGCTAGGTTGTAGCCCAGTGTCGTGGTTCTCTGTATTGTCTAGCGCTCAGGTGGCTTAAGTGATGGATTTGTTAATCTTTTTGCAGGTTTAAGCTGCACCATTTATCCATGTCTTTCTTGGTCTGCCTCTTGCCTTCCTCCCAGATGTTCTACTGTAAAAAGTCTCATATGCAGTCTGGTATATCTGCATTCTCACTAGATGGCTGAACCATTTCATTCTTTGTCTGTCAGTATAGTCCAGACGTGGTCTTATTCTAACTTTCTCTCTAATGCTGGTAGTCGTAACCCTGTCTTGTCTAGTGTTGTTAGTGACCTTGAGGGGACAGCATAATTCACATGTAGTTATTTTCTGCTCTAGTACCCTATTCATTGTCCTGTCGTTCTTTGCATCAGCTCAATGGCAGTCACTCCCTGTTCCTGATGTTTGAAAGCTAGTTTTCCCCACATGGGTTCAGTGACCTTATGTTAGGGGACAAAAGAACAGACTCACTGCAGCCCTAAATATTCTGTGGTAGAAAAGTGACTAACTAAGGGTTTTTCCCTTTTAATGTCATAGTGCAATTGCCTGAGAGGTGAGGAGCCAACAGTTTGCTTATAAATATGTAGATATGTAAAACAAATGTGCACACAAAAACTCAAGTTATGGAACAAAACCAAAGTCCAAAAGTGGCTGAGCAACCAGAACTTTCTGCTGGCCTTTACAGCTCAGGAATGCTAAGAAGAAAGAAGAAAGCTAGTTTGTTATGCCTCTAACTGCCAAACTGAGATGTCAGTTATCATCATGAAGTACCTTGTTGACTGTTATGCACAGTGTTATTTCTCCACATCTTGTAATCTCCAACAGCAAGTATTAGTCTGTGTGTAGACACTGATCCACGTCATGACACAAGCCTATCTAGAATCTTTTTTTTGTTGTCGTATTTTTTTTTAAGGGGTTTATTTACTAACTATCCAGGATTCACAACCGTATGTTTAAACTAGTTCAATGTAGCAAGGCTAGAATAATTTCTCTGATCTCAAGCCTGATCTATTGCTTAAGATGCTCTTCATTTTAATAGATGCTGGTTTTTTGGGGGCCTGTATTACTCTCTTCTTTGTGTGAAGTTAATAGCTTTATTTAGGTACTAGAGCAGAAGTTTTTACGTACCTATGCACATTGATAACATCAGGTGGAATATGTATCACTGAGATAACGCAAAGTATAGGATAGGCAAAAACTGGATTATATTGATAGTGGAAAGAATTTAAAGTAATGTGCCTGTTGCATGCTCTCTTTTCAGGGAACACAGGAAAATGTCTATGGAAATGGAGGATCTTGAGAGTAAAATGAAAGACATACAATTCATCAAAGTAACAAGAGAGATTCAGGCCGTATGTTTTATACTATATTTTTAGATGTTGGCTTTAATATTTGCCGTAATGCAGCTCTTGTAATGCTGTCCGAAAACCACAAGAATAGTTTTTTCTCATAATAAACCATGCCCTGCAACAGACATTGAACCCTAGTATTTGAGGATCAAGAAATTGTTAAACACAGTCTGTTTGGTTTAGGTTAGGTTTTAAACAACGGATCAACTTAATGGCACAAGGCTAGTAACCCATAATTGCTCCGTTCTACTTCTAACTCAAGCCCGAGTGTGAAGATTCTCAGCGCAGTGCACAAACTTTGTAGCACAGGCCAGATCCTTAAATACTTTGGGTAGATTTTTAACTCTAAATTTTGTCTGACCACAACACCATTAGACTACTATTTTTTTAATTTCTGACTGCCAAGGGATTGTTTACATGCGCAACAATACACAACAACCACCCTGAGACAAGGGAAAATATTAATAGAAAAACCCAGCCTTTACTGGGGCTTGAACCCAGGACCCCCAGCCATGCCCCGAGACCACTTAGCCCCTTATTAAACACAATCACTAACCTCTAAGCAACAGAGCCACAGCAGGAGTGAATACACAAATGAGGTTTTAAACTGCTGAGAACAAAAATTAGAAATGTTATTGTTAGAGTTACATCCCATTCATTTTGCTCTACTTTACCCTTTTTCACTCCACTTCCTTATTGTAAGCTGGCTGAAAAGTCTCTGTGGACCTCTAAGGTTAAAAAGTATAAATGATAACAATACAGTGCAAAGCGGTATTTGGGACAGCATTAGTACTTGCCAGGGATGCTCGGGGGGCTGAAACTTTAAAACTTTGAGTCCTAAGGGGTTTAGCATCAGAGGCCCAAGGGGTAGTCAAGAGAGACTAAAATCGACACACCTTGCGTTAACTGGGCTTCTGTGTATGAACCAATCAACGTATGGTGCGTTCATTGGGGCTGAAAGAGTTTATAGGGTTAACCCATATAGAGACTCCACAACAGGAGGAGACGGACATCCACAAAGCACATAAATGAGGATGAGATCTAAAGGACAGATGACAGGACACAATATACCAGGTGAAAAAAAAAAAACTATATGGTATATAAGGATGACAGGACACAATATATCAGGTGAAAAAACCCAGCCACATGGGATATAAGGATACAGCCACATTACACATGGCACCATTACACCCAGAAGACAGAAAAATTGACACGAGAATCGTTTTTTTCTTTTAATAAACCATGCACTGCAGCAGACATCGAACCCTAGTATTTGAGGATCAAGAAATTGTTAATGAACACGAGAAGTGGAACCTTTATTCAGACAACAGCACCTAAACGGAGGACCCAGATAAGTTCAGAGTGACAATGTCACACATAGCTAGGGACAGTCAGCCACAGCGTTGCCACAACAGACCATTTAAGCCATTGACTTGGCATAAATAAAACCAGATCATAGTTATAACTGAAACTGTTCACAGCAGAATCGAACCTGGTCAGTCCTTCCCCACCCCCACCCTCCACTACCACCAACAACACTGGTCATACTATTTGGCCACACCTTAATTACATCAGTCTTCCTGGTTTATGTTGGTTTTTTAAAACAATGTATTGATCGGTATGTTTACAGTTCCTGCAAGAAGAGGACTATGAAGCAAAGAAACAAGCAGAAATTGCTACCTTGGAACACACTATTGCAACGTTGAAAAAGGTAAAAAAAAACATATGAAAATATATGTGACAGTAATCATTTATAAATCAAATAAAAACAAACATATTTTAAACAGCAGTTAGAAGAAAAAACTTGCTTGCCATTAAGAATTTATTTATATATCACCTTCTTCTTATGCATTTACTTCAAAAGGGTATTTGGCACGTAGTTATATGGTTTACATACAGATAGGCTGCGATAGTTGTACTTTGCATCCCAACATATCTGACTTCAGCAAGCCCTTAGTTTTTCTCTTTTTCTGACATGTTTGTTAAGGGATTGTAAGTCTGTAATTGTGTTCCCCCCCCCCCCCCCCCCCAGAACCAACATGTGGATTATATAGTATATAAAGTTATAACAGTTATAAAGAAATGGTACTTTTCTAAGTGATACATATTATAAGCGCACACATTTACAACCAAAATAAATTATCATAGGACATTGTTACGACAACCCTTCATCAGCAAACAACAAGAAACAAACACACAAAAACAACAGAAAAATAACTGATTCTACATGTTCTTATGTCGGCACCTTTCCATCTTTCCAGATGTTAGTGTTAAATTGTGTTAAGAGAGCCATAGGAATCACAGAGCACTGCAGTGGCAAGTGTGACCAGTTCAGTATTTTTTTCCCCCACAACTGGAGCCCAGGATTTCAGAATTCATGTTGCCATCACATGTATTTCTCAGAAACCTTTCTGAAATCATTCTTTCTTTATCCCTGTTCCATTTCTGATTTTGTTTCTTCCACTCAGAGTGGTCCATGGCATTTTTCTTTCTCCATGAATTGACCCCAATACCAGTATCAGTCATGTCCCACTTGTACACATCTTTATATCATAGTAGAGGCCGGCCAGGTACTCCCCATTCTACATGGGGCAGTTACAGTAGTATGAAACCTCAGCTGCTATGAATCTTGAAGGGATCACGTCTAGAAACAGTCTATAGGTCTACAGAGGTAGAGTAGAAAGCAATCCATAGCAGTCTAGAGGTGAGTGGGATTGTTACATTTGGAGAGGAGAGATACTTACTATAGTAACTACGGTATAATTTCCTTCTTTTTCCCTGGTCATAGTTTTTTATTTTTTCTGTGTTGTTGTTACTGTTTGTTGATGAGGCTTGTCACTGTAATGTTGATTGTTAGTTTATCATGATTAAAATGTTATAGGGCTGATGTTAAACATCACTAGGAAATTTCACATTTAGTAGTTTGCCATTGTTTTTTAATGTCATATTGTTGTTGATGTCAATATGAAGCGATCTATTGCCAAATAACCTGCAGCTGACTTTGAACCCTGGTATGTCAGAATTATGAAGCTGGCTTCATAGCTCTTAAATCACAGACACCACCAGTACTTTAAATAGTTATACCTATTTTGTTTTTACAAGTGTATTCTGTATGTTGAATGTTCATACAGTTAAACCTATTAGAACGTAAATCTTCACGATATAGTCACTGAATGTATTCTTTTTAAATAGTGGTCTCCATGGCAAAATGGTAAAACCGTTTGCCTTAAGCTGTTAAGGTTATGGGTTTGTCTCACAGACATGTTGTTTAGTTCATTAATGCAAATTTTACATTGATTCCTGGAGATCATGGCTGGAGCTGCGGAGTTCATGCCGCACTCTCTGCAGGCAGCCGTTCTGTGAGATCGACTGAGCTAACCGATATAAACCGGTGCATTGAAGTTGATCCTGTCTATATTAACTATGCTGAACAATGTATTTTGTAAATGTGTAACATTTAAATATTTAAGTAAAGGAAAGTTAGTCCCTTTTCCATACCTTTAGGCGTATAGGGCTTATAGGGCTGAACCTATATTTTTATAGACCAATCGGCACAAGATGGGGGATGTGGTCAGTCTCACGCCAGCCGCCTTTACTTCCCGGGACTGCACCCGGTACCCACTCAAGGCTGGGTCGACCTTGGAGTCAAGGTCATTTTTTAAAAAAGTACTGCCCTGCCAGAGAGCCAACCAACAACCTTCCAATCCGCACGTGAGCATCTAACCACTATGCCACGGCGGCTCTCCTTTTGTATATTTAAACTTCTTAAGATTGAAAACCATGCTGTATAGACCCGAAATGTTATTAAGTACAGTATAAACTGTATAAAGGTATAAAACAGACAACTGTTAACTTGTCAATATGCTGTTGATTCTTTTTGCTACAGTTTAATTCTTTGCAATTATTTTGTAGCATCACGAGAAAAATATCACAAAAAGGAAGCAGACATTGAAGACTTTAAGTAAAGGAGCTAGGAGCAAGGAGACTAGTAATGAAAAACTGTATGCTGAACTGCTTGATCTGAATGTGGTGGTAAATGAACGAAGGCATATTGAGGAAGTTAATGGTTAGTAGTTAAATACATTTATTAAATACCACTTTTTTAGTTTTTAAAAAAAGTAAATCCCTTTTCCCGCCTTTAGGTGCATCAGGCATATGGGAAAAGCACACCATATTTTTTACAGACAAATGGGCACTGGGTGGGTAATGTGGTCAGCATTACGCTGGCCATCTTTACTTCCCCAGAACAGCCATCCTGGTACCCATTTCAGGCTGGGTCAACCTGCTACGCCCCATACCACGATAAAAATCCATGCAGCCAGTAGTGGGTTTCGATCGCAGTATTTTGTAATTATGAGTCGAACTCACAACGCCAAAGCCACGGACGCCGCCACAACTTTATTAGTTCCTCTTATTTCATTTTAATGTTTTGATAGCTTTCTGTAAATGAAAGTAAAGGTCCCTTTATCTGCCAGTGGCAGTTTGACATATGAGGCTAGACTCGTATTTTGATAGAATAAATGGCCCTCTTTTGGTGATGTGGTCAATATCACACCTGTGGCCTTTAATCCTCAGGAAGCTTTCTGTGAATTTGATGTTTTTTGGTTTCAGAGTGTTTACTGTTGTACATTGGCAAAACTTTGGTCAAGGATTTCATTTTTGTACATACACATGTATTTGTATCATCGACTATTTTCCCAGTTAACTTTAACTAATCCGGTGTCAAGCCTTTTTGGTGATTCTTTCTGATAACTTTTTCTATGGTAGCACTTCAGCAATAATTTTATTTAAGGGAGAGAAAACACAACTGTTTGAAGAGACAGTCTGTTAGTAATTGAACACATAAATAAATATCTGTTAGTTAATCATTTAGGGGCCTTTGTGGCACAAAAGCTAGATGCTTGCTGCTGGCCATTAGGTCTCGAATTCAAATCCAAATCAAGGCAGATTTTTTATGATTGACCTTATCTCCTAGATCAGCACAGCCAAAAATAAGTAAATACCTCATAGGAAGTAAAAGTAGCCAGAAGATGTTGACCAAATCCCCCATCGATTGCCAGTTGTGACAATCTGTCAATCCTTGCAGTGTTCGAACCGGGTGAGTTTTCCCGAGTCAAATTGAACCACAGGCTCCAATCTTGGTGGTGCCCTTCTGTCAGTTCCTTTTAATTTCAGCTTTTTTTGGGGGGATTAAAATCCAAATTAGGGCAGATTTGCTATGATTGACGTTATCTCCTAGAGCAGCACAGCCAATAATAAGTAAAAATCTCATGGGAAGTAAAGGTAGCCAGCATGATGTTGACCAAATCCCCCATCGATTGCCAGTTGGTCTTTAAAATATGGGTGTGGAACCACATACCTGATTTGATTTGTCTTCTTCAGTGTAAGAACTCATTGTATTCCTTTATGTTTCTATAATCAGTAGATAAAATCATTTTTTTTTAATTTACCCTTAAAAGGGCGGGTGGCTCATTGTTTTGTGATTTACAGCTAGGCTGTAATATCTACATTTTTCCGCCCAACACATCTCATGTTAGCAGCCCTTAAATTAGTCGCAACCTGAATGAAAGTCTGCCTATGTTTTCCCTTCATTGTTGACTATCTCCCAGAACCTCTACTCACTCCCGCGTTATATTAGTTCCTATGTTTCCCCCTCAGTGTTGACTATCTCCCATAACCTGTACCTACTCACTGTCCCATTGAGTTAGTTCCTGTTTTCCCCTCAGTGTTGACTATCTACCAGAACCTCTACTCACTCCCCATTGAATTAGTCGTTCATTGTATGGATTCTCTGTCTGTTTTATTGCTCTGTCCCAGAGAACCTTCACCACGTCCGCATTGTCACAAAGTAGCTCACTTCCCAGAGGAGTGGCAGCAGCTAGTCTATCAGCATGCTTTTTACCTGTCACACAAAAATGTCCTAGACAGAAAATCAATGATATGCTCCTGATATTCTTCTTCTTCTACTTTTGTTCACTTGAAATAAATTATCTGTAATGGCAATTTTGTCTCTAGTATGAACTTCAGTCTTTTGTAATTCACTCAGCGACCCGTAAAGTTTGATTTGCACAGATGTTTCTCTTGGCCAAAAGTTTTTCCTTGATATGTTGTATTTGGGACAGTCTTGAAGGACATGATCTGTTGTCTCAGGTGCCAATCCACATGTGCTTTTGGCTGATTCGCCAATTTTAAATTGTGTGTGGCTGCGAAGTCAATTGTGTCCTGTTTAAGGCGTAGAATGGTCCTGATATGAGTCTTATCAAGGGATACAAGCCACTCTGCATGCAGAATGCCTGTTTCAATTTTCCAAAGTATGCTGTGTGAGTCTGTTACAATTACAACATTTTGGGCTGTACTGTTCTCAGGCCATTGGAAAGTTGCCATTACTGCCTCCACTTCCATTCTCATACTGAATGTAGTGATGCTAGAATCAAGACACTGTTGTCAAAAGGTGTCCATTCACCTTTGCAATAGACCGCATCCATAGATAAAATCATTGAGTCTTTTGGTGTGTGTTACTTTTTTTTTTTTTTTGTTAATAAAATGATCGATCTGCTTATGCAGTTTTTTGTACATCAATTTAAACAAATTGTATTGGCATATTTTCCCCTGGTAAATTGTTTCGTCCTCCCCATTTTTATAACTTCACATTTAGTTCCCTTCTTTATGTTTAATGTTGTTGGAGGATCTTTATTCCTTCAGTGCTGTGAATTTCTGTGCAGACAATCTAGTTAGGTTATCAGGTTTTGTCAACATGTGTCCTAACCAGTGCCAGCATCTTTGCCTCACCTTTTGATTCAGTGGAGTTTGTTTAGTTCTCTCCCACAACTCCACAGTAGTGATTCTGTCATACCATTTAATTCCCTCTATTCTGTGCAGGAACCAGGAAATTAATGTTTGTAGTTTGTTAGTAATTGTTCCAAGTTTTTCATTTTTCACACGTGCAACTGCTGATCTGTTGGTGACTTCTGCTAGTCACTAGTGCTACCGTCCATTATGAACTTCTTCTTCTTCTTCTTTGCGTTAACCAGTTGTAAAAGCTGGCGGAAAGTTCTGGTTGTTCATTCACTTCTGGACTGCAGTCCTGTTCCAGAACCTGAGTGTTGCGTGTGCATCTGTTTTACAGATCTGACTCATTTGTATGCAGACTGCTCGTTCCTTGCCTCTCAGGCAGATGCAGTCCGACTTCAAAGGAAGCTCCTAATTAGCCGACTTTTACGGCATGCTTTTGGGTAGGCAGTGGGTCTATTCTTGTTTTCCCTATAATAGGGCCCTGGGACCCACACGGAGACCATGATGAACTGCATTTCTAATGTCGGACTGTTTGTGTTAGCACTACGGATGGCTACCGAATGCTTTTAATGCGTGTGTATGCTAGTGCATATGCTGAGACAGCAGTTTGTCAATCTTTCCACAAGTGACTGATAAACATTATGTGTGTTTTTCATTGGCACAGGAGTGGAACAACTATGGGGTGACCCGTTTGCTATGAAGCTGAAACTAAGATTACCAGATTACTGTTTTGACATAAGAGCAAAATATTTTAGTTTAGTTGTGGGTTTTAAACTGTAGATATCACTGAATGTTATCTAGTGTGTTTTAAACTATGGATATCACTGAATGTTATCTAGTGGGTTTTAAACTATGGATATCACTGAATGTTATCTAGTGGGTTTAAACTGTGGATATCACTGAATGTTATCTGTTTATGCCTGTTTTTCACCTAGGTGGTTATCGTGATGATGGTGGCGTAGCTAAGAGGTACCAAGAAATTAAGCAGAGACGTAAACTAATCGACTTAGCAAAGGCCCAAGCACAAGAAATTGCAGTTTTACGATCAGAAGTGGAGCGTCTCCGTATGAGAACTTTCCCAGCTTTGGTCCAGGTGGAGCGCTGATGGTGTACTTCATGGAATAAAAACATGTTTGGCTATTAATTACTTATTCTCACAAAGTTTGACCGAGGAACGTTTGAAGGGGGAAAAAAAAAGACTAGTTTAAGCTTTAAAGCCTGCAAATTTGTATTGCCTGTTTATTTGTTATTGATTAACTCTAATAAATTAAATTTATAGTTCTGATAAATTAAAGTCGGCTTGATACAGTGATGATTTGGTTTGTTTTTTACATCACAATTCTGTAACCTGAAATGCAAAGACTACAGCTTATGAAGATTTGAAACTACTTCTCCATGTATCAAACATTTTTTGATTGGATCGTTAATATGGTTATGTTTGTTTACAGCAGAGCTGTGATATTTGCACCTTTTGGCGAACATATTATCTTCATATATTTTTCAGATTTTTTGGGCATGAACATAATCTACAGTAAGCTATAAATTGGTAAAAACATAAACATATTGCTATGAACGTGGTCCACAGTAGGCTATAAATTGGTGAGAACATAAACATATTGCTATGAACGTGGATCACAGTAGGCTTTAAATTGGTGAGAACATAAACATATTGCTATGAACGTGGTCCACAGTAGGCTATAAATTGACAAGAACATAAACATATTGCTATGAACGTGGTCCACAGTAGGCTATAAATTGGCGAGAACATGAATATAATTCCATGAACGTGGTCCACAGTAGGCTATAAATTGGTGAGAACATGAACATATTGCCATGAACATAATCCACAGTAGACTATAAATTGGCGAGAACATAAACATATTGCTATGAACGTGGTCCACAGTAGGCTATAAATTGGTGAGAACATAAACATATTGCTATGAACGTGGTCCACAGTAGGCTATAAATTGACAAGAACATAAACATATTGCTATGAACGTGGTCCACAGTAGGCTATAAATTGGCGAGAACATGAATATAATTCCATGAACGTGGTCCACAGTAGGCTATAAATTGGTGAGAACATGAACATATTGCCATGAACATAATCCACAGTAGGCTATAACTTGGTGAGAACATGAACATATTGCCATGAACATAATCCACAGTAGGCTATAAATTGGCGAGAACATAAACATATTGCTATGAACGTGGTCCACAGTAGGCTATAAATTGGCGAGAACATGAATATATTTCCATGAACATGGTCCACAGTAGGCTATAAATTGGCGATAACATGAACATAATCCACAGTAGGCTATAAATTGGGGAGAACATGAACATGTTGCCATGAACATAATCCACAGTAGGCTATAAATTGGTGTCAGCTCAAGCTGCTTTATGTTTACTTAAGTTTACTTATTAAGTTTACTGAGTGTGGCCACAAGCTGCTGCGCAGCTTCTCCATAAAACAATCTTGCAAGACATGTTATGGAGTCTGTTCACCTTGAAGATATTGGGGAGGCAGGGAGAGGGGATTCATTGTTCATTTTAAAGATCACCTTCGTTGCACATCAGACATGATCATAAGTGCTCTGATCCCCTCCTGAGTATGTCTCCAAGTGATTTTAGGCCAACAACTCCCATTCTGTTATGGCTGATGTAACAACAAGTGGCTTCCGCATGGTTTTCCTTTCTCGCAACTCTAATTGGTACACCCAAGGTATGCAGTCTATTCAGGGAAAAATCATTTTGCACAAAACTTTATTCCTCACAGCATTTAGTCTCTCATATGGCATTGATGATGAGAGCTGTGTGGCTCGTGAATTTTTGTTGAGTTTTCAACGTCCAGTGCAAACACGCTTGAGTGTCACACCATGATATGAGTGCCACACCGTGATTTGAGTGCCACACTATGATATGAGTACCACACTATGATATAAGTGCCACACCATTCAGAAAGCAATGACAACATTCTGATCTAAATTGCCTAGTAAATCCTCACAACAGCCAGTAAATGCTGTGGTGTGTTTGCAACTAACATTTTTTTCTTTTTTTAAGAAAAAATCCATGCAACTATTTTTTTAAATGACCTTAGTAGAATATTTTCCTGCTACAAGAAATATGGTATGTTTGTCTATTCCTGGTATAAGAAATATGGTATGTTTGTCTATTCCTGGTATAAGAAATATGGTATGTTTGTCTATTCCTGGTATAAGAAATATGGTATTTGTGTCTATTCCTGGTACAAGAAATTTGGTATTTGTGTCTATTCCTGGTACAAGAAATATGGTATTTGTGTCTATTTCTGGTACAAGAAATATGGTATTTGTGTCTATTTCTGGTACAAGAAATATGGTATTTGTGTCTATTTCTGGTATAAGAAATATGGTATGTTTGTCTATTCCTGGTATAAGAAATATGGTATGTTTGTCTATTCCTGGTATAAGAAATATGGTATTTGTGTCTATTCCTGGTACAAGAAATATGGTATGTTTGTCTATTCCTGGTATAAGAAATATGGTATGTTTGTCTATTCCTGGTATAAGAAATATGGTATTTGTGTCTATTCCTGGTACAAGAAATATGGTATGTTTGTCTATTCCTGGTATAAGAAATATGGTATTTGTGTCTATTCCTGGTACAAGAAATATGGTATTTGTGTCTATTTCTGGTACAAGAAATATGGTATTTGTGTCTATTTCTGGTACAAGAAATATGGTATTTGTGTCTATTTCTGGTATAAGAAATATGGTATGTTTGTCTATTCCTGGTATAAGAAATATGGTATGTTTGTCTATTCCTGGTATAAGAAATATGGTATTTGTGTCTATTCCTGGTACAAGAAATATGGTATTTGTGTCTATTTCTGGTACAAGAAATATGGTATTTGTGTCTATTTCTGGTATAAGAAATATAGTATGTGTGTCTATTCCTGGTACAAGAAATATGGTATGTGTGTCTATTCCTGGTACAAGAAATATAGTATGTGTGTCTATTCCTGGTACAAGAAATATAGTATGTGTGTCTATTCCTGGTACAAATAATATGGTATGTGTGTCTATTCCTGGTACAAGAAATATGGTATGTGTGTCTATTCCTGGTACAAGAAATATGGTATGTTTGTCTATTCCTGATACAAGAAATATGGTATGTGTGTCTATTCCTGGTAGAAGAAATATGGTATGTGTGTCTGCTTCATGAGGAAAGAAAATAATTATTGTATTCATATATTTACATTAAAACAGCAGTAAACAATAAGATGAGACTAAACAGAAACATTTAACTTTACTTTTAAAAACTTTACTGGAGGAAAAGTGAGCGGTAGGCAATGATACAAGTGGGAGGACAAAATCAAAAGGATAGGCAGCAGTCTGAGAAAATGTACAACCAGGACAAGAGACAGAACATGTTGGAGATCCATTGCAGCCAACCTTCACTGTGGAAACGGCGCCTGATTGATTGATTGAAACAGACAACAAAAATTTAACAAAACTGTAATTATTTGGAGGGAAAAAATCACAGAATTCAGTCAAAGACAGAGAACCCCCCCCCCCCTTTCTCCCCCCCCTCTCTTCTCCCCCCCCCCCCCCCCCCCCCCAATGTATTACCTACATTAACTCAAGTGTACAAAAAGCATCAACTATGTATTTATTGATTACTGTACACAAATGAAATTAAAACAAAAGTAGGACATGTTATTAGGAGTCAACTCAAAAACTTGGTCAGCTGGCAAGCTTGATGGAATCAGAGCAAAGGGAAGTCAAAGAGATAAATACCTAGATTGCTTGGTCATATTAATGATGCAGTACAAAAGAACTGACCTATGTGGGATGATAGATTGAAGGTCTTTTTTTTAAAAATCTGGCTCGCTGCAGTTTTGAACCCAAAGTCCTTTTGGCCCATAGGGTAATGAAATGTATGAATATATACTTTTTAAAGAGAATTTCTATGCATGGTTAAAAGAACACTCTTAGTCCCCTTTTGTTTTGTATGTGTCGGGTGCTCGCTGTCCTATGCTGGTAAGGATAGTTATACTATTTATATCTTTTAATCATATCAGTTATCAGTCATTTCTGTATTGTTCTCAAAAAAAAGTATTTAATTTGTTTACAAACGTTACTGAATGATTTAAAGTCACATACACTGCATGTATATATACACCCCCACACATGAATGCATTCATCACACATACATGTATATGAGCACACATGCATGTATATAAGCACATGCACATACAGAGTTGTTCATAGATATTTCTTATATGGTGGTACCTCGACTAACGAACTGAATTTGTTCTCAACTGTGGTTCGTATATAGAAAAGTTTCTATCTCAAAAACCTATTTCTCATTACATCTCACAGGAAATCAATTAATCCATTCTCAGATTTCAGGATTTTCTTTTGAGTTTGTGTCTGTTAACTTTCTGTCGCTTTGGATTTTCAGAGTGATAAATCAACAGAGGTTTTATCTTCAGATCACCATCGGCAGTGGCGCAAAACAACAGAATTGGTCTGTCTTTCTTCGGCTTTCCTTTTTATTGATTAATGTTCTCTTAGACATTTTCTTCCAGGAAGGCTCCATTTCATCGCAGTTTGTCTGTTTCCCCTCTGATGGCATTAGTTTCTGAAATTCCTTTACGAACTCTTTAGCAGCTTTTCTTTCAAAACTAGCACCTTCCCTATTTTTAACAACACTGTATACTGTTCTATTCTTTATTTTCTTAAACTGTTTTTATGCTAGCTATAAACTCTTCACTGATGTCTTTGCTACTGGTGGTGGACAATGTTCTGCGATAGTCCTTTGTAAATGGCTTGAGCTTTTAATCAGATCGTATTTGGAGATAAATTATCTGCTTTCAGTTGAATGTCATTAATCCAGATGAGTAGTAAAGTTTCCATTTCTTCAATAACTCTACTTCTTCAAGATGGTCATATCAAGTTCCTGAAGAAAACAAAATCTGCTCTTTTTTTAATCACAACTGGACTTGGTGGACTTGGTGTACTTGGTGTACTTGGTGTACTTGGTGTACTTGTGGACTTGGACAAGTTATACTGCTTCCACAGATCAGTTTACATGACTTCTTTCTTCTATTTCTCCACAATCTCAATTAATTTCTTGTGTGTTTTTTTTACTTCTCTTCTTTCTTGGTTTTCTTTGGTGAAATGTTTTAAATATATATGCTACATCTAAATAATCATTTGAATTGTTTGTTCATAATGCCACTTGGAGTATATAAACTAATTTCATTACACAAATACAGTAACACATTTTTTTTTTAAAGCAAATTTGTATGTGCATCATGCGTTGCACACATCACTTGTGTCGTATTCCAGATAAGTAATAATAAACATGCGTAGTACATCATCATTCATATCTCAAATCTAGGCGCGTTTGTAGAGGTCAGAATAGAATATGAAAGAAGTTTGTACGTCAAAAAGTTCATATGTAGAGCCGTTCATAAGTCGAGGTAACCAGTGTACGCATAATGTGTCACTGAACAATTGGTGATAAGTTCAACACATTGTTGCAACCCCCCCAAAAAAAGTTTTCTCTCAAAATCTTAATCAAAAATATGCAGTCTCTGTGCTTGTACACTTTCAATGCTTTTTTCTGTTTGTACATGTAAAATTATATATGCATACAATGTGTATTGTTTAATTGTTTGTACATAAATATTTTATTGGTAATCTATCATATCATTATTTTGAAGTAAAATAAGAATGTTTGTGCACATTATAAATATTTTTACCATTCTAAAAATGATGCCCATGATTTTTGTTTATTTTGTAATTTTGATCATCTTTACCCAGTCCTTAAGAAAGAGATTAGGGGCTTTTGAGCTGAAATGCTGTAGAAAGATTCTCAGAATATCTTGGACAAAGAAGGGAAGAAATACTGACATCTTGAAAGATCTGAACATCAAGGAAGATTGGCTAATAAACAGCATCCTGTCTCGAAAGCTGAAATATTTTGGTCATATCAAGCGCCATGACGGATTGGAAAATTAATAGCAGAAGGCATGGTATTGGGAAGGAGGGGCAGAGGCCGACTGACACGAAGATGGGCACAGGATATAAGTGACTCCTTGAGTTTGAAAGTACATGAGGCGGGAGAGCTAGGGAGAAACTGAGTTTCTTTCAGGCAGACTGTGATGAGATGAGAGCAACGTTCTGCAAAGAACCTGCTACATGATGATGATCATCTTTATGTATTGACCTAGAATTAAACCCTTTTACCACATAATTTGTTTTAAACGGAAGACTCGGTTTTTGGGTTACTATTTTACCTTTAGACTGCAAATTATATTTGATATTTTTCTTTAAACATATTATTATTACCTGTCTAAATGGAAATGAGCACATTAAATGTCTTTGAAACTTGTTCTGTCTTGCTACCTTGTCAACTCAGGCTATCACACATTGTAGAAACTGCTGTGTTCAAGGTATTCCCTGACTTTGAACTTACTTGTATGCTTGTACCTAACTTTTGCCGGGGGCCCTGAATATATAGCCGGGCCATAAATATGGGCTAGCCATAGATATAGCCTAACGGCTGAAAGGGGTTTCTGGGACCTCTTCACAGGTGATCCTCATCCGCATGGTAGCACTTTGTGTCACCAGGTGTTTATAGCTTGTGTGATGTCCTGGTGGGGTACAACTACCTGTAGGTATGCTTGTACGAGGAGGCTTTAAGTAAAAACCTTAAAAGTGTAATAAAAATTACAATAACCATCCCATTGTCTTGTAGCCTGTCTGTAATGCGGTTAAGGATGTCAAGAATGTTAAGCATGTAATATCATGGTGCAGACAAACGTGGTGACCTCATATGCCATTTTAAAGATGCCCACCCCACTTTTAATGAGAAGCAGCATTATGTTATACACATCAAAGATGCAAACAGCCGGGAATGTAGAGTGAGAAGCAACATTGAAATTCATAATTGTTTAAATCACCATTGATAACTGGAATCATGAGAGCTAATAGACTGAAATGGTTGGGGCATATTCAGAGAATGTCAGATGACAGAGAAGTGAAAACTTTATTCACAAGGGAAATGAATGGTTGTAGACCATGAGGCAGACCAAGAAGATCATGGAGAGATAATGTCGACAGACCTGCAAACAGTTGGTGTCACCAACTGGAAAGAGAAGGCTAACCAGAGAGATGAATTGAGGCGGGTGATATCTGCAGCAATAAACCTCAAGGGCTTGGAATGCTGAAGAAGAAGAAGATACATTATGTTATCTGTTGTTTTTTTTTTAAACAGTGAAGGGAGGAAACCTATAGGAACTCATCAGCAAATAAAGGTCCAGTTGGATGATGCTGGCCTGTCTGTGAAAACGACAATAATCTGGTCTTGAATTGTCTGTCACAGAAGTTATGATGCTGTAAGAATGAAACAATGTGTGTTTACACAAGACAAATGTGTCAACAACATTAGAGGAAACAATAATTTATTTAAAATATGAAGTTTCCTCTCTTGTAAAATTTAGTCAAATATGTGGCTCTTTCCCCCCCTTATGAGTCCCAAGGAACGCGTCATCATACGTTCATAGATTTCTACCTAGAAGCCCAATAACCGCAAGATGCGCCGATTTTACGTCTTTCTTGACTACCATTGGGCCTGTGATGCTAAACCCCCTGGAACTCAGAGTTTTAAAAAAAAAAAGCAGGGAGATAACTACACCTAAAAAATAAAATGTGTGCAAGGAAAATGGTAGTAACCACTATCATTTCCCTTGCACAAATTTGTCTAAAATGACAGTGAAATGAAAATAATCTGAGAAATTATATTGCTTATATTGAATTTTTACTAATAAGATTTCTAAAAATAACTTTTTTTCCCCCCCCCCCCCCCCCCCCCCCCCTTTTCAGAGTGTAAATAAAATTATTAAAGATTTGATTATCTTCTAAAACAATATTTGTTGAAGAAATGCACAAACTTAAAAATGGTTAATATCTCTTTTTAAATGGGTGCCTTTCCTTCAATTTTCACCGTCCTTTTTAGGATGAAATTTTTTGTTATTTGAAGCCCCACCCTGCTCTTGCCGGGGCCGCAATAAAGCCAGGCCATAAATATGGCCTAATGGCTGAACGCGGTTTCTGGGACCTCTCTACTGTGATCCTCATCCACATGGTGGCACATTGTGTCATCGGGTGTTATCGCTTGTTTGATGTCCTGGTGGGGTAGAAAGTCAGTCAGTCTTTTTAAAGAATTGTTCTAATTCGTCCTCTAGTGGGATGCAATTTTTGTTATTTCGAAGCCCCACCCTTACTTTTGCCAGGGGCCCAATGCCAGCGGCCTAGTCGTAGATAACGGCTGAAAGGGGTTTCTGGGACCTCTCCACGGGTGATCCTCATCCGCATGGTGGCACTTTGTTTTCTCATCGGGTGTTTATCGTTTGTGTAATGTCCTGGTGGAGTACAGCTACCTACCCCAATAATCAATAAATACAAAGTATTTTGTTTAAAGCCCCACCCTAGCTTTTCCTGGAGGCCCTAAATGTAGCTGGGCCTTAAATATGGCTTTTAATACCTGAGCAGAGTTTCAGGGACCTCTCTGCGGGTGACCCTCATCCGAATGGTGGCACTATGTGTCACCGAGTGTTTTTCACCTGTGTGGTGTCCTCGTTGGGTACAGCTTATCTGTCTATCTAGAACTAGTTGAACTTTTGCTTCAGCTAAATACTATATTGGTAAAAAAAATTTTTTTGACAGGCACATTTACTTGTTCTATTATGGTTCCCTGAGACCGAAGCTATCGTACTAAATTGGAGTGACCAAAACTTTAATTCTGTCAAAACATGGGGTTTGTCAAAGTCATCAAGAACAAGGCGTACTTTAAGAGATTCCATGTCAAGTTAAAGAGGAGGAGAGATGGAGTCACTGACTACTACACTAGGAGGAGACTGATCTTCCAGAACAAGAACAACACCCCCAAGTATGGTATAGTCATCCCTTTCACCAACAAGGACATCACATGTCAGATAGCCTAGGCTCGTATTAAAGGTGACGTGATTTTGTGTGCTGCGTATTCTCATGAGTTGCCTTGCTATGACATGAAGGTCGAGTTAACCAACTATGCAGCTGCCTGGACTCTGTTAGCAAGAAGACTGTTGAAGAAGCTGTAGTTTGACCAGACTTAGGAAGGACAGGTGGAGGTCAGTGGTGAGCAGTTTACAGTGGAGGATGTGGATGGTGCTCCTGGTGCCTTCTAAGCTTACCTGGATGTCGGTTTGGCTCACACCACAACTGCTCTTTGGAGCATTGAAGGGATCTGCTGATGGTGGCATTGACATCTCATACAGCACTCGTTTCCCTGGCTATGATGCAAAGAGCAAGAACTACAACGCTGAAGTGTACCATGACCACATCCTGGGCAAACACGTGGCAGACTACATGACAGGAGAATGATGAGGAAGCTACAAGAGGCAGTTCTCCCAGTACATCAAGGAGGGCATCACACCATCCAAGGTTGAGCAGCTGTACAAGAACGCCCATGCTGCCATCAGAGCTGACCCAGAAGCCAAGGTTGCAGCCAAGAAGGAAGTGGAAAAGAAGAAGTGGAGTCAGGTAAAACTCTCCAACACCCAGTGTGCAAGGCCTGTATTGCACAGAGAAAAGCTGTATACCTCAAAACCCTGGAGACAGAAGCTGCATGAGTGCCCCTGTCTGAGAGATGTGTTGGGGTTGCTGTTCCACTGACCTGACTATTACAAACACACCTCCATGCCATGCAAGCATGGCTGTTAAGAATCTTCTCTCGTTGTCTTCCTCTGTCCCTTCTTCCACAGATCTTTCCAGTGGTCACAACATGTTCCATTTTCCCTCATCTCATAACATGGCCGAAAAATGATGACTGTCTCCTTCTGATGTCTGTGATTAGTCGTCTTCGAGCTCCCGCCTCTTTCATAACCTCTTGGTTGTTCTTTTTAGCTGTCCAAGGTATTTTAAGCATTCTCTATAAAACCACATCTCTGAGGCCTCCAGAAATTGTTTGGCCTGCTTACCAGTTGTCCAGGACTCACAGCCATATGTTTAAACTAAATGTATGCAGCAAGCAAAAATTCTTTTTCTTACCCTCAAATTAAAAAAAAAATTTTCCAGTCAATAAAACATTACTGACTAAAAAAAAAAAAAACTTTAAAAACCTTAAAATTCTCTCAATCCTGTGACTAAAATCATGCTTAAAAAAAAGGGAGAAGTTGATGAGGATGACGACGACGACAATTACATTTAACACATACACACAAAAACTACACAGTACTCACAAACATTTACATTCAGATAAAACCTGGACAATAAACAAGCAACTAGAAAATCAAACTAAGTCTCTGGATATGTGCATAAACAAAAAAAAAATAGTTTGTAATTCAGGGAAATAAATATAATAAAATAAGAGACGGAATGAAATGAGAATTGCTGACATAAATAAAAGAAAACTGGATATTTGGGCCACATTAAAAGATATAACACCCTATTTTTCATAAACATACTGGAGGGAAAAGGTATAGGCAAGAGAGCAAGAGATGGATGAGACAAGTAGGAAGACAACATCAAGAATATAAATCTGAGCGTATAACTACAAAGAGATAGAGTGCGCTAAAGATTCATGTCAGTCAACCTTCATGGTGGAGACAGCACCTTTGACTGATTTTCAAAATGTATATAGTTAAAAGTCAATGGTTTAGCACCAACAAGGAGAGCATGCATCTTCCCTGTAGCAACATAGGATGTGAGTCATTGAATATCCCCCATGATATCTCGTTTATTTTGTAATTTTGATCATCTTTACCCAGTCCTTAATAAAGAGAATAAAGAGAATAGGGACTTTTGAGCTGCAATGCTATAAAAATATTCTCAGAATACCATGGACAAAGAAGAAACGAAATACTGAAATTTTAAAAGATCTGATAAGGAAGATTGCCTAATAAACAGCATCCTGTCTCGGAAGCTGAAATATTTTGGTTATCAAGCGCCACAACGGATTTGAAAAAATAATAGCAGAAGGCACAGTACCAGGAAGGAGGGGCAGGGGCCGACCAACATGAAGATGGGCACATGATATAAGTGAATCCTTGAATATGGAAGTGCATGAAGCGGGAGAGCTGGTGAGACGCTGAGTTCCTTTCAGACAGACTGTGATGAGAGTGGCGTTCTTCAATAAACCTGCTACATGATAAAGTGATTTACAATAATCAAAAAAAAAAACTACGCTGGTATATAATGTGTGTGTGCACAAGAGATCTTTATTTCATATAAGAGATACAGGGTCAATTTGTGCTCCCAGAAACAGATCAAAGCTATCATGATAACATCAAAACTCATTGTGAAATTGCATCTCTTGTACTGTAAAAATAGTCATATATTTGTTTTAGAAATGCTAACATGGTATCTGTGAAATAATAATGTATACAAATCTTGGAAACAAACTCACAAAATGAATTTTAAATACAAGAACACTCTGTAATAACAAATATTCAGCGAGTGTTGAAAAAACCTGTCAATTACTTGTCTGTATGTATTTACCATGGGGGGGGGGGGGGGGGGGGGGGGGGGGGGAGAGGATTATTTAAGCCACAGACTGTGCAGGTTAGGGTTTTATTTTTGCCTACATCTTATTATTTTAATAAAAAGTAAAGTAAAAGTCAAGGATCATTTTCCACGCCTTTAGACATATATGGCACATAGGGCTAGACCTATATTTTTTTATACACCAATCAGCACAAGATGGGTGATGTGGTCAGCATCACGCCAGCTGCCTTTACTTCCCGGGACTGGACCCAATACCCACTCAAGGCTGGGTCAACCTCGTAATTTTTTTTTTTAAATCTGGCTTCACCAGGGAGCGAACTCACGACCCTCCGATTCCGCAGGCTAGCGTCTAGCCGCTCCGCCACGGTGTCTCCCATTATTCTAATAATTTCACAACTTTCATGTCTCGATGAAGACTGCTTCATTTGTCTTTCTATCACTAAGATATTATCTGCATTATTTTAAAAACTACACTTTCCGTTATGCAAACAAAATAATATTAGGTAGGCGTATAGAGAGAATAGCAGAAAACAGAGACGAAAACTGAATAAAAGAGCTGAACGGGAGCAAACCATGAGGCAGATCAAGAAGATGGTGAAGAAATAACATATAGACAGACCTACAGACACTTGGGAGTCATCTGATGACATGTTTTTTTCAAGACCAGGGGAATTTTTTCATTTAAAGTGTCACCCTGTTCATGTACATTGACCACTCCCTTTGAAAACCTTTAGCTATTTCCACTAAAAAAAAATGTATTAGGGACCTGTGTAAAACTGTTTATTTCAGGATGTTTTAATGGAATTCCAACAAGGTCATAGCCCACTTTGTTAGCACTACCAAGGCAAAGGGCCTAACACAGGCCTACAAATGAAATTATCTCTGCTGCACTGTGTATACAATAGTCTTAGGACCAATGTAAATGGCTAACATGAATTTCTGATATTAGGTGTAACGTATGGACAGATCTACATATTACAACAGTAGACACAAATAAAATTGTTTGGCTTGGAAAACATTTACAGGAACATGTGAATAACATATAATGCTATACAATATAACACTACATCAAGCACACTCAATTCAGTTTAATTTAAACATTTACAATAAATTTATTAATCAGTCACACTACTTTGAAACATTTTATTTCTGTCAAAAAATTTACCTTTTTTTCTTTTCTCAAGGCACTATGAGATTTTTAAAAAATGAATTTGATGTTTTTCTTAACTACCATTGGGACTATCTGGTTAACTATTTACAACCGATGTACTGCCATATGATCAGACTATCTGGTTAACTATTTACAACCGATGTACTGCCATATGATCAGACTATCTGGTTAACTATTTACAACCGATGTACTGCCATATGATCAGACTATCTGGTTAACTATTTACAACTGATGTACTGCCATATGATCAATTTGTTAACGTGTAGAATTTGTTGTGTAACCTTTACCGGATACTGCAGAAGCAAACCCCAGCAATTTTTAGCTGTATGTGATTTTCCTAGGCAATTTTACATTTAGTAGTTTGCCACTGCTGCCTGAACAGTCGATTCTCAATACACTGTCAAAATCAACGCAAATGGATCTACTACCAAATCACCCACAGCTGAAATCAAACTAGGCATTCTGACTTTATGAAGCGCATTCCTAACGTCGAAGCCACAGTCACCATTAACATGCACCAGCAGGTCAATGAAATTCTCACATTCACAGAAAATTTCATATTTGTAATTTCTCCGACATTTTTCTCCTTTCCACCTTTGTACACAGTGCCGATTGGTCTGTAAAAATATGGGTGCTCTTTCCATATGCCCGATGCGCCTAACGGCGTGAAAAGGGATCTTTACTTTTGTAATGCTGACAACATTACCCACCTAGTGCCGATTGGTCTGTAAAATTATGGGTGCTCTTCACATATGCTAGATGCGCCTAAAGGCGTGAAAAGGGATCTTCACTTCACATCACCTTTGTACAAGTCAATATTTGTATAATTACTGAACTTCTTAAAGTATAAGATGATTCCGTGTATAAGCTGCACCTGATTTCGGGACCGGAAATTTGACAGAAATAATAATGATTCATAATTGCTGATTCCATGTTGTTTGCAATTTCGCCTACATTTTTCTCATTACCACCTTTGCACAAATCAATACTTGCATAATTACCGTATATCTTCAAGTAAAAGATGATTCTATATATAAGTCACGACTGATTTTGAGACCAAAAATTTAAAACAAATAATATGATTACAGATTTGATTTGATTTGATTCAAGAACCGACATCACTTCACTCGGGACATTCCCATAAACGCTCCGTCCCCATCTTCAGCAGCCAGCAAAAAGTCCCGATACTAATGGTGCCAGTAGCATTCTGATTAAACGTCCTTCTTGCCTTTCCTCTGAGCCTCGAGCATCTGCCAGAACCTCTCGTCACACCCCGCTGCATCAATCTTACCAGACTGTGGTGATCCATCTGCTCCTCCGAACTGTACACGCTCTCCCACAAGGCACTAACCACGTCTGCCTTATCATATATCAGTATTCCACCAAGTTGTGCAGAGCCAGCCAGTTTGTCCGCCTGTTCATTTCTCAACACACCGGCATGCCCCAGTGAAAAAATCCAGTCAATACTCCTCACCCGTGTCCTCCGCAGCGAAGCATGCCACTCTGCACGAAGCATACCTGTTCTGATCTTCCTCAGCATGTTTTCTGAATTTCTGAATCAGTTACAATCATGATGTGTGTGTGTGTGTGTCGTTTTCTCTAGCGAGCGGAAAGCTGCAGTGACTGCCTTCACCTCCATTCTTAAGCTGGATGTTGTAGTATCATATGCTAGGCTCTCCTGCAACAAACATCAACCATTAACTTTTGCTAAGAAGCCCCAAGCACTTTTTTTGCCTCTTGACACTGAACTGTCTTGTGTAAATGATCAAATACTCTGAGCGAGCATTATCTTGAATTAACTGCTGAATTTCCACCTCCATGGCACCTGCTGGCCAGTTTGTGCATTCCCGGCTCAGCGTGATTATGACTCTACACAAGTCTGACTGTTCAGGTGGCACTTTGACCCACTCCTCTCCTCGCCTATGTTCTCAAGAATGCAAACCTGTCTGATTGTGTCTTCTACCTGAGCCATCAATGACCTCCCTCTTATCAGCCGCTGACCCTTAACTGCACCCAGAGCTTCATGCAGAGGGTGGTCTGTGTCTGCAGCTACCCTGAGATATGACTTCGCCTGCAGGACCTTGTGCCTACCTGCAACCGTCAGCAAACCAAGGATGTATGGCATAAATTTCAGTTTGCTCTCTGTGTTTTTTTTTCTACCATCTATCGAGAGACTTGGGACATTAGCTTTAACGATTTTGTTGTCCAGAGAACACCACAAAACAGACGCCTTTTCCGGGTGGACGACAGCCCTTATTGCTGTGCACCACTCAGTCACTTTGTCTATTGTCGCTTGTAGCTCCTGGGCTGTTTGTTTCCTCTCTTCCCCCTGCCTATAAGCAAGTATATCATCCGCAAAAGTCAGTCTTCTTCCAACTTCTGGTGCTTCTAGGCTTGCAATCTTGCTCGTATACACGTTAAAGAGCACAGGCGAGATGGCGGATCCCTGTGGCAGTCCTGGGGCCAAACTGCATGGTTCTGAGGTCCAAGAGCCCAGTCGGAGAGCAACCCGACGTGAATACAGGACAGCTGCAACCCAATTCACCAGCCATGGACTGACCTCCTTCTCCTTGTGCAGTCATTAGGATGTCGTATCTCACTCTGTTGTAAGCATCCTCGAGATCCAGTCCTACCGCCATAGTTTCCTGTCTGTTCTGGAACCCTTCATGGACGTCAAAAGCAAAAGTGGCAGCATTTGCCCATGTGTCCTTTCCTGGCCTGTTGCTTTCAAGACCTCTTGGAAGAAGCTTCCCTCTTTCCAAAGATTCTTGCAGTTTTGCAGCAACTATCTTCTCCAAGACCTTCCCAAATGTGTTTTGTAAGGTGATGATTCTAACGCTACTAAGCTTAGAATGATCTCTAAAAGGTTTTGGTAGTGGGATTAGATAGCTGTGAACCCAGTCCTGTGGTACTGATGCTGTCTTAATGCTCCAGTTAAAACAGTCGGCCATCTCTGCCAGGTCTATATCGCTCAAAGCCTTCATGTGACCATACCTGACTCCATTAGGCCCTGGTGCAGTGTCTTTTGCTTTTTTCAAAATTTGTTTGATATCTTCCACTTGTATCATGTCTTCATAATGCATATTCTTTAAGGTGCAAGCTAACTCCTTTCTAACTGCATCCCTGATGTCTGCATGATTACAGAAAGATTTACTACAACTGTATAAGACACACACTGTTTTTAGACCCTATATTTTGGGAAAGAAAGAATGCATATTATACTTGGTGAAATATGGTAATGGCTTTTTTCTCTCCGCTGTCTTTTTTTTTCTAGCAATCTGTTGATCATGGCTTCAACACTAATACTGATGACACAAGTCCTTTGGATATCTTTTACTTACTTACTTAGTCGCCCCTCTTCTACTTTGGGGTGTAAAGGTCTGCCAGCGATATTGCGAGACTTCTGAATCAGCAGTTTTCTTTCTGGCTTTGTTTTATTCCAGTCCTCTGTCAGTCAAGGACTGTTGAATGTTGTCTTCCCAGCAGACCCTGGGTCGCCTTGGAGGTCTGGTTCACTGGTTCTTAGCCTATAAAACCTGCCATGGTGGCCAATTTTCTCCCATTCTGCATACATGTCCAAACCATTGTAACTGTGACTGATCCACTTGGAAAATTTATATGTATATATATATATTTATAGATTGTGCCTTAGCATGTATCCCTCTGTTTTACTGCTGAATAAGAGCCAAAATGCCTCCTGCTAACATAAAACATGTGTTATTGTTCCTTTTCTGAGAAACCAATTTACAATTTCCTAGCGGTCCCTCTGTTCTGTGCAAGAAGCACCAGTTTGTAGTTCATTACTAAATGTCATAGTTGTTCTCCACTAGCTATACATTACACGTCAGTGTCAGAGATTGCTGCCCATTAAATACAGTATGTAAATCACACTGCTAGCTAGAGAACTAGCGACTGATGAATGTCAAGAAACAAAAGAAGGCATGTAAATACAAGACTAGAGGTCCAAAACAGCAAATAAACTGACCACTCTCTAAATGGCCGCTTCACAATAATGACAACAACTGCTGACTGACACATACATTATTGTGCACTAGCACATTAACACAGACATCCGTAAATGTAAAGATGGACACACGTCATCAGCGAACACACTTGTGAGTAGCACATTTAGAATATCAGTGCATTTTTGCATATGCCTGACATTCACTGAAGATGGCACTATATACACACTTTAATAGCTAGATGTATTCAAGCAAAGGTGGGCTTTTTTTAAAAGTTTCATCGAACAACTGTAGCAATATGTAGTATAATCACACAAAAACTAAAATTAACATTAAAAAAATTCAAAAAAGCATGCACAGCAATGCAAAAAGAAATCTTAGCTAACGTTATTCAAGTTTTAGCACATGCTAACACATTTTAGTGGCCAGACGCTCACCTGCTAAACCGAAGGTCTCTGGTTCAAATCTGCACCAGGCAGATTTGGATCTCAGGTTGACTCAGCCTTAAATGGTTACTAGGTAACCATCAGGAAGTAAAAAATATGGTTAAACAAACGTTAGTCTCCCCAAACAAAGTAGGTCATGTTCCATTCATAAGTTTGTCAGGCTGGTCTACCTTCCTGCAGGTTACGGGTGTGCCACTCTGTTGTTTGCTTTCTGGGTTGTCTTGCATTTATGATTTTATTCCAAGAAAGAGAATGCCTGTGACATAGGTTTCATCACTGTCTAAAGGAGTTTTATGTTAGACCCAGTTTGTCTATGTGTTTGGAGTGTTGAAAGTGCTGACGTGCTGAAATATACAATACACGATATCAACGGCATTGCGGGAAACCCCCATAACCTTGTGACAAGGTAACGTGGCTCAAGGTCAATCAATCAGAAGTGAGATAGGATGAAGGTCGACCAATCAGAAGTGAGCTAGTGTGTAACACTGAATAAATGGGGAGCCTAACATTAGTTTTACAAAAATCAGCCTATGTGATGTTAATGTCACCCATCTAGTGCTAAATGATCGATAAAAATATAAGTACGGCATCATATGCCCAAGATTCATTAGTGTAAAAAATGTCATTTACTTGACTTTTCCTAGCAGTAGTTTCTCCTATGCTGAAGTATGTATATCATTTTTGGTGACTTTGGCCAGCTGATGCTCCAAAAAGTTTTTAGTTTCTAGCCACCGCTTGCCGATGCAAATTCCCCATTTCTGGATGAGGTCAAAATGTTTTGTCACCCAGCTACTGAGCTGAGTGTTTGGTATGCCAATGAAAGCTGTTGATTGTGTGGAATGTTTTTTTTTCTTTTTCTTTTTGTGTGCCTGTGACTACTTTGTGTTGTAAACTGCAGGAAACAAAGGCAAATTGCGTTCGGAATGGTATATAGTTATGCAGTATTGAATCAACAATGAGCTGCAGTTCTGGTGGTGGACTGTTAATGTTGCACATCTGACAGCTCCCTTATGCATTTATATTGTGTGTGAGCTCCCAGATTTCACTGGGATTAAAATGTTTATCACTATCACTAGTAGTTGTTTTTTTTTTCAAATGGGATGAACCTCGAACAATTACCTATAGATCTGTCTTGCTTTTTCTCTGAGTATAGTAATGTCCCCTGGTCACTACCAGCTGCCCCACTCTCTGCAAATACTGAATGCTCTCTGAAATGTATGCAAACAGTGCCGAAAAACAGATAGATCATTGCGGTCTGAGGAGAATGGCACTGCAAGGTGTTACAAGGGGATCTGGCCAGCGCTCGACACTCAGGGAAAAGGCGAGACGGATATACAATCAGACAGTTACTGGTACCATCAGAATTGTAACTCTTGCTGAAGATGGGGGTGTTCCGAGTGCTGTGATGTCGATTCTTAATTCAACATTCAACACTGAAATGTATGCAAACTTCCACGGTTGCTGTGTATAAGTTTATCATATAAATGTGATTATAATGTCATTTTTATACTTTGAAAGTTGTGTATCAGTGTAAGGACTTGCATATAAAATGCTGTAGCCATATAATAAAGATAGAACGCCGACTCATATTATGAGTGGCCAAATGATACAAGTTTTAATTAGCTTGCATAAAAGTTGCAGAAATATCTGGCAACTGTGTTTGGGATACAATAAAAGATTAGTTCCCAAACAGGGGGATGTCAACTTTGTCTAACAACCATCTCATATTTCTGGTTAGCATAGACAAATTCTTTCTTCAGTTTCTTGGATTTCGTTTTAACAAGGGTTAACTGTATAAGATTACCCTTAAAAACAAAACAAAAAACATACAAACTTATAAGATCTATATTGGCTTAATGTTGAAAGTAGGTTAAAATTTCAACATCAGTGTAAGTTTGCACCATACATATTCATACACACACATGTGAGCAAGTGTAATAATCCTTATCAAAAATCTACATCCACAGCTCATATACAAAAAGGTCTCAATGTACATTTTACAGATGCTGAAAAATGGCAGCAACCATATACATATCAAACGCAATAACATCAATTTATGACAAACATTTTTAGTGCCTCAAAGTTAAAAAGTTATATGTACATCTTGTTCTGCACAAGTTCAGATTACAAGTTATGATAAACACAAGGTACACTTTACAATTAAATCAAACATTAAACAAAAGAGACACACATTTCTACAGAAATTTACGCTGGCTAAATACATGCTCCCAAAAGCAACCCACAAATTTGCAAAGCATGGTGTGTAATGAAAGAAGTACACCAAAAGCAAATATTCAACATTTACTGAATTTTTCGTCACATGATATTTGTGTTTGATTCAACCTCTGTATAATGGGTCCCTGCCATTAAAGGACATGTGGTCTGACAGACACACATAAACTGATTATCACTGCTATAAATTCTCAAGAGAAACAAGCAGCCACTGACCAAATGAGTGATTTCCCTTCTTTGGGCCGCTACCTGGAGAAGACACCCAGGTGACCTGATAAGCCACCCCCACAGATGTCAATCCAACAGGACAAATGCCAGATACCCTGTTCAACTTCCTAACAAACTATAACTAGAGCATCTGTAATGACTACAAAGGTATTACCCTGGAGTACAAACACATCTGTTATAATTTGAATTACATGGCTCTTAAATGATAATTTACACACACACACACTATATATATATATATATATATATATATATATATATATATTATATATATATATATATATATATATATATATATATATATATATATATATATATATATACATAGAAAGAGAGAGAGAGAGAGAGAGAGAGAGAGAGAGAGAGAGAGAGAGAGAGAGAGAGAGAGAGAGAGAGAGAGAGAGAGAGAGAGAGAGAGAGAGAGAGAAAGAGAAAGAGAGAGAGAAAGCTCAAAAAAGGTTTTATTTAAACAATGTTCACCCTACTTGTACAGTCTGAAATATACTGAAACAGAAAACATAGTGGGTTTGACAAATTCAAAATTAGAGTTTCCAAAACTGACTGCCTGCTTGAAACAACTGGCTGAAAAATACAACACCCGATGGTCGAAAAATTGAGCACAGTGTAGCCGTAACTGGTAAACAATGAGACTTTTATGGTATGTACATGAATAATAGTTTTAAATACAAATTTGCTAACAACAAAAGACTTTAAAACTGTGTCCGTCAAAGAATAATATAATAAATAGTTCAGGTATGCCAAAGACTAGATGTAGTTGTAAAAGAGATCATCATAAGCTGCTAATGAGAAAACAACAGAAGGTGACATCACATCAAACAAACAAACATAATCGGTCACCAAAACACAGCTGAACATCCTCAATGATCCTTTCTGTGTGTTCAGTATAAGCAAAACATCGTTGATGAATACCAAACTTATTAACCACATACATGAAGTTGCACAGGGAAAAGTAAGGGAAGACTGTAAAACATGAGGCAAGAGGCATGGCTTCATTTATAGTAAAGCAAATGGCTAATTAGTGCAGAGGTGGAACATTACGATCCACTACTTGCTAAAACATTCTCAAGCTCCATATGTTCAACTGAATCAGTACACTATCTCCCAACTTGTTCTTCTGCTGCCTGTTAATGTAAACAAATTAACGGACGATTTGGGATGCTCATAATATTGGACAAATATGTTGTCCTGTGCTGTTTGCAGTGATTTTATGATAAATGTATGGTTGTACTTGCCTATTTACAGACCCTTTTCACATCACCAGTTTATGGAGCATACAGTGGTACTGCTCATTAGTCAGTACACTCATGAATGGTCATGAATGCTCAGTGAATGAGAAGATGTTTGTACCATGCTCTTATCAGTGGTTTTCTGGTGTGCGTCTGCCCATTTGACTGATAAATGACCAAGAATAGACTGACAACTCTTGAACAAGAACAATTATTCTGCGTTGCACCTTGACTTTCATTATCACACTTGATGTATGATAAGATTTACACAAGTTACACAGGTCTTCACAGGTTCTGTATATTTGTTTCTTTTCGATGCCCAGCAGAGTAATGATCAAACATGTGTTGTGAGCTAGGTGTAATATATATATATATAACTTTGCTGTGATGTTGGAATTGTGTTTACCTGATCAGGTAACCTTTGTTGAAGGTAACCAAAAAGACAAATCTTTAAACGAGCATAGCACAATAAACCAGCAGCAACAATGCCACAGGTAACATTTATAATCATTAACAAATATGTTTAGAATTTATGTCAGCTTGTTTACTCATTAGCATCTTCTTCTTCTGATGTCTTTTATCTCATAATGGAGTATAGTCTCTCAATTAAGAAAACCCACACCTTTACAGATCTGATCAGAGTTGGTTTGATTTTACAGAATTTTCTGCAGGGTGTAGTTTTTCCTTAATCCACCTTAGTAATCATTAGAATACTTTCTGCTGATTTGATTTTACAGCATTTTCTGTGTGATTTCTTCTTAAGCTACATTAGTAATCTGTTATGGAAATCATGCTAAATTACAGTGCTATCATTGTTTCCCTTAGGAGTACAGGTAACAGCTGGCGGCCGACAGTTTGCATTCAGAGAAAAATAATTCAACATAAACGTTTTTTTTTTAAATATCCAGAAACTATGAGTTCTTATCTTGACCCTTTTGGCTCGGTACTATGGATTTCGCAACCCTTCGGCCTTGATTCCATGATAAATACCATAAATCTGGGAGAAATGTGGCTTTTCTGCCTATCCCCGGGCGTAAGCCTGGACCACAAGGAGCTTGTCGTAGTTTAACCAACTACGCTAGCGAGCCGGGCAAACATAAACAGAAATGGAGTTGCCTATTAACAGCACAACGCCAATTTCATTATCAGGCATTTTATTCAGGTATTATCTTACCCAGTATGTATAACAGTGGCCAGTACTATCTGTCTTTTCTTAAAGCTGAATATTGGGAGGTGTCTCCCAAACCCGACATCCCAAATTGTAACAAGAGGTTCGGGTTGAGGCCGGCAGTGGGATACCAGCAATATTCTAGGGAAAGGCAATGCAGCCTGAAACTTCATGTTAAGGCAGAGCAGACCAGACCAGGCCATCAGCCCTGGCTTAGGAGGGAAGCTCAGGCAAGCGGAAAAACAGGGCACTGATCTTCTGATCCGGCAGTTTCTGGAGGGTGCTTTGTTCCAAACATACAGGTGTTACCTTTCTTCTGGAGGAAACAATCCGGGTGGGGGAGGGGAGGGGGGGGGGTCATGATGCAGAGCAACACACGGTCTCTACAACACTGCTCAGGCTTTGTGTTATAGAAGTCATATTCGCCACTGCCATCGACTGTGACTCCCATGCCTTCCCAAAACACAGTATAACATAGTCATCTGGAAAGAGGGAAGGGTGCCAACAACAGCAACAACCAAGTTCTATGAGGTAGCTTAAAAAATTTTTCTGGAATGATCAACATGTTTGAATAAATGATTCTGTCTGGGAATTATGTTTTTGTTTATAAGATGGTGGTGACTTTAACTGGGACACCGCTGATAAAGCTTTCTCGTTTAATCTCACTCCAAAGTTTAAGATATTTGTTCTGTGCAGGTAGCATAGTTGGAACTGAAAATACCCTTCAACAAAAGATTTACAATTTTCATCAGTAATGTTTGCTTAAGAATAAGAAAACACCCCTAGATACATCAAGCTTGCTTTAAAAATTACATGCTTTACTACAATGAAATGAGAGCCATAAGTGCAGTGTTAATTATATAGGCAAAACCAATAAGTCTTACTTCTATGCAAAAAAAGATACTCAGCTGACACAACAGAAAGTCATATATTAGTATTAAATCAAGCAAATAGCATTTCTTCCTAAATTACAAAACTGAACAGAACAAATTAAATATGATCATACTAGCTAAAAGTTTTAGTCAACTGTAAACTTTCTGCTTAAAAAATGTACACCTAAAATGATATAATGCATTTTCAACATTTTGATATTCAACAGATTCTCTTACCTAACCTCTTTCGCACACAGAGCTGCACCTTTTAATATTACACAACAAAGAGCCAGGTGCACGACAAGAAAACAGCAAGCAAACAATCAATCGTTTGTCAACATTCTGAATCTCTAGAAGGAGACAGCATCAACAGGATGAACATATTACTAGGTCACATACATTTACTCAACTAACATTTCAGCAACTTGTTGCATAAAACTGGTTGATTGTCCTCTAATGATTGAAATAACAACTAATGAGCATTTTATTATTTTGTTCTTTCTCCTCCCAATGCGGAATATGCTCTAAATTAACTCGTGCAAAGTCATCCTATATTTTGCTTTTGCTCTCTCATCTATTTCACCTCATTCTCTAATTCCGATTTCTGTGTTTCTGATCTGCCTCCAATCCTACAGATTCTAGCGCATGGACATTTTAGATTATTATCATAACGACAATTTTAACTCTAATTTATTTTTAACTGTTTCTCAAAATGAATTCATGTATCCTTGCATATCTGACGACACTCAATCGCAGAGACTGCCATCTGGAAATCCCCCTAAATCCTAGCAGTCTTTTTTGAATCTATCAGAGAATGCACAGCAGTGTAAATATGTATAACCAATGTAAGTTATGCTCAATGGCAAATAAGCACCGGCTTCAGTTTCAGGTTACCAGAAGTATTAAAACCAAACATTCACTGTGTGGAGCCAGGACCCCATTAGAAGGACACCAAAAATAGACCTACTGCTTCTCTCAAAGCATGTCGTAAAAGTCAGCTGATTTGGAGTTTACTTTGTAGTAGGAGTGCACCTGCCTGAGAGGCAAGGAACCAACAGTCTACATACGAATAAGCCCTGTCCGTAAAACAGGTGCACACAACACTCAAGTTCTGGAACAAGACCTAAACCCAGAAGTGGACAACAACCAGAACTTTCCATCAGAGTTTACAGCTAGTAAATGCGAAGAAGAAGAGTCAAATAAAAAAGGTTATTTATAGTGTGAAAAGAGGAAGTGCTAGGGAAATTTATTGGTAAATTGACAAACTAATGACAGTAGCATTTGGTGAGGGTTCTATGTTCGTAGTGGTATTGTCTTACTTAAGTGCTGCTACAAAGAAAGCATGAAGTTATGGCAACTGAAATGTGGTTTAATCATGAAGCCATGGGGGGTGAATTTTTTGACCCTGTGACCTAAAGAAAGCCGATTTATTCGTTTAAATCTTTTACATTTGTTCTCAGCTGCTGAATGTGCAATGTTTATCACTTGAAACTTATCTAACTCATTTGAATTTTTCATATCTGTTCATTGTTCATTTTAAAGATCATCTTCATCGCACATTGGACATGACCATAAGTGCTCCAATCTCCTCCTGAGTATGTCTCCAAGTGTTTTTAGGCTAACAACTCCCATTCCGTTCTGGCTGATGTAACAACGGGTGGCGCCCACATAGTTTTCCTGTCTTGCAACTCCAGCTGGTACACTCAGGGTATATTTAACACTTACAAATTGTGTCAGTTATTTAATTTTCAAGAAAATGTAATTGAGTTGAGTCAATAATTGACATCACAGCGCTTGGGGCATTCCCATGTGTGCTCCGCCCTCATCTTCAGCAGCCAGCGCAGAGTTCCATACTGATCGTACAAACTTCAATTATAAAATTTAAAAAATATACATAGAAATGCATAATTTAAAAATCTACACTTTTAACAGATCAGTCCCAAAAATTTCATGTTCATTCTTAGCAACCGTATTACTGAACTTGAAATAAAACACTTAACGCTTTGATCATATGTCTCAGTACTGCATATAAGCATACAACTTGAACTTAAATCAGAGGTACTTCTCCTACTCTGCTCAGAGAAAGAAAGAAGTGTGTGTAAGTGTGCTTGCATCTAGGTCTGTTATAGTGTGGTAAAGAACTTTATCATACTGGATGTATGTTTTAAAATAAAACTATAAATAAATCAAAACAAGTTTCATTATTCATCCAGTCACACCTCTCTATCAGTTGTAATGTAAGATAATGTTCTTTCCTCACTCTTAAACTTGAAATAAAGTATTTTTCATTCAGTGTTTACCCCAAGAATCTGTACAAATTATATGCATTATAACAAGTGGGTTCAGACATATTTTTGCTCTACAGCATAAATAAAACATGGGGTTAAAATTACAGAGGTCATGTATCATGAATTCTCAAATGTCAAATTCAGTCAAATACATACTGACCAGTTATACTTCAGTTTTCTTAAAGATGTCTTTCAACACAATGATGTATTTATCGTTCATACAGTTCATGAATCATAATTCTAAGTGTTAATCTAATCAAGTTATCATTCACATTTGTAACATCGAAAAAACCAACTGATCAATCATTCTTCACTTCTTGATAATGTTTTCATTATTTTAACAACCAATCTTTTATTTATACAGGTCTTAAAATTTTCACACTGTACATTCATCTGGTTAAACATTTACACTTGTCAATGGAATCTTGAAGCTGCGGCACTCAGCTTATCTGATGAAAGGGTCACTCAGTTTGTCTCAGATTCGGAAAAGTGTTTGAATCTTAAGTCTAATTAGTTTGATTCATCTCTCATGCATTCGCCGCCATCTTGCCAACTGATCTGTTATCTGACCATCTAATGTTCGCCCCAAAACAATGCCTAAAATCTGGAAAAGAACAAGAATTCTTATTCTCCTTGAGAGACAAAGTGTGAAAATTACAAGTTATTACGGTTAACATGAATGAAAAATTATAAATATTGATATAAAACATCTTTATTTTTCTACCCTGCTTCTCTCTATGAAATGTACTGCAGGTCCTCAACCAATCCACACCTAGTAATCCTGCCTATTGCCACTGGGCATTAAATGCAGCTTACCCTACATCCTCTATATTTTTTCCACCTGCTTCTAATTCTCTTGATGTGTTTTGTCTACTTTTTATTTCCTTTTTTTTTTTAGCTCTATGGGTTCCAGCAAAAACAGATTCTAGCTATATTATCAGATCTCATCTATGTGTCCTTTCTAGTGCCCATACCTCACCTGTTGATTCACATGAATTTGTTTAGTTCTCTCCCAAAGCTCCAGATTAGTGATTCTGCCATATTATTTCATTCTCTTTGTTGCAAGCAGGTAAGAGGTAATGAATAGATTAATCTTCTTTTCTTCTTCAGCGATCAAAGTTTTCTATACATCTATTCCAAGAAGGATCACAAACCGGCAGGTACACTTGAGTTTTTCACTCTTTGTGCCTTTGTTCTTTTTGCAGAATCATTCCTGTGGGCCAGATTTCTTCTCTCTTAAGCCAGTGGTTTTTCAACCTGGGCTGGGGAAAGCTGGAGGACGCAGGAGGTCATGAAGTTTCAAGGGGGCATCAAGCAATTTTTCTAACAACCTTAGAAGAGCTGCAGGGAAAGACAGAATACGAAAATCACGAAATTAGACGAATGCTAAGAATAAAGCCAGTCTTACATGTCGTCAAAGAACAACAAATAAAGTGGTTTGGACACCTAACAAGAATGCCCTGGTACTATCTGCCACAGCGAACCACACAAAAACATTACAATGGGTATAGAGCGAGTGGAAGACCTCCTAAAAGATGGAGTGATGGCATTAAGAACTGCCTTACAGAAATAAACATCAGTCTTAAAAGTGCTCTTGACAGAGCTCATCAACGAACATTACATCTCCCCCTGACCCTTTGGTGAGGTACAAGGTTGAAAAGAAGGAGAAGAAGAAGAAGAAGGTCAAGCAATTTTAAAACTGAGTGCATTTGTACTTGTAACATTGTAATAATCTGTTTTACTAACATTTTTTCCAGTTTAATTTTAAATTAAAATGTAACAGTCACAAAAACAAAACAGCAGTGCCAGCTTGATATGGACAGTGATCTCCATTGTGCCCTGTCTATCATCAGACCACAAAAGAAAATATCAAGACAAAAATAGTGTCAACAATCACACTGATATTTGGACACTAAATAACCATTTGTAGGTGACCTGTTTCTTTTCTTTTATTTGATACTGACTGATGTGGATATTTTTCTCTAAGTTCTTGGGATTTTTCTTTTTGTCCTCCTCTTTTAAATAACATTTTTAATTGTGTGTATGTGTGTGTGTTTGGAAGGGGGGGGGGGGGCACACCACCTGAAATGGTTTGAAAACCACTGCTCTAAGCAAAAGTTTCAGATATTCATAAGCCCTGTGGTAAATGACTTAGTGTGAGTATATGTATGTGCACTGAATGAGAGAATCTGGAGGCAGAGGAGGAACAGAAGGGAGAACACAGAGAAAACACAAACCTGTGGTATTGCAAGTGCAATAATAAGTCCTCCTACAACTGGCAGGTTACTCTCAACAATTCTCATTACCGAAGACACACAGCCAACAACATAAATATTATTTGTTGAGCCTTGAACCTGCAACAAATAATGTAAGAGTTAATGCTTTTTCTATCCTTTTTTTCCAACATAGTTGGAATGCACACTGCTTTAGGAATCTCCACCTACAACTAAACTGTTGCTAGTGTTGTTTGTTAATGATAAATCACATCTTCAAAAGGTGGGATGAGAGGTACAAATGACATGAGAAGTCTTGTCTTTTGAAAATAAAAAATTTTTTTTTTAAAGGACTCCTTTCAGAATATGATCAATAAATATCATTCTTCCTCTATTTTTGTCCTGCAGCTTATGTCATAAAGCATCGCAGAGGAGTTATATTTGGTTTCCTGTCTGTTGCTAGTTGCATAGCTTGTGTTAATGTCATAGTGCATTTCTGCAGTGTCTCCCCCTCCCACCCCCAATATTACCTGTAATTATTTAACTGTTGTTAAATCATCAAGGAACAGCTGGTAAAGTTGTTAAAGTAACAGGTTCTCGTGCAAGAGATCTGAGATTAAACAGTAAAGCGACAGATAATTTTGTTTTTGTCGGGGGGGGGGAATAATCCTAAATATAACAGCCTGTGGTGACTGCACAATATCCCCTCTCCCTCATCCTAGTGGCAGTAAAGATAAATGTTTTTTAATACCACCAGATAATGTAGCCATATCAACTGAATCATAGTTTTAGCACCCATTCACTCATTCAAACAATCAAGATGCATAAACAGGCATAAACAACTGTTATTAGAAGAACTATGCTTTAAAATGTACAAGTTAAAGTTTTATAACAAAATGTACAGGTTAGTCATTCTCGAAAAAAACAGGTCCATTTACAGGATTTTTACTTGTATAAGACGATTTGTTTCCCTCAATTTCTAAAAGTTTAAAACTGGGAGTCACCTCATCCACGGAATTTGATTGCAATATTTATTTCTTAATTTTGGGCCTAAAAAAAATAGGTGTCGTCTCATATATGGGTGGGGGGGGGCCTTCTCATACACACACAAAAAAAAATGATAATTGTTTCAGTTAGTTGCCTATCCTTTATGTTGGGCAGGGGGTTGCTGACTGGTCTTGAGGCATGGCGTCCACCTCGAGTGTTGGAGGTTTAGTTGAGTTGAGTCAAGAATTGACATCACAGCACTCGGGGAATTCCCATGCATGCTCCGTCCTCATCTTCAGCAGCCAGCGCAGAGTTCCAATACTGATGGTACCAGTCACAATCTGGTTAAATTTCCGTCTTGCCTTTCCTCTGAGTGTAGTGAGCCGGCCAGACCCTCTGGTTACACCCAGGTGCCTCATTCTCTCCAGGCCATAATAATCTTCTTTCTCTACTAATACCGTTGCTTGTTCCCAAAGCGCCTTGACCACATCTGTGTTGTCATTATCAGTTCACCACCCAGTGGTGCGGATCCAGCCAATCTGTCTGCCTGTTCATTACCCACCACGCCAGCATGACCTGGAGAAAAGATCCAAAGTATGCTCACCACCCGTGGCCTTTCCAGTGAAGCAAGCCACTCTGCTCGAAGCATCCCTGTCCTCACCTTTTTTAGCATGCTTTCAGAGTCTGTTACAATTACGACATGTGTACCCCTCCACCTCCATTCTCATGCTAGATGTTGTGGTGTCATATGCTAGGCTGACTTACACTAAAGATGTTCCACTGGCTTTCGCTACAAACCCCCAGGCACTTCTCTTTCCTCTCAACACTGAACCATCTGTATTGATAATCAGATCACCTGGGTGTAAATTGGAGGTCTGGAGGTCCCAGGTTCAGGCTGCATGCTTGTGGTCTCTCCATGTAGTGAGTGCATATCCTGGGTTGTGACAGTCTACCCTCACAAGGAATAGCTAGCTGTCTTGCAGTCTCACAGCCTGGTAGTTTGAGACCTCTTGCAGCACCACGTATTGGCTATAAACTTACGGAAGCCTCCTTGAACTGTGGGGAATGCTCATGTTTTGCCCTTGCCCTCTCTTGAGGGCTGACCAGCGAGGTTGCAGTGTCACATGAAACTAAATGGAAAGGTTAACTTGGACAATAGATGCCTGCAGAAGTCGGATGTGTCAACCGAAAGGCGCAAATAACGCAGCCATGTTGTAAGGGGGCACCTAACATTAATGTCCTTAGATGAACGAAGAAGAAGAAGAAAACCTCCATTCCACGTACTCCTGGAGCCCATAACAGAAGCAAGGAAAAGTGACACTGTATCTTCATCAATCAATCAGGTGGTATCTCCACAATGAAGACTGGATGCGATGGATGTGCAATGCACTCTTGTCTTGGTTGTACACTCTCTCAGACTGCTGTTCATCAATCTCTTGATGTCATCCTCTCATTCATATCATTGTCTACTTCTTGTTTTCTTGCCTTACTACTCCAGCACGGTTTTTAAAAAAAAGTATGTTTAATCCAACCAAAATATTCAACTGTTTAACATTTTTCTTTCGTTCTTTTTTTAATTCTTCATGTTCAATGGCTGTAAACTGTTTGTCCGCTTATAGACTTCAGTCTTGTTCTTCAGTGTGCATATCCATTCTACAGATCTGGCTTATCTGTAAGCAGACTACTGGTTCCTCGCCTTTCAGGCAGATGCACTTCAAATTCGAAGGAAATGTCCCTATGTAGTTGACTTCTTATTTTTCCTCACAATGGGGCCTCAGAACTAATACAGGGAACTCTCTTTTCATTTGCAGTCTCTGCAGAACCTCTCCATTTTTTTGTTTTAACCTTATCCTTCAATTCTTGTCACAGATGGAGACTAAGAGAGATTATCCCAAGAGACTGGCTACCTCATATATAAAACTTTAGATGCAAAATCTTATCAATCATAAACAAGTCTACACAAGCTGGTGGTTTATGCTTCACCAGGAGTCGAAAGTGCCAATAATAAAGAAGAAAGGAAGTTAATCAAACAGTCAGAGACATAAATGTGAAAATTTTACAAACCGTTTCATTTAGAGAATTAGCACCACACAATATATTTGGCACCCCAGCCTGTAAACATGAAAAAAAAAATTTGCATTAGTACATATATATATATATATATATATATATATATATATATATATATCACTGAAAAATATTATTTTTAAAAAATGGGTCCTATAGCCAAACTGAATGGAAAACAATTCTCCCTCGGCTGGGGATTGAGCCTGAACCACTAATTTAACAATTTGATGATCCTTAAGTTCAAGTTTCAATTTCCACAGCAGATGCTTTTTTTAAAAACGTACACCTGGTTTTAGGACAACAATATGAGAGTTGCACCATGGAAGAGATTGGGGCCAGAGTTACAACTTTACTCATCAGGTTTTATCGCATACAGCTTGGTCTCTCTGCAGAATGGCTAGCTGCCTGTTGAGAGCACCACATAAATCACAAACTATTCCTGTCTATTAAAAATTACACTCATGGACCAAACGACGCAGCAAAGAAATGAGCACAAGTAATATTCACAAAGGCAACAGTGGGTACACTGTAGACAACCCTCACTGTGTAGGCGGCACATAATTGTTTTTAAACTATTTTAGCAAGCAAGCGTACTAAGCACTCAGACACCAAAGCTCCAAAAGTAAAATTAACATACAAACAAAAGCAACCTTAATAAAAGATTATACTGTCCACCTAAAAAGTTCAGTATTGGTTCTGTGCCTACTCTCCTCCTGATATCATTTCTAAGTCGACCTTTCCTTGTTACACGTAGCACAGTACGTAAACATTTCATTTCTGTCGTGGCTATTTTTCTTCTGTCTTCTGAAGACAGTGTCCATGTTTGACACTAATAAAACAGCGTTTGTAAGAATCTACGGTAATGAATTTTAGGTACTCACATAAACAGTGTCTTGTTTTATACAACAAGAGTGTGGGACAGCACAAGCCAGTGGGCTTCTGTTTGTTTTACTGCAGTTGTAGTACTCATTATTGTTCCAGTCTTTGTATCCATCATTAGATATACCACAACAGCCAAGCTGAAATTTCACACACAAAATGTTGATTACATCCATCAAGTTACAATAGCTAAAACTAGCATATGTTTGGGTGGAGCTACAATATTCAAGGATGAAAAGGAATAAACTAGTCTGGGATCAGTTAGGCTCATGGCAATTTAATCAGCTAAAACAGAATGCACAAGTGGTTAGCATTCAAGATGGGTTAATTATTTCTTCCCTTTTGTTTTAAAAATCACATATATCAAGTGTCAGTTGCCCCCTATGTAGGATGCACTTTTTTTTAAATCTGAAGCCCCACCCTGGTTTCTGCCGGGGGGCCCCGAATATAGCTGGGGCATAGATATAGCCTAACGGCTAAAAGGGGCTTTTGGGACCTCTCCACGGGTGATCCTCATCCGCATGGTGGCACTTTGTGTCACCGGTTGTTTATCGCTTGTGTGAGGTCCTAGTGGGGTACAACTAGCAACAAACCAACCCAGTTTTTTTTCCTTTGGGAATGCAACTGTGTTGTGCTAATTTACAGCACATCTGTGATTTTTGCACCTTTTGGCTGACATAGTCGACTGCTGAACACATTTGCTGCCAGTGTTATCCTTTATGGGCTTCGATTCTTTGCAACAGTGCATAAAAACCTATACTCCAGAGATAAATTGACTCAATAAAGCCGGTAACTATGTGTGATGGTAATGGTAAGCAAAATATAATGGAAACAAAATGTGTATAAAATAACGGCACATGTTTAAAAAAAAAACACACACACGCACACACCCACATAACTGGGTGTTCCATAAGTTTCCATTTTTTATGAAAACCATTTTTATTTATATGAAATGCTTTACGTGACTATCACTGATTTGAAAACACATTTTGATGTGTGTCCTCCAATGCTGAAGAACACATACAAGCACAGCTGCAGTGAAAGAATTGTAATGGTGTTAGTGACATGTTTGTTCATATGTATGGACAATTATGGGACAACCTGAACACATGTAACAGAATAAATTTTTTTTAGACAAGCTGATGCACATGCCTGATAGTTTATGGTGTCTGACTTAGACAGTACTAGGTTTGAATCCCAGCACATAGTTAGGCATTGTTTTTAGAAACCATTTGTGTCTAATATACTGCAGAACCATTGCCATGGAAAGATTATTAGGAGGAAAAAACCTACCAACATACTGATAGAGCCTGGCAGTGAAAATTCACATAACTGACATTATACCCTGTACGAGTGACAAGCCGTTCACCTCTTGAACCATCAGGTAATATACCGTTATCTTTTTTTCTTTAGCATTCCTTGTGGTTAATTACTGCAAATATCCACCTCCTTTCCTTTCTGTGACAGGCATTCTCTTTTCAGTTGGTTTCTCAAAGTGTTTGCATGTCAGCCTGTATGTTATCTCTTCACAGTATTCTTTTTATTTTTAAATACAAAGTCTATAGAAAAAAACTTGATCAAATCAAGATGTAAACTGTTACCATAGTATTGCAGATGGTATCAAGCACATAGCACACACCCCTTAACTCAGTCATTTTCTTGGTTTGCCTCGTGGTCTACTCCCATTACTTAGGGTTGTATACAGTTTTCGTCTCGCGTTTCTGCCATTCTCTCAATATGCCCCAAACACTGCATTATCAGCCCTCAACATAATATAATAATTACATTAATTGTCAGGTGTATATGCCAAATATTCAAAAACAACAAGACTCCTTAAAAATGAATCACAAGTTACCTGCTCTTGAATCCAATCTACCAGTGTTTTCTTGTCTGTCTTTTCTGTGTATAATGGCACCAGCTCTTCCTTAAGTGTTTTCACAAACAAATCTTTGAACTCATTTGACTTCAAGAATACATACACTGCTCCACCGACTTGACCAAAGAATATGACACACAAGGTAATATAGTACTGTGAAAAAAAAAAAAAAAGAAATTACATCATCTTTCCTTTTCTTTTTGTCATCAATTTCCATCTCCAAATAAGTAAATCAACAAAAAAAAGTAGAAGGTCAACTTTACAAAAATATAGTCACAAGTGACAGAATGGATGCTGCAGGCAAAAAGCCTTCATCAACACACCCAACAACAACAACAAAAATTATAAAGAAAAGCTGTTCAATTTTTGTGATATGTGAGTCAAAGAGTTGTCAAAATATCAGGGAAAAGTCAACAGGAAAGACATAGGCACCAAGAAGAGAAAGAACAGGATTCACAAAAAGAAAAGTTGAAATGACAAATTAATGGGGATGGAGAAACAAGTTTTTAAAAAAATGGTGTGTACTTTGGCCATACAGCCGCATCTGAAACGGTTTTCCAGAGTTATGTGTCGTTCATGAGATGTGCAAGATTTGTTTAGATGTGGCTTGAAAATGAAGCTGCTTCAGTGATCTGCACTGCTGAAATGTGGAGGCACTGATTTATGGAAACAACTGTTAACATCCCAATATGTTGCCTAAATCAATCAGCCAAGCACAAGCCTGTTTACCCAATGCATTTTAGGCCACATCATTTGTACCTGATGGTACTCAACATGTGACAGTCTGCAGGGAAAACCCAGATGTATACAGAAAGTGGCACTGGGGAATACCACCCTTGAAGTCTGAATTATATATGGACAGGTCTAACACTTTAGTCTAAGTGTACTGTGTAGTGTATTTCAGATACAATGATGATAAATAGGTGCACAAACTAGCATTATACATGGTTCATATCAAGTTGCTCAGCCTTTGAAGTTTCTTCATCCACTTTGTTCATCTTTTGTGAATTCTGACAGAATATCCTAGTTGTGTGTCCTGACTTTGGTCTTGTTCCTTCTTCTTTTTCTTTGCGTTCACAAGCTGTAAACACAGGTGGAAAGTTCATGTTGTTCATCCACTTCTTGACCTTAGTCAAGTTCCAAGACTTGAGTGTTGTGTGCATATTCGTTTTACAGATCTGGCTTATTTGAAAGCAGACTGTTGGTTCCTCACCTCTCAAGCAGATGCACTCAGACTTGAAAAGAAACATTCCCATTAGCCTGCTCTTACAACATGTTGGGGGGGGAGGTCGGAGGAAAACGTCGATCCCATCTATATTGGCCACGTCCCCTGCATGGAACCTATTTCTAGGATGACCACAGTGAGGTGTAGATAGGGCCTGGCCAGTCTGAGCCCTGGTGCTGGTGCAAAGAAAATTGAAGCTGTCAAATCCAACCAGTTATACAGAAGACTACGGAAGGATCCAGACATTTTTTCCCCCAAAAAAATGACCTTGGCTTCCAGGTCGACCCAAACTTAAATGGGTACCAGGTGAAGAAGAAAGATGTTAACCACATCACCCACTGAGTGCTGATTGGTCTATGAAAGTTAGGTCTAGCATTATATGCCCTATAAGCCTGAAGGTAGAAAAAGTCTCCTTTTTTTCAAAGGGCTTAACACAATTTGGTTGAGGGCTTATGGGAGCTGAAAGGCTGATGATACTGAAGCACACTAGAACTGAACATGTCACCTCCAAATAATGTTGCTATTCTTCCAGTCTGTCATGCATCAAAACAGACTTGTCCCTACACTAGAGTAACTATATAATTCGAAGGTGATGGTTAAAAAAGTAATCCATGTCTGCAATGCTGTTCCTGAAAACCTATTCTAAACAAATTACATTTCCATATAATCCGGCCAATCATTTTCTCCAGGCATATGCTGGTGTGTTGGGAAATGAGCAAGCAGATAAGACTAGCTGGCTCTGTACCACTTGGTGGTGAGCTGATGTATGACAAGCTAAATGTTGTGAGGACCCTTGAATGGTGCTGCAGGGAGCTACAGGGGATCTGGCTGATGCTCAACACTCCTGTGAAAGGCAAAGTGGATGTACATCCAGACAGTTACTGGTACCATCAGAACAGGAACTCTTTGCTTGCTGCTGAATATGGGAACGTAACGTTTATTGGAGTGTCCTGAGTGCGGTGATGGCGATTCTTAATTAAACATTCTGGGCAACCATTTTAGTTTAGATCAACTTGGATTTGCCCCATTGCAAATAAGATCCCAAGACCTTCAGGCAAGTGTCCAACCACTGAGCTACCATGAGTCTTAAAGCAAAAAAGACACCACACAAATTTTATAACTGATTTACCAGAGGCTTTACAATGTCGGAGTGCATCTACCTAAAACCAAGGAACCAACAGTCTGCATATAAATAAGCCAGATTGTAAAATGGTTGTGCATACAAGTTCTGGAACAAGACTAAGTTGAGAAGTGGACAAGTAACAAGAACTGTCTGCAAGAGTTTACAGCCAGTAAACGCGAAGAAGAATAAGACTTCAAAATAACAAGTTACAATGTTTGCTTAAGTTCACACAGAAACACAATGAGAATGATTTTCTTTGCAACTTACCAACTTTATGAGGCAAGTATTTTCCCTCAGTGCACCGAGGCATCCACAAAATCCGAGTAAAAAAATAAGGCAGCCAATGGTTATAGACAGAATGGAGATGTCTGTAATGAAGTCAAAGACTGACTGTACATCGTCAAATGTAAATCGTTCCTTCTCAAGATGGGCCCATACACCAATGGCAAGAAGAGAAAAGCCTGCCAACTGAAATAATTTAAGAACTTCTAAAATAACAGCATCTTACAAAACAGTAACATGTTCCTACACAATCATATGCTCACGCATTCCTTATTATATAATGCTCTGTTCTGTTTAAACTTCTACAGGGTTGGGAAAAATAAAAAGAGGATTCGTTTCCATGCCATGAGGTTTATTAGATAGATGGGGAGATTCTCATATTTTTATTATCTCACTCTATGTCTTTTTCTTCATCGCGTTCACCAGCTGTAAATTCTGGCAAAAAGTTCTGGTTGTTCATCCATGTCTGGACTGTAGTCCTGTTCCAGAACCTGAGTGTGCATTCCTTTTACAGTTCTGACTCCTTTGTATGCAGACTGCTGGTTCCTTGCCTCTCAGGCAGATGCAATCCGACTTCAAAGAAAGCTCCCAGTTAGTCGACTCTTACGACATGCTTTTAGGTAGGCAGTGGGTCTATTCTTGTTTTCCCTATAATAGGACACCGTAGTCCACATGTGGACTCTATGTGAATTCCATGGCATCATTCTGAGGGGAAGAAAGAAAAGACCCATCTGTCACCATAACAAGCATATGATAACAGTTGACTACTTAGGGGTTTTTCCTTCAAAGTCAGAATGCATGTGCCTGAGAAGTGAGGAGCTAACAATCTGTATACAAATGAAACCAAATCTGTAAAATGGATGTGCATGCAACACTCAAGTTCTGGAATAAGACCAAAGTCCAAAAGTGGATGAACAACCAGATGAACCAGCACTAAACGCATAATGTGATCTACGTCTTTACTTTCAAGAAAATTTCTTAGTATCAATTCATAGGCTGAGTTGGCCTGGCAGCTCATTTCAACAAATCCACCTTGACAGAGCTTTCCATACCTGACCATGTTGGTAGAAAAGAATGCTAGCCACTTCACACTTAAGTTTTCTCCTCTTGCAAGAAGGCAAAAAAATGCTTGCCCCACCAACCCCTAAAAAGAATCTTTACCTTGCTGTTATAAAAATGCAGTCTTGTTTTTATTATTATTTATTTTAATGAAATGAACCCAAAAAAAAAAAAAGCCCTTATGTCAATCTTTTTCTTCACTTATTTTCTACAGGTTTTGAGGGATATAGGCTTCTGCTATTTGCTCTTCTAGCTGCTTTGAACACAGGCACATCGTTCTGTTGTACAGTTTCTCTGAGGTTATCTTTCCATCATGTTCTTGGTCAACCTCATGCCTCTACATTTTTTTCTCTTTTAGTGTATGCCTTGAATGATATGCGTCACATATGCATTCTAAGTGGGTAAACCCTTTTATTTACTTTTACCGCTTCAGGTTTTGAAGGATGTATGGGGTTCTGTTTTTGTTTTTTTCGTTGCTTTTCTTGCCACCTAGACCACAGGTATTTTGTCCAGTTGTAGAGTTTCTCTGATGTTATCTTTTCCTTATTGTTCTTGGTTTACCTCATGCTCTACATCCTTCATCTCTTTTAGTGTATACCTTAAATGGTATGGTGTCATTCTTTCTAAGGGAACAAACCATATGATTTGCTGTCTGTGTATGTAATTTAGAAAATATATCTCACTGTATTCTAAGTAGCGATAATAAATGCACATCGGGCTTTGCTAGGCCAGTTGCAACTTCCTTATGACAATGCATTTTCTCATGTCCTCTTTTAAAAAATTACTCTAATATATGAGATGTGCAAGAACACGAGGGTGGAGTGGGAAGCCTTTTGCATTGAGCTCTGATGTTGTGCTTTCCTTTCAGTTCACCAGTAAGTACACATACATGTGTTTTTGATATCCTGGGTGAGGTAGGGGGGGGAGGGGGGGCAGTGAGTGATAGGCCATATGGGATAAAACCCAGTGAAATAAACTTGACCCCTTTGCCTGTAAACACAATTTAACGGTAATTTGGTGGAAACATTTTGCTATAAATTACATATATGTCCCTTCACTGAACTCTTTTGCTTTATTAATTATTTATGATTAATCCTGTCAACTGTATGCTGACAACAGAGACGCAATCTGGCCTGTTCCAACCACAATGAAGACAAAACTGTATGGTACACGAGAGGATATGGATTGCACAATAGCTTTCATAAAGGCTACCGGCCTCCTGATATAATTTTTCTGACAGAAGGATCGAAGAAGAAGAAGACATGAAGTGTACACAATGATTTACAAAATAGGTTATCCTCCGAATAACGGGCACATATTATGGCGACCAAAAACAGGGCCTCAGTCACATGTAAAGTGCGGAATTCCGGCGACTTAATTTGCGGACTTCCAGTGACTACCGCCGAGAGTATCTCCCACGCCGCTATGCGTGGGGTGGACTGGGGCTAAACTAGATGGCTGGGACTAATAAGCAAAGCTGCAGGAGATGCGGAAGCTGCTGCTCATGAGTCCTAGCCATCTAATTTAGCCCCAATCCCCGCCGTGAGTAGCAGCGCGGGAGATACTCTCGGCAGTGGCGGTAGTCGCCGGAAGTGCACAATTTAACTCTTTGAGTCCCAGGGGGTTCAGCATCACAGGCCCAATGGGTAGTAAAAAGAGACTAAAATCGACACATCATGCGTTCATTGGGCTTCTAGGTAGGAACTTATGAACGTATGATGCGTTCCCTGGGACTCAAAAGAGTTGTCACCGGAAGTCCGCAATTGACATGTGAATGAGGCCCTGTTAGGGTGTTTTTGCCACCACCATAATATGAGCCCGTTATTCTGAGAATAGCCACAAAATAATTCATTAGTTTTCTGTGTTTTTCGGGTTTTCCAACAAACAAGAGACTATTTTCCAACTAATTCTTTTAGGTATTTAGTTTATATTTGTTATATCAACATATGATGTGTTAAATCTGCAGTCAAAGCTCAGCTGATGCTGTGGTAAAGTTACTTAACACTAATTATAAACTAATTAATAATGAAAAATAACCGTGAAGTAGTAACAATCGTTGTCAATGTAACAATAGGCCAATAGCCATGTGTGGTAATAAAGTATTGACTCCCACTCCCACCCACTCTCATCTCGGTCTATTTTATATATAACATTTATATATATATATATATATATATATATATATATATATATATATATATATATATATATATATATATATATATATAAACAATAATCAACATAAATGCCTGACAAAAGAAATGTAAAATTAAAAATCATTTCAGTAATGATTACTATTGTACTGCAAATAATTGAATTTTTAAAAATAAATCTTTTCTTATCGATTATTTATTATTTTCTTACTTAATCTTTGGCCTTCTTTGGTTTCATAAATTTCTAATTGTAATTAATCATCTAAATTTTCGCCATCAACGTCAATGAAATTTTTTTTTAATGGCCAAATTATATTATACGGAACATAAGTAACACTACGATTTCACAAAACACTTACCCAAAATATAAAATTAAAGAAGAACAAGATATATTTTAGCAGCGGACTGACAAAGGTGTCTCGGCTTGTGCAGCAAGCCATAGCTTTAATTACGTGATCATCGCCCTGACTGACTACTGCTAGTCTGCTAGGCTTCTCTCGGTCTCGGATCCGGACAAAGCAGAACATTAACTCCAGCCATCATTACGGCTTCCGGACACACTTCCGCTGACATGTCGGGAGAGAGAAAAAGGGAGTGGGCGCTTACTTTTGGCATATGTGTGTGTGTGTGTGTATATATATATATATATATATATATATATATATATATATATATATATATATATGTGTGTGTGTGTGTGTGTAAATATACTTTTTGGTACTCTTCGTTACTTTCAGATGAAATAACATGTGTAAGAATGTGTGGACGAGAAATTAGAAGTGGAGCCGGCAAGGAGGGACGTATGAGAACGACGTGTTGACGGGTATGCCTGGTGTGCTATGATGTCGATTCTTAAATCAGTAATCAGAATGTTGAGCTAAGAATTGACATTAGAGCACTCGGAACATTCTCATATGCACTCCTCATCTTCAGCAGCCACCAGAGAGTTCCGATTCCGATGGTATCAGTGGCAGTTCGATTATATGTGCGTCTTGCCTTTCTTCTGAGTTTCCTCTAGAACAGTGTCGACCAGATCCCCTGGTCAGTCTTAGCTGTCGGATTCTCTCCAGACCATAATGATCTCTTCGTGCATCCTCATTGTTCACTTGCCCCAAAAAGCCTTCATCTCATAAGTCTATCTCCCCACTCACTTCCAAACACACCCGCATCACCTGGGGAAAATATCCAAAGGATGCTAACTACACAGAATCTCTGAAACGATGCTAGCCACTTTGCAAGGAACATGCCTGTCTCCGCCTTTCTCAACATGCTCTGTGTCAGTTACAGTTACGACATGGGTGTACGGTTGAACCTCAAACCAGCAAAAGGCAGTAATGACTGCCTCCACCTCCATTCTCAAATTAGAGGTTGTGATACCATGTGCCAGGCTTTATGGCACTAAGCGACGTCCATTTGCTTTTGAACTCACGTGCACTAAGTCTACCTGTCAACAAAGAGCGATCGATATAGACAATCACATCACCTGGACGACTTTAGCTGTAATCTGTCAGTTGCCATCGCCGAAATAATGGTTAACTACAATTTGTCTTGATAGTCTCTCGTCCGGATTACCATCACCACCTTCACAGTGTTTCGTTACTACAGTTACTGAAAGTTGGAGTAGCTTATTTCACTGTAACAGAAGACGCCGGTTCTGAAAGTGAGAAACATACTAATATGGAACATTATTTACTATACTGCAAGTAATATAAACCCCAAAGAAAGAAAACTAAGACAAAAACAATAACATGCGGAGGTTCGGAAGCAAGTGGGAATACAGTTTAAGGTCGAGAATGAACAGGGCTGTTGAAATTATAAAACAGAGATATTGCAATATTTCAACCATGATAAAAGACAATGTTTAAAATTTAAAAAAAAAATAAAAACTATGCCATAGTTAGAGAATATTTAAATGTACGGGAGCAAGAGGTAGACATCGATGCATCGGGGAGGATAACATCAAGATATATACTAAAAGCAGCCTCATAGTGTACAGCCGGGACGAGAGACTAAGACAAAATGCAGTCACTCGCCATTTTGTAGGTGACACTTGGTAGATTAAAGTAAAAGTCGAGAGGATCAACTCCACTGCACCGGGTTTATCCTATATGGTTTAGTCTCTCACCACAGAACGGCTAGCCGCCTGCCGACAGCATTGCACAAAGCACGAACACCATTTCCAGCGACGATTTCAAAAGGTCTCGCGACTTTCAGAACGCGAGGCATACACACAGCGGAGACACTCCCCCCTTCCCCCCACCGCCAGTGGACCTAGTAGACTAAATGCATGAATATCATGTGAAAAAAAAATACTGGGACGTGAGCTGACCACTGCAAAGATTTGTTGAAGGAGAGATAAAGGTTGAATATGAGAGAAAACACCCGTATCGTGTACATCCGTCTCGCCTTCCCCTGGAGTGCTGAGCGTCGGCCAGATCCCCTGGTAACTCCCCTGCAGCGCCATTCTCCTCAGACCGTAATATTTTTGTGCCTGCGCACTGTTCATTCACTCCTAAAGGACCCTCACAATATCTAGCTTGTGATACATCAATTCACCACCAAGCTGTGCAGAACCCGCCACTCTATCTGCCCGCTTATTTCAAAAAACATCACGTGAAGTGATACATGTTGTTGGAGAAGCATGTTCGCACATGCCAGGTGGCAAGGCAACTGAAGATATTTTATGGTGGGTGGGAGCACGATGTTAATACCACTTGTATGGGTATTACATCCTCAGGATTGTATTCTTTAGGATTACCATCTCATTGATGAGTATCAAACCGGATTTTCTCTCAAAAATGACCTCAAATCCCAGGTCGACTCAGCCTCGAGTGGGTACCAGGTGCAGTCTTGGGAAGTAAAGGTGGCCGGCGTGATGCTGACCACATCACCCAACAAGTACCGATTGGTCTATAAAAATATGTCTAGCCCTCCCTGTATTCCCTATACGCCTCAAGGTGTGGAGAAGGGTTCTTTACAAATCCCAGAAATCCCGTTCAAGCGTAAAACATTTATGTTAGGGTAACCCATGATAAACAGAGTAACCTTTAGTCCAATGAGAGCATGGTCAATGTGAATACATCAATATTCTTATATAAAACCTCCCGTGTGGGTTCCTGGGCTCTATTATAGGGAAAACAAGAACAGACCCACTGCCTACACAAAAGCATGTCGTAAGAGTCAACTAATTGGGAGCTTCCTTCGAAGTCGGAGTGCATGTGCCTGAGAGGAAAGGAACCAACAGTCTGCATACAAATAAGTCAGATCTGTCAAACGGATACACACGTAACACTCAGGTTCTGAAACAGGACTGCAGTCCAGAAGTGGACGAACAACCAGAACTTTCCGCCGGAGTTTACAGCTGGTAAACGTGAAGAAGAAGAAGAAGAAGATATAAAACTAGCAGTAAAGGAAGATTTTACGGCATAATTAGTCGTATCGAGCATATACGTTTAGACCTATATTTCATAGACCAGTAGGTATTCTGTGGGTCATGTGGTCAACATTACACCGGCCGCCTTTATTTCCTAGGATGTTTTACTGTTACCTATTTAAGCCAGGATCGACCTAGTAGCCAAAGTCAATAAAAAAAAAGTTCGGCTCCCTCAGAACCTTCGGATCCCTAGGGAAACGTCAAGACGCTACATCACGCAGCTTCTAAAAGCAACAATGAGTGATTATCTATCACAAAGCGCAGTGTGTCATTACTGGGATAAGAATTCCTCCGGTGAAGTCCCAGAAATCACGTTTACCCGGAAGGTTATATAGTGACTACGAACTAACCTGAAGCCCAGCCCGGGTCTTGCTGTAATATCCACGCACACACACACACACGCTGCCCCCTTTCACGTGGTCCTTTAAGAGAAGGAGTATTGTGTAACTGCTTAGAGCAGTGGCTCTCGAACACCCTAATGCAGCGACCCTTTAATACAGTTCTTCGTGTTATGGCGACCTCCAGCCATACAATTATTTTCGTTGCTACTTCATAACTTCAATGATGGTCTTTGGTGACCCCTGTAAAGGGTCGTTCCACTCACACACAAAAAGGGTTGTGCTCCTCATGTTAAGAGCCGCTCGCTTAGATCAACAGTATCAGTTACAAAATGCAAGTATCCGTTTTTACAACAAATAACTATTTAGGTCTTTTTTTTAAAAAAAACACTATATAGGCCTCAACTAAAATTCAGAAAGGACTGGATAGGATATTTTGTCTTCCTCGTATAGACTGCCTGTCGAGGTGGCGTACAGAGAGGTGTAGGGTATCTGTCTATCTGTGTATTGCAGATATGGAGGTTACTAAGACGTGAGTCCATAGTTGGTCATTGCTTTCGGAACTGTCAGCTCTCGGTACCACTGCCGAAACCAACGCAAATGTGGTTAACTCTTTGAGTCCCAGGGGGTTTAGCATCACAGGCCCAGGGGATAGCAAAGCAATTAATAAAATCGGCGCATCATGCGTTTATTGTTCTTCTAGGTAGGAACCTATGAACGTATGATGCGTTTCTTGGGACTCAAAGAGGAACGGGACTCGAGAAATTACACCGTAGTGGAGGTCACAATAGCATCGAGAGAATGTAAAATGGAATTGAATACTATTTCAACTAGGTAATCTCTCCTTCTACATATATATTCGACTTCTGCACTACAAGATGGTTGGACCAGTTCCATCCTACAAAATATGTGGAGTCACAACTGCTGAGAGGACACCTTTCTGCAATGGATACCATAAGAGAAGCGGTCTAGAGAAGATGAGAGTTAATTGGAGGATATGTTAAAAGTATAAAATCCTGGAAGCTACTGTAACAGACACTGGTGAGTACCGGAACTGCTCTGTCTAGAAAAATAAGACCTGCTTACAGCAAACGTGGTTTTCAATAACAAACATTATTCACGGATAGTGAGCATACTTTGGATCTTTTCTCCAGGAGATGCCAGCATGGTGGGTAATGAACAGACTGGCTGGATCCGCACCACTGAGTGGTGAATTGATACATGACAAGGCGGATGTGGTCAAGGCCCTTTGGGAACAAGCAACGAAATGAGTAGAGAAAGAGGATTATTATGGCCTGGAGAGAATGAGGCACCTGGGTGTAAGCAGATGGTCTGGCCGGCTCACTACACTCAGAGGAAAGGCAAGACGGAAATGTAACCAGATTGTGACCGGTACTATCAGTATTGGAACTCTGCACTGGCTGCTGAAGATGAGGATGGAGCATGCATGGGAATTCCCCGAGTGCTGTGATGTCATTTTTTGACTCAACTCAACCGTGACCTTCGAGTACTACCGAAGGTCACGACTCAACATTATTCACCTGCAGATGGTTAACAATTAAGTCTACCAGTTACGAAGACATAAATGCTAGAAAGAAGCAAGGACAGAGCTGATATCATCAATGCCGCACTTGACCAGGCTGGGGGATAATGTTGAATCTCTGATGTA